ATTCCTAAGAGGCAAACCCAACAATTGTCACAAGAAGGAAAATTAAAGACAAAAAGTTAAAATGACATTGCAATTGATGAGGTTATGCATTACCATTGCCTAGGTCGATTGTCCAGATAGGGACAGCACAAGAGAAAGATAGATGTGTAAGAAGAACAAAGAATTATGAATAAAACAGAGATGAACAAAAGACAAAGTATTTATATAGGCAATGTATATATGCTGCATGAGACAAGGGTTTAAGTTGGCGACTCAGATGAGAGGATAGAAGGTTAAGAGGGTTTTGGACCTTTGGATTGGAAGATACTACATTGCACCTTTTCAGTCTCTTTTTGCGTCTTTTCCAACATGAACAAAAATTTTGGTGATGCGCGATGTCTTACTTGGGGAGGGGAGATAAAACGTTATGATAATCACATCAGCATAATATTTGATGATAATTATTTTTTTTTAAAAATAGCAAATATATATTTATGGTATGTAAATTTAATGCCTTGATTAATTAATTCCATTGGGGTATATCTTGTAATAAATGCATTTGCTCCTTTATTTATCTTTATATTTTCTCGGTCCAGATGTGGAAGGAGGGAAAGTTTTTGAAAGAATTTGGTTAATAAGTTGATTATTTTAAAAAACAATTTTTGAAATTTAATATATAATATGATGATTTTGGCTAGCGAAAATTGTGAGCATTAAAGTTTGGAATTGAATGTGGCTTCACTGAAAAAAGAGTTTCGTAATTTGTTTTATTATGAAAATTCATAACACGTGTTACACCATAAAAAGAAAAGGCACGGTTTTTGTAAAGAGAGAGTATGATATGACTTTATGAGAAAAAAAAAAAATATCAAATTTAATATATAAAGGTGAATAAGTATCTTTAAATGCACAAGTCACGCATTTCAAAATACACTCACACATTTAAGATTAAATGGTTTGATAGATCTATTTTTAAAGAAAATAGTATATCATACTTAATAAATAAAGAGTGCATAATCTTTATCTTTAAATTATAACAATAATAGAATTAAAACATACATCATTTTATATATATATATATATAAGGTTTGTTTGGTAAAATAATTGCTATTTCTAGAATTTAACATTCTAATTCATATAACAATTATTCTTCTTATTAAAAAAATTTATAAAATTTTTTATATTTAATTCTATGTGTATAATTTTCTTCATGAAAATGATTTAGAACCCGCTATTAAAAGTTTTGTATATTTTCGTATTCATAAATATATTATTATAAAATTATTCAGTTATTTAAAAAAAAAATGCAACTTTGTTCTTGAAACTTAATGAATTATTTTTGTGTTTTTAAAATGAAGACTTTATTTTATATATTTTTTTAGACTTTCATATGCATGCTAGGTACATTTTTATTAATTTAGACGTATACGTATGTAGCACATGAGTTTTCTCATTTTATTTTATACGAGCATTGCTTGTTTGTCTTTTGATTTTTTATAAATTCAAAACACAAAATAACTTTTCATTAAAACAGGTATTCCATTTGACTGCATTATTCGACCATTCTCAAGTATTCCACAAAAGATATTTTAGTCAAACTATACATAATTGTAAGGGTGGCTGCTAATTTTAGCATAATGAGTTGAGGGTTTAAAGCATTTTTAAATTTTAATGATAAAAATAAAATAAATTATTTTTTTAGATATACTAATATTTGTATACGCAAGTTCAGTAAATATTAAGGAAAACAAATGAATATCAATGCAATTGATTATTTATTTAGGTTAGAGTTTAATATTATATATAATATATTATTTTAAATTTACTTTAAATATTTTTGAAATTTTTAATTTTTAAACAAGTCAACTTACTAACTTAATTAAAAGTGGGGAGAAGTTGAATTTTTTTTTATAAATTAGTTGATATTTTCTTTTCTATACACAAGCATAATTGCTTGGCAAAAACATGGGTTGACTTGCTTTGTCGTGCCTACATAATTGTAAGGATTGTTTTTTTTTTAAATCTAACACTGATCACGAGCGCCACTTTTGAAGGTTCAAGTCTCATTACATAGTGCATTTAAGATGCAATTTAATTAAACATTTATTTAATTTTTTCGTAAAGGCTTATATCATAAATTTAATTATATATTTTTTGAAATACACTAAAAATAATTTATTGAACCTAAAGGCATTTTTATAACTTCTTTATAAATTCTTCAAAGTGCTGTCTAAATCCATAAAACTTTGTATCGTTGATCACCTTTAAAAAAAGAAGAAACATATTTATAACTTTTAGGAGGAAGGCAAAACCAATATGTTATTATACTTGTTAACATGATTTATAATTATAACAGCCTTATTAATATATTTTAACCTCCTTAAAGGGAAAACAATTATTGTTCCTAATGGGTATTCTTACTTTTATTGTTTAAAGCTAAATAAAATTGGTAAAATTGATTTTGAGGAAATATGATTGAGATACGTTTATAGATTAATAATTTTTTAATATAAATTTAGAATATATGATAAAAATTTAATAAATATTAAATATTTATTGAAAGTTGTAGTATTTAATATTATTAATGTATTAAATTAAGTGATATTATGAAATTATCAATAAAAAAATACTATATATATTATGAGCTTTTAGACACATGTTAAAAAAATAAATAAATCAATATAAGTTATACATTTTGTTGGATTATACTTTTTATTATTAAAAAGTATAAGAGTTAACTTTTTAACTTTAAATTAAACCGGCCCATAAAATAAGAAATTTGTTGTTTTCTTTTGTTAAGGAAAGAAAGCTTTTTTGTTTTTCTGTTTTTTTTTTTGTCAGTGGAAGAAAGTTATTATTTTATTTTTTTTCTTGGTCAACGAAAGAAAGTTATTCGAAAAGCCCCTAAACAACAAAGTTGCAGAAGGCCCATCAAGCTTAACAGGCAAAATATGGTCAAATGGGATCAGATCCTCTAGAGTTCAAGAACAAACTTCATCATGTGCAGTTCTCAATCTCACCTTTCATACTTCTCAAATTATATTTTTATAGTTGTTAAGAATATCTAATCACCGTCAGATCATAACTTCACACTTTACAATCTAATTTTGAACTGCAGAAGATCCGCTTCGGATCTATACTGTGAAACTTCTACCAAAGATTTCATTAAAATAAAAATATAACTTTTTTAAATAAAAAATAAATTATTAATTTAAATTTTCATAAATTACAGTAAAAATACTTATTATATTAAATATTTAATTAATGATTTATATATTAGTTAATAAAAAATAAACTAAAACCAAGTAAAAATTGATGCCAAAGTGGTTTGAATTAGTTATTCACAATATTTTTTTTCAAAAATTTTAAATTTTAATGATTCCATGACATCATATAAATTTTTTATAAATTATATAATGTTAAAGGTATATATTTAATTAATGTTAGTTTAATTTCGATGCTATTAATCAACTTTGGATTACTATTTTCATTAGTTGAATGAACTGATTGATTTTTGAAACTTTTTTGTTATGCTTTGACACGAATCTTATTGTTAAATCAAAATATTTATAAAAATAGTCAATCAATAAAAAAGTAAATTTTCATTTTCTTAATTTATACATATTTTAAAAATTCATTTTTTAAATAAGTAAATAGAACAAAGAAAATAAGATAGAGCAGGGATTATTTCCCAACAATAACTTGGTGCAGTGTGCAAGAATGACCATGATATGACATGTGGCCCTTTCTTCACTGGAATTCTCTGTCTGCACATAAATTCTTTACCCCACACTGCCCAATCATTCATATCCCATCATCATCCCCTTTCTATAGCTTCATTCCTCATGTGGCTTTTTTGTCCAAATAGAGAACCATGCCCTCCCACATGCACTACCATAATTAACATTAGTACTAAGTAGTAACTTTAATTATTCACAAACCATACTTATTTCTTCACGGGTTTATCAAAATTAACGTGGAGAACAGAGTGTATATCACATGGCATATAGTTTACAAACTCTTACTAACTTTATTCAATAAATTTTTTGATATAAAATAAATTTTTAATCTTATTTTAATAAATTTATATAGTTTAAAAATATATGAAATATGTTATTTTTCAAACGCACCCATAATAAAAAAGCCAAAACCTTTATTTCCCTTTACGCTTTCCGTCATCATGAATTATATATTCTTCCAAATTTAGTCAACACAACTCTTGCTGTTTATTTTCCCAGCCACGTTTTGGATGCACTCACAATTTTCTTGTAGGCTTTGGCAGATTTGGTATACTGTCCTTAAAAAGTGAAAAATTGAAGTGCACATTATGTATATAGTGTATACTCTAAGCCTTGAATGTTAGTATAAATTTGAAATAGGATCTAATTACATTAACATAGAATACTAATGAACATAGAATCCTAATTATGAAGTTATTGAAAGTCATTTATTTGTTATAGATATTGTTATTCGTGCATAAGTAATTTATGTGAGATATAATTTTTTCGTTAAGTAAAAAGTTAAGATTTTTCTTTGTCTAATCACGCTCTCTTAATCTTAAGTTCTTAATGAGACAAACCTAAAGAGTAATAAAATGTGTTTCCGTGACGGACAATAAAAGTAATTTAGCTATTATATTTATTAATTTTAAGTATTTTTCATCATAGACTTAAAGGTTAAATCCACATTATATTTTATATAGATTAGTATTAAGGTCTAAAGTTTATATATAATTAATCACATTATTAATAAATTTAAGCATCATTAAATGAATCACAATATTAGACTATTTTTAATAAAATAAAAATTACAATTAATTTTAACCATTTTATGAAAAATTCTAACATTGAATTGAACAAGCTTCAGGCCATCTCGTGATGTTTCTGTCGGGAACAATGACAAAAACGCGCTTCATGACTTGAGTAGACTCACCTCAAAACCAATCCAAATTCAATATATAGTACCATTTCCTTTGGTTCTGTTTACTCATTCCTTGTTACTCTATTGTTCTCTTTCTACAAATGGAAAAGCTTTGTGTCCTTGTGGCCCCTTTCGTATTCCTTGGTATATTATTTCATGGAGGAATGGTAACTGCTTTGAGGACTAAAGACGGATCAGAAGAATGGGGATATGTTCAAGTCAGACCCAGTAAGCCAAATGCATTAAAGTTATGTAATTTCAGTGATGCATGATGTTGTATTGAACAATTTTATTGCATACTAAGCACATGTATGGTTTCAGCTTATTTTTTAAAGAATTAATGGTTTATTTCTTTATATATTGGAAGAGCTTTTGAACAATAGACTATTACTAGTATTTTATTAGAATTAAGCTAAATCCAAGATACTATTAGTAGTTCACTGGATAAATTTTGCATCTATTGAGGGTGAGGAAAAGGAATCTAGAGTGAAAAAAAATGGTAACATTACCTCTTTTATACTTTGAATTGTGTGTTATCACAGAAGCCCACATGTTCTGGTGGCTTTACAGAAGTCCTTACAGAGTGGAGAATTCCTCCAACCCATGGCCAATCATACTCTGGTTGCAGGGAGGACCAGTAAGTCTTGTTTAAATTGAGCTATGGTGTTGCTAACTAATAACGACATAGATTCTATCTTTGTGGTATGAAAATTTCAAAATATTGGACAGGGATCTTCAGGAGTTGGGTTTGGAAATTTTGAAGAGATTGGTCCTTTGGATGCCAATTTGAAGCCAAGGAATTTCACATGGTTGAAGAAAGCAGATCTATTGTTTGTGGTAACTCAACCATATTCATTTTCGGTGCCTTCTGTTTGCAATTACGCTCTCTCTCTCTCTCTCTCTCTCACAGTGATTCTAATAATTCATATGTTATTATACAGGACAACCCAGTTGGAACTGGGTACAGTTTTGTGGAGGATTCTAGACTCTTTGTCAAAACAGATAAGGAGGCTGCCACTGACTTGACCACATTGTTAATTGAGATATTCAACACTAATCCAAGCCTCCAAAAGAGTCCTCTGTTCATTGTGGCGGAGTCTTATGGTGGCAAATTTGCTGTTACTATTGCATTATCAGCAATCAAAGCTATTCATAAAGGAAGATTGAAGCTTAAACTTGGAGGTGTATATTCCTTTCTTGAAATGCATCCATCATCTGTCAGATTCCAGATTAGGATGATAGGAAAATGGAAACAATTCTTATCTATCAACGTGGTTAATTAGTTAATTTCTTCCTTACGATAGATCCATTATCCATACAATATATGAAGACTTTTGTGATACATTGTTAACTTTTTTTTTCTTATTTAGGTGTGGTATTAGGAGACAGCTGGATCTCCCCAGAAGATTTTGTGGTAAGTACTAGAAATGTTGTACCCACCAGTTCTTAAACTTTCATGCATTTTCAATATTCAATTTGATACTGCAGTTCTCATGGGGCCCTCTACTTAAAGACCTCTCAAGACTTGACGACAAGGGGTTCCAAATATCAAACAGGTACATCTAATTTTCGATCTATTTTCCACATTGATGAAAATGTACGGAAACAGTATTATTGTATAGTATGATGTCCATTTTCTCTGTCATCTGACCGAACACATTTTGGTGAACAGTATAGCCAAGAGGATCAAGCAGCAACTTGAGGCTGGTCAATTTGTTAATGCAACTAAATCATGGAGTGAACTTGAATATGTAATTAGCATCAACAGCAATGCTGTGGTACTATATTTTCTTTCATTATATTTTTAAATCGCTTAAATGAGATGTCATTATTAATTATAATCACTAAAAGCATTAAAGTTAAGTAAGCTTACGAAATCTTGTGTTTGGGAATTTCAGGATTTCTATAATTTTCTGCTGGATTCTGGAAGGGATTCAGCCACCTTTTCCACAATGAAGCTGAAATTATTCAAAGAAATATCTCAGAGTCGTTACTCCAAGTATCTTACTTCAACAAGATATTCTCCTGGTGCTAATGGTAATCTTAACAGCCTATTAAATGGTGTCATAAAGAAGAAGTTAAAGATTATTCCTGAGAATATTACGTAAGTCTATAAACCATAATTCTTTGAACCAAAAAAATGTACTTAAAATCGTAGTTCAAATCCGTGATCACATTGGTATTTTGTGTTGATAGATGGTTTGAACAGTCCGATAATGTTTTTACAAATCTTGAAGGTGATTTTATGAAGCCAAGAATAGCTGAGGTAAGAAGACATTAATAAGTTTATGATAACAAACTGGACACTTTGGTTTTAAGCTTTTAACTCCATTAAATTCATCTTAATCTGAAAATAGTATTGATAACGGTGTCTTGTAAACATTCTGTTCAAAATAGTATTGATAATGGTTTCTTGAAAACATTATGCTCTATAGTTTTCTGATCTTTGGTTGTTGTTTTTTTTTTCTCGTCCTTTTTATTTTGTTTGGGTATTTGATGTCTTTTTGTTTAATTAGTTCAGGTTGATGAGTTGCTGGCTCTTGGGGTCAATGTAACCGTGTACAGTGGACAAGTGAGTGTCCCTATCCACAATACTTGCACTGTCAGTTTATGTTAAAAATTGATGGCAGGATACTCTTGATTTGGAGCACTGCACATTGTTGATGAGTTACTGGCTCTTAGTTTTATTTATCAATTAAAATTAAATTTTATTTTAATAATATATTTATATCTAATGTTATCATAAATTATCAAAATAAAAATTTAATTTTAATTAATGAACAACGGGAACACTTGAAAGAATTATACCTAAATTTTGTCGTATGTAGATATTGTTCACCACAAATATTTTACATGTTATCTGGATTCCAAAGTATTGTAGATTTTAGCAAATTAACAAAGAGAGAATATGGATGGGCGAGTTGCTTTTAAACTTGATAGCCATCTTGGTTTTTTTTTTTTTTAAGTATTTTATGTTTTATCTGATGATTCCTTTTAATTTAATTTTTATTGGTTCCATTATTGGGTAGTTATGTAATCTCTTTGATTATTATAGGTTGATCTTATTTGTGCAACCAGGGGAACTGAAGCTTGGGTTAAGAAGCTCAAGTAAGCAAGCCTCACCTATCTATTAAGATTGGTGAATCAAAGGGAGTATTATAGTGTTTTGGTTTTCTTAAATTTTGTTTTTGGGTTCCTTGTGTAGGTGGGCAGGGCTTCCAAACTTCATGGAGAAACACAGAACCCCCATCTTCTGTGGAAATGACAAATCAACCAAAGGCTTTTTCAAGTCATATAAAAACCTAAACTTCTATTGGATCCTTGGAGCTGGCCATTTTGTAAGTCAAAATCACTCATCTTCTCAGTAACTATGCATCCTCTTAATCATTCTCTTATTGGTTATTGCTTTATTGATTTTGCTATCTATTGCTTTTAAAGTATTAATTAATTTTTTTAAATTACAATAAAAAAATAGTGGTAATATTAAATGTTGCATTCTTTAATATTTTTAATGTTTTTAATCATTATTCTAAAAGTATTAAATAAAAACTAAAAACCTTATAAATGAGTAATATAACAATTCAATACTCTTTAAAAATTTAATAATTAAGTAGATTATTAAGAAGATATTATAAAATGATTTAAAATGATTCATGAAACATTTTCATTGATTGGAATGTTGACAACGTTATTACTTATGTGGGAGGTATCATCTATGTTATCTTTCATCCCAATGCTGTTATGAGTTCTAATGAGTCTGTCTCATAAAAAAATAAAAATCAACTACGTCTCTACATTTTTTTATCTTTTCTTTCAGTAATTTACTCGGCTGCATAAAACTGCTGCAGGTACCTGTTGATCAACCTTGCATAGCACTGAACATGGTGGGTGCAATTACTCAGTCGCCAGCAATTTGAAGTTAGTATATATATCATAGAGGATAAATAAAACTAATACAAGCGTATCATAATAAAGAGAACGACAGAAAAATCAGACAAGAAAGAGTTCACAAGAAAACTAGCACATAATCAAAGAATAGGGAGAGATGCACGAATGCCATTAATTGTTAATATGTACAATGTCGATCATTCTATCTTTATGGAATGATTATATATGCTTTTTCCTCTTGAATTGGAAGCAAAGATTAGAAGCAATATTTCTATCGTATTAAATCGATTTTTTCATGAGTGATAAACAATTATATATGATAAGTATTGTAATTTTAGTGAAAATTTAATATACATAAACTTTTATTACGTGTAATTTTATATAAATAAAAAATTAAATTAATAACAATTAAATATGTCGATATAAGTTAATACATACTAAACCTTAATTTAACTTTATTCAACAAAGATGTAAGTTTATAATGTAAAGTGATTTATGTTAAATGACTTAAAAAAAATATATAATATTTAAATTATATCAATCAATTAAATAATCATATATAAAAAAATATTTTTTATATATTTTGAATATAAAATATTTTAAGTTATATTTTTTTAATATAAAATTTAATTAGATGAAAGAGATAATGAAATAAATAAAAAAAATACAATGAAATAAATTTATGGAGGTTGAATTTTAATTGTAAGGACAAGTTGTGTTTTAAAAAAAAATTGAAAAATTAAATCTAATAGAAATATTTAAGCTAAATGTTAGTTTTATAACTTGCTTATAAAAATACTTGATTAAAGACTAAAAGATAATTAATTTATGTATACAAAATTGTAGACTGTCAAGCTCACGCAATTGCTCATGTCTCTTTCAAGTTTCAATCGCAATCCAAGATAATTAATAAACGATTTTAACATGCACCGCCACAACATTGTTGGTGCTCGTATACCCAACGAGCAAGAACAAAGAAAAATTAGAATCTAATAGGAGCAACTCCAACCCACATTGAGGAAAGAAAGAAGAGAAGGAACAGTGGTTAAAGAATCTTTGACAACTCCTTCGGAACGTGAATTCAAAATGATTATTTGCAAAGAATGAACAAAAAAAATACAGAAAAATAAATTACCTAAACTGTGAGAAATTATTAACACGCTTATTGTATGAGAAATTATATTTATATAGTAAAATTGAATAAATTAAAGAAAGATATAAAAAGAGGAGATTAAGTAAGTGATGTAATAAATAACTATATATTACTAACTGAAGAGTGTTGTAAAAGTAAATTCATATAAAACATAAAAATTCAATTCAAAATTATTTTTTAAATATTAATTAAAAAATGAAAATAAAAATATTATTAACACGCTTATTTTTATTTTTAATAATTTTTTTTATTCGGCAGCTTGTAAGCTTTAACTACTATATCCATAATCTTATGTCACCTAAACAAAGTCCAAATGCAAACAGATAGAACCATAGCCGTTCCGTTGGTTACAGGTGTCCCTCTTGCTGTTATTGTCGTCTACCCCATTAATTCCTTTAATTTTAACAAATAACTCTTAAAAAGTAAGCCCGCAACCCACGTACTCACTCTTTTCCTTCTCCCCCTTTCTGCTTACTTGAACTACACTCGCCGATTTTAACTTTACCAATAAGCGTGAAAAAAATAAATAAAGAAAAGAGAGAGAAACAAAATATAAATTTTCAGCAACGCAACAGATCTCTCTCTTTCAGTTCTTCTCTTCTCGCCGGCGACAACTGTTCGAATGCCTCAAATTCCGTCGGAGAACGGCGTCGAAGGAGACGATGAGAGAGAAGAGGAAGACGACGATGATGAAGAAGAAGACGATGATAAGGAAGAAGAAGAGGAGCCGAGGCTCAAGTACCAGAGAATGGGAGGTAGCATACCTTCGCTGCTAGCGAGTGACAGAGCGTCTTGCATCGCTGTTGCCGAACGGATGATCGCTCTCGGCACTCACGACGGCGTCGTTTACATCCTTGATTTTCTCGGCAATCAGGTCAGCTGCCATTCTCTTCATTCGTTTCCTAATTTTACAGTGAGAAACGGTTCTTCTGCATCATTTTGGTTTGGTTTTGCGTAATATTTGAGTTAACGTGACTTCAAAATGAAGTTAGCTTGCTTCTAACGTGGTTCAGCACTTGTGTTCTTCAAGTGTAGTATCGTATGTGATGTTATAGATGATTGCTTTTAGGTCTTTTTGATTTGTCATTGCTCATAAGCAGCGTTTCGTGCCTGTGTTTTGTTTATTCGTTTTGGGAAACCTGTTTGTTTACTGAGCTATCTCATTTCAGGTGAAAGAATTCTCTGCTCATGCTGCTGTTGTTAACGACCTTAGCTTCGATGTAGAAGGTGAATATATTGGAAGCTGTTCTGATGATGGCTCCGTTGTAATAAACAGCCTTTTTTCTAATGAGAAAATGAAATTCGAGTATCATCGTCCTATGAAGGCGATTGCTCTGGACCCAGATTATTCAAGAAACACATCTCGGAGATTTGTCGCTGGTGGTTTGGCGGGAAATTTATATTTAAATTCAAAGAAATGGTTAGGTTATCGTGACCAGGTTTGTAAGATTCTTCTGACTTTTATCCTAAATACTCTTTAATTCACTGGTATTCTTGTGTATTATTGGTTATAAAAGATATCCCATTCTCCCATATAAAAAGGTTTTGCACTTTGGAGAAGGTCCAGTACACGCTGTGAAGTGGAGAGCTACTCTTGTTGCTTGGGCAAATGATGCAGGGGTGAAGGTTTATGATACTTCCAATGACCAGCGTGTAACATTCATTGAAAAGCCACGAGGTAGCCCACGGCCTGAGCTTTTGCTTCCTCACCTGGTTTGGCAGGTTAGTGAAATATCTATGTAGGTTTGCTGTTTCGTTATGTCATTTCAAGAATCAGTGTCCACTGTTATAACTGAATTGAAGCCTTGTTTAATGTTCTAAACTGCTGCAATGCTGTCATATCATTTCTTAAGAAGGCTGCTGTAGCTTAAGTTCATTCCATATTTCATAGGATGACACCCTCTTGGTTATTGGCTGGGGAACATATGTGAAAATTGCTTCAATAAGGACAAACCACCATCAAGCAGCCAATGGGACATACAGGCAAGTTCCCTTGTCTAGTATGACCCAGGTGGATATTGTGGCATCATTTCAAACTAGCTATTTCATCTCAGGAATTGCCCCTTTTGGTGATGCTTTGGTTGTTCTAGCTTATATTCCTGGAGAAGAAGATGGAGAAAAAGATTTTAGCAGCACTGCTCCTTCACGACAGGTATTTATGTTCCTGGCATACGACATGATGAATGAAATTACTTAACATCTCATGCTGACCTTGCACTATTATACTCTTCCCTTCTTGTTCCTATTTTTGCACTATGACTAGGTCTCTCAGTTCATTTTTATGTTCGCTAAATTAAGGGCTGTCTTCAAGCATTTCAATTTACAGTTGTCATAGCCTGATCCTTAACACCTGGACTTACTGGAAGTTTGGAATTTTAATTTAGTGTGAAGGATCTAATTCAAATAATGAGCCAGGTCAATTGAAATTTCAGATTGCTTTGACTGTTGAATAAGACACATAAGGAAAACCAGCATCATGTGACTACCTACAAACTAATTATTTCATGTACATTTTGATATTACCTTATTTAGTGTAGTTTGGCCCATTGAGATTATATATTGTCTTTGCATTTTTTTTATATTGTTCCTTGCATGCTCAGTTGTATAAAACCTCAGGGAATGTTTAACATTTACTGTATATTTTAATTGCTCTTAAATGTGGAACAAAATTTATTATGTACTGTAAAGGCAAGAAAAGTAAAACAATATTTGCAGCATCATCCTCTTAACTTCATATCACAATTTGATTTGTTCTTAAGGTGAATAATGTAACTTTAAACAACAGGGTAATGCACAAAGACCAGAAGTACGAATAGTAACATGGAACAATGATGAACTTTCTACAGATGCTCTACCATTACATGGCTTTGAGCATTATAAGGCGAAGGACTATTCCCTTGCTCATGCTCCTTTCTCAGGTTAAAATTTGTTTAGTCTTGTCTGTGATCTATGTTTTGTGTATTTAACGGTTTTGTTGGATAATAGATGCTTGTTCATTCAAATGTAGGTAGCAGTTATGCTGGTGGTCAGTGGGCTGCAGGTGATGAACCGCTTTACTATATTGTATCCCCAAAGGATGTAGTTATTGCAAAACCAAGGTAGTCATATTCTTAATCGAATTAATCTAAGTGATTGATGCATTTATGTTGACTTATCACCACACACACAGATACACACACATGTATGAAGAAAAGAAGGCTGCTATGTTTTTTCTTAACTTTATCCTACTATACTCGAAATGCTTTTCTTTTTTGGGTTAGATGATTGAGGAAAATAGATAAAAAACTTTCTTATGTTAAAAAAGTTCTTAAACCTCAATACGTCATTATATTCACCTATAGAGATGGATATTATATTTATATTTGTATATACTTCATGATGTGCCCTTGAATTGCCACTTTCCTGTTTGTCTGTGATTGTGTTATTCCTATATTACTCTGTTTCATATGGCGTAAAATGACAATCTAAGGAGCCTTTTTATGTTACTCATTTTTGTCAAGAAATTTTAGATGCTTCAAAGTGACTCTAGAAGAAGTGCAATCCTTATCCTACGCCAGAGATCTGTCAATATTTACGATATTAATTTTGGGAAGAAGCAATCTTACCTCCATTGTCCCAAAGGGACTAGAAAAATTAAATAAAAACAACTGAATCCTGTCATTTACCTTGAGTTCTTGTGCAAAATTGTTTATGGAATTTTTTAAATATATCTAAAATGTTATACTATTTTTATAAGTTGGTATACAAATTGGAAAAAAAAACCATTAAAACATGGATAGAAAGTAAAATTTAGATGCCTCAAAGTGACTGACTCTAGAAGAAGTGCAATCCTTATCCTATGCCAGAGATCTGTCAATATTTACGATATTAATTTTGGGAAGAAGCAATCTTACCTCCATTGTCCCAAAGGGACTAGAAAAATTAAATAAAAACAAGTGAATCCTGTCATTTACCTTGAGTTCTTGTGCAAAATTGTTTATGGAATTTTTTAAATATATCTAAAATGTTATACTATTTTTATAAGTTGGTATACAAATTGGAAAAAAAACCATTAAAACATGGATAGAAAGTAATGCATTTTGATAAATCAGGGATGCTGAAGATCATATTGCTTGGCTTCTTCAACATGGGTGGCATGAAAAAGCTTTGGCAGCAGTTGAATCTGATCAGGGACGGAGTGAAATACTTGATGAGGTGTTTAAGTTTGACTTAATACAACATGTTTTATATTCTTCTTTTAAAATGATTAGTGGAGTAATATGCACCTGCTTGCTTAAGAAAGGTCAGTGTTTAGCACATAACAGTGGAACAAGGTTATGCGTGTATGCTTTTGTAGGCACTCAATTGTGTAAAAGTGAAGCTGTAGTATAGGATTGCGTTTATGTGAAGATTCCTCTTAACTATTTTGTTTGTCAAGTAATTTGTCATTGTGTATTTTGCTATCAATGACACTACAATATTTGACTCTAGACCCAAGCTCAAAGGAAAATGAAATGAAACCCACAATTTTATCTACTTGGTGAAGTATGTTTCATTATGTTAATCCCCTGTCCTTACATCTTTGGATAAACGTGAAATTGATTTGGTCAATTTTCACAATTACCTTCTTTTTTCCTCTAGTTTCCTCCTAGAAGATTTTATTATTATGCTGTTGCTAATTGCGAATATTTCTTGAATCATAATTAGTATATAACGCATATTATATGTGTATGTGTATGTATGAACTCTTCTGGGTGATTTTATGCATTTGTCCATTTAAGTTTAAATAAGATTTATCTTTGCAGGTTGGGTCTAGGTACCTTGATCATCTGATCGTGGAAAGAAAATATACTGAAGCGGCTTCTTTGTGTCCCAAGTTGCTTCGAGGATCAGTCTCAGCATGGGAGAGGTACTGGTACCACATACCATTAGTTGTTAGTCAGTACTACGTTGTACAATTCTTGTTTGGTAATTGAGTGTTAATGTATTACTTTTCAACAGGTGGGTCTTCCATTTTGCGCATCTTCGTCAACTCCCTGTTTTGGTTCCATATATGCCTACAGAAAACCCTAGATTGCGTGATACTGCTTATGAGGTTTGCTATAGCCTAAAACAAAGTAGCCTCTGTTACAAGTAAGTGTTCACATTGTAGCTGTAATCAACTGACTTAGGTTTATTCTTTTTTTGGTTCTACAGGTTGCTCTTGTCGCATTGGCCACAAGTCCATCCTTTCATAAGGATCTCTTGTCCACTATTAAATCCTGGCCATCTGTAATTTATTCTGCATTGCATGTTATTTCAGCTATTGAGCCTCAACTTAACACTTCATCCATGACGGATTCACTCAGGGAGGTTAGTCTGACTAATTGTATTTGCATTTTTAATCTCTTAACAATCTGCTCGTAATAACATGTTTCCTTTTTGTGTCAGGCATTAGCAGAGTTGTATGTGATTGATGGGCAACATGAGAAGGCCTTCTCATTGTATGCTGATGTAGGTGCTTTTAATTTTCCTTGTGTTCCTGGAAGCAATTATTGCATTGCCATTGATTAAATGTCATAGAAATGCTTTGATAGTTGAGGTTTTCCCTACTCTTTTTTTACTATTGATTTACTTCCTCCTCCTTTTTCTGTTGAGATTTTCAGCTTTTAAAACCAGAAGTGTTTGACTTCATTGATAAACATAACCTACATGATGCAATTCGTGAAAAGGTATGATTGTACCTTACATAAGTGACATTTATCTTGGAATTCTTCTATTTTCTAGATAGCTTTAGAGTGTTAGCTGATGTATAAAACATATTTCATGTCACTGTTGGGATTTGATATTAAGCATTAATGCAACTAAAAAATCTTTTTGCATGTAGAGGTGTAGGATATTAGGATCTGGTTATTATGTGCCATTTGGTGCATGTAATTGGACCTACCAATTCCAATTATCTTGTTTGGAGTGTGCATCAGAATCACAATTCCAATTCACTGGAATTGAATAATAACTAATTTATTTTGTTCTTAGCCTAGACTCTAAGAATTTCAATTCCAGTTATCTAAGCAACCATTACTGATGGCACAGAATGAGTTTCTATGTGCGAAAATTGTGTACCGAATGAGTAATTAATTGTTTGATACCAAAAGCACTTTGGTTAATAATATACCGTATCCTTAAAATTTTGTGAATATGATCACCAGAATCTTATTTGTCTAACTTGTGCCTGTTCAGGTTGTCCAACTTATGATGCTTGATTGCAAGCGTGCTGTTTCGCTATTAATTCAAAATAAGGACATAATTAGTCCACCTGAAGTTGTGAAGCAACTTCTAGATGCTGATGTCAAGTGTGACTGCAGATATTTCTTACATTTATATCTCCATTCATTATTTGAAGTGAATCCACATGCTGGGAAGGACTTTCATGATATGCAGGTAGGTTATGTTTCTTTCATTTAGTCTATACAAGTCCATTTGTGTTGACAATGTCAATGGAATTGATGAGCAAATTTTCTGGTCATTAAAACCAGCAATTTCACAGCTGGACATTTAATATGCAATTATATTGTACAGCTATAACTGTTATTCTTTTCTTAATTAGGATTGTAACTGTTATTTTCTCCTTAATTAAGTTGTAGGATAAATGTAAATATAGCCATTTAGCTAATTATTGGGCTAAAATCAGCTTGTATTAAACAGTATATATATGAGAATTCTCCATCAGGAGAAGACAGTTTTTCTGCCTACACTTCTCTAAGTTTGACATGGTATCAATCTGGCTTACGATCCTAGCCTAGCCCTGTCCCAGTTTTTCCAATCATTGTCCTAGTCCAAGCTTTTACGGTCCTTGTTTTTTTTCTCAATTCTATCCTAGTCCAGATTTGGTCCTTAGTTACCATTTCATGTCTATTGAAAAGTATGACGTATTATTGGTCCGCTTAAATGGCAAGAACTACTCAGCCTGGGCATTCCAATTCCAGATATTTGTCAAAGGAAGAGATCTTTGGGGTCATGTTGATGGTAGCACTCCTGCTCCTAACAAAGACCAACAGAAGGATGAACATCGCAAATGGAAGGTCAAGGATGCTCAAGTCATGGCGTGGCTCATAGGTTCTGTGGATCCAAACATTATCCAGAATTTACGACCTTTCAAGACTGAAACAGAAATGTGGGCCTATTTGAAGAAAATCTATAGTCAGAATAATACTGCACGCAGATTTCAGCTTGAACATGACATCGCCATCTCTCAACAGGATAGTCTTTAATTTTTGAATTTTACTCTCATTTCATGATTCTTTGGGCAGATTACACTGACATAGTTTATGAAAATTTGACTTCTGATGGTCTTACTTCAGTGCTATCAATTCATGACACTACTAAACGAAATCAATTTCTTATGAAATTGAGATCCGATTTTGAAGGTGTCCGATCTAATCTCATGAATAGAGACCTTGTACCCTCACTAGATACATGCCTCAATGAACTGCTTCGTGAAGAACAACGTCTTCTCACACAATCGACCATTGACCAACAAAGCTTCTCTACTGTCCCAGTGGCTTACGCAGTACAAGGAAAACCAAAAGGCCGTGACATGAGTGCTGTTCAATGCTACTGTTGCAAAGGATTTGGACATTATGCTTCACACTGTCCACAAAAATTTTGTAGTTATTGCAAAAAGAATGACCATATTATTAAAGAATGCGCAACAAGACCACCAAAGCGATCTGCAACAGCTATTACAGCATTGGCTGGTTCCTCTACTTCTAGTAGTTCTACGAATACAGCCTCTGTCCAACATCCTGCTCCTGCTCTGGTTCCAACATTGACTCCTGAAATGGTTCAACAAATGATCATTTTTGCATTTTCTGCCTTGGGACTTTCAGGTAGACCTTTTTCTACATCTTCACCTTGGTACTTTGATTCTGGGGCTTCCAACCATATGACCAACAATGCTCAGTTTCTTACTAATATCACCAAATATTTTGGAAATCTCAAGATTCATACTGCTAATGGAAATCATTTACCTATCACAGCAACTGGTGATATTTCTTCATCTCTAACCGATGTTTTTGTCTCTCCTGGTTTGATTAATAACCTCATTTCTGTTGGTCAATTAGTTGACAATGGTTGTCTTGTAGAATTCTCAAAATCTGGTTGTCTTGTGCATGATCAACAATCAAGGAAGACAATCGCAACGGGGCCTAAAATTGGACGCCTTTTTCCACTTCATTTCCCTTTGTCTCCAAATCTTTCTTTATCTTGTGTTTCTTGTAATTCTGCTACTGTTGATTATCAGATATGGCATAAGCGTCTTGGACATCCAAACTCCAATGTACTGCATCACCTGTTAAAAAGTGGTTTTCTTGGAAATAAACAGTCCCCACCTCTTCATGTTGTTCAATTTGATTGTCTTTCTTGTAAACTTGGCAAAAGTAAAATTCTTCTTTTTTCGACACATCAATCAAACATAGACAAACCTTTTGATATGATTTACAGTGATGTATGGGGGGTGACACCAATTATTTCTCATGCAAGTTATAAATATTTTGTCACTTTCATTGACAATTATAGTCGTTTTATGTGGGTCTATTTCTTGCACGCTAAAGATGAAGTATTGTCTGCTTTCAAACTTTTTCATGCTTATGTTCAGACCCAATTTTTCTCCAAAATTAAAATTCTTCGCTCTGACAATGGAGGGGAGTACATTTCTCATTCTTTTCAGAACTTCTTGCAAACTAATGGTGTTATATTTCAAAGGACATGCCCCTCAACCCCCCAGCAAAATGGGATAGCCGAAAGAAAAAACCGCCACTTGCTTGATGTTGTCCGCACCCTGTTGTTGGAGTCTTGTGTGCTACCTCGGTTTTGGTGTGAAGCTCTCTCCACTGCTGTTCACCTTATAAACCACTTGCCATCTACATCATTAAATAATGATTCTTCTTTCATCCGGTTATTTGGTCACCCACCCAATTATTCCTCTTTTCGAACCTTTGGTTATGTGTGTTATGTCCATCTTCCTTCACAAGAACACATTGAACTCACTGCACAATCTGTTGCATGTGCTTTTCTTGGATATTCTCCTCACCAAAAAGGTTTTCTCTGTTATGATCCTAACTTTCGTCGGATTTGGGTATCTAGAAATGTCATCTTTCAAGAAAATAAATATTTTTTTGTAACTTATCATGATCCTCTTCCTTCCCAAATTTCTATTTTACCATTGTTTTCTACCTCTTCTGCAGGACAGCCTTCATCTAGACCTCTCTTAACCTACCACAGACGAAGTCATACCACTCAAAATCAGCCACCAGATCCTCCTGGGCCCCCTCAAGATTATTCTTTGGCTGCTGATCCGGTACAAGGGCTGCAACTAGTTCCCCTACGACGAAGTTCCCGCACTCATAAACCCCCAAAAAAGTATGGTTTTACCTCTCCCTTATCCTTGACAGCAACATTATCATCAGTCCCTGTTCCTTCTTCTTATAAACAAGCAATGGAGCACGAGTGTTGGCAGCAAGCTATTGAGACAGAACTCCTAGCACTAGAAGAAAATCAAACCTGGGATGTTGTGCCATGTCCCCCATCTGTTAAACCTCTCGGCATCAAATTTGTGTTCACAATAAAGCTTCGTTCGGATGGGTCCATAGACCATTACAAAGCTCGTTTAGTTGTGCTAGGAAATAAGCAAGAATATGGACTTGACTATGATGAGACTTTTGCCCCGGTTGTCAAGATGACTAATGTGCAAACTATACTTGCCCTTGCTGCATCACAATCTTGGCCATTACATCAAATGAATGTCAAAAATGCATTTCTCCACGGGGACCTCAAGGAGGAAGTTTACATTAAACTTCCTAATGGTATGTCCACACATTCACCTAATGCTGTTTGCAAACTAAAACGCTCTTTATATGGCTTGAAATAGGCACCTAGAGTTTGGTTTGAAAAATTTCGAACCATATTACTTGGTTTTTCCTTCACACAAAGCCAATATGATCCGTCTCTTTTTCTACAGAGGACTTCTAACGGCATTTTGGTGTTTATTGTTTATGTGGATGACATTGTCATGACCGGTTCTAATCAAGCCGCTATTTCTAAAATTAAACACTTGCTGCATTCAACTTTTCATATGAAGGAGCTTGGCCACCTCACTTACTTTTTGGGGTTAGAAGTACATCATCAACCTAAAGGGATATTTTTAAATCAGCAAAAGTATATTCAGGATCTAGTTCAGTTAGCTGGCCTCACCAATGCAACCTCTGTTGACACCCCGATGAAAGTTAATGTGAAATATAGCAGAGATGAAGGTGAACTTCTCACAGATCCCACTTTATATCGCAAACTGGTTGGTAGTCTTATCTATGTGACCATCATTCGTCCGGATATTTCTTTTGCTGTCCACACAGTGAGTAAATTCATGCAATCTCCTCGACATTTCCATCTTTCAGCAGTACACCGCATCATACGATACCTCCTTGGCACCTCCAAACGTGGTCTATTTTTTCCTGTTGATTCATCTCTCCAACTCCAAGCATATAGTGATGCTGACTGGGCTGGCTGTCCAGACACAAGGAAATCAACTATTGGCTGGTGTATGTTTTTGGATAATGCTCTAATTTCATGGAAATGCAAGAAACAAGATTCAGTTTCCAAGTCATCCACTGAAGCAGAATATCGTGCAATGTCTACTGCATGCTCTGAAATAATTTGGTTACGTGGTCTCCTTACAGAGCTTGGATTCTCTCAAGCTCAACCAACTCCGCTGCATGCTGACAACACCAGTGCCATACAAATTGCAGCAAATCCAGTTTATCATGAACGCACGAAGCACATTGAGGTTGATTGTCATTCTATCTGAGAAGCCTATGATCGCAAAATTATCACTCTACTTCATGTCTCAACATCTGTGCAAATTGCTGACATTTTCACTAAAACTTTGACACGTCAGCGGCACAATCTTCTTGTTGGCAAATTGATGCTTGTAGACTTACCAGCATCAATTTGAGGGGGGATGTCAATGGAATTGATGAGCAAATTTTCTGGTCATTAAAACCAGCAATTTCATAGCTGAACATTTAATATGCAATTGTATTGTACAGCTATAACTGTTATTATTTTTTTAATTAGGATTGTAACTGTTATTCTCTCCTTAATTAAGTTGTAGGATAAATGTAAATATAGCCGTTTAGTTAATTATTGGGCTAAAAATCAGCTTGTATTAAACAGTATATATATGAGAATTCTCCAGCAGGAGAAGACAGTTTTTCTGTCTACACTTCTCTAAGTTTGACAAATTCAATACAATATTTATGTTTTGAATTGATGAATGAAAGCCGTGTATTCATTTTGTTCTCACGCAAAACAACATAAAACAGTTGAAAAGAAATATAGGATGCTTTGGTTTACTAATTACTAAATACCTAGATATTTAATGATGTGCATACTACACTGCAGCCTTCTCTGAGAAATTGCATCTAAGTCTTTACTTTGCATCATTGACAACGGAGGGGGAAAGAGAATCAGTTAACCAGGACAAATTAAAGTCAAACAAATATTGAAAAGGCAAGCAAAATGTCATAATTAAAGAGACTGCACTATCATGCACTGAACAGGGATGGAGCTAATGCTCTTTGAAGGGGGCTGTGCTCTTGCCCTCCCCTCCCGCAAATTTTTTGTTTTTCTTTATTTTGTATGCAATTTTTTTTAAAACATTATATTTTTTTAACCTAATCATTTTCTTTAATCATCTTCTAGTTGTTATGTAATATAGATTGACTGTTCGGGGATGGCTAGCACTGAAACTAGAATGCTTGACCAGTTCAGGTCTCATTCATATTCAATCTTGTTTAGTAGCTATTGTGGATATAGTTGCCAATTTTGTTTGCAATCTACATATCCATGGCCTTTCTTTTTTGTGGTCATTGTTACCCATTGCTGGCTTTGATTCCTTATTGGTGCTCGAATCTTTACTCTTCTCCATTTTTTGCCTTAAATTTTTGTCTGTTCATTACACTGTCTATCTGAAGTAGCTAAATGAGTAGCAGTCTGCATGTGCTGCCTGTTATTAAATGCTCTGTTCACAGATAATATCGTCTTTGTCTATTGCATAGGTAGAAATTTATGCTGACTATGATTCAAAGATGCTGCTACCCTTTCTTCGAAGCAGTCAACACTATACCCTTGAGAAGGTTTGGGATTAACCTATAATTTGATAGTTATATATTTACACGCCTATGAACCAAATTCTCCAAACTGTTTTTTCAGGCTTATGAAATTTGCATTAGGAGAGACCTAATGAGAGAGCAAGTCTTCATCCTTGGAAGAATGGGAAACTCAAAACAAGCCCTATCAGTTATTATAAATAAATTGGGGGATATAGAGGAGGTACTTTATCTTTTTTAAATAAGAAGTGGCTTTTGGTGTCAACTAACATGTAAATCCTAAATAAGTACTTCACGATTTCTATGTTGAGTTTGAAGTGGTCATATTTTGTTCAGGCTGTAGACTTCGTCACCATGCAGCATGATGATGAACTGTGGGAAGAACTAATCAAGCAATGCCTTCACAAACCTGAAATGGTACATCTTGATAACTAGTTGTATATTTAAGATTCAAGCCTGTTTCATTTCTTCTTTGGGGAACATGATTTTTATTTTTATTTTTATTTTTGGAAGGTAAAAGAAAAATGTTTGGGAGTTGGTTCCTATTCCATTTTTTTAAGGACTAGGACCAGTTAGAGTAATCTGGTAGTATGTATAGCTATGAAGTCTCTTTGCTTCCTTAGGTTAGTTAGTAACTGTTTTGGAAGAATACTACAAGGCAGTGAAATGAATCTTGAGGTACCTAAAGGCACAATTCATTTTGGGCTGATTCTTTGTCTGGCGCTTCTGGAAGTTTCTTTAAGTCTGATAGTCTTTGTGAGGCTGATTGGGCATCAGATCCAGATGACAGAAGGTCGTTGTCTGGCTCATATGTATTCCTTGGTCCCAACCTCATCTCAAGGTACTCTAAACAGCAACTACGTGTTCAGTCCAGCATGGAAGCCAAATACAAAAGTCTTGCTAGTATTGCAGTTGAACTGATGTGGGATTACTGTGACTGTGATCATGAAACTAAAGATGCCCTTCTTTTAGCATCACCTTGTGGGAAAAAAACTTGGTTGTTGTCATGTCTTTGTATGTGGACCTGATGTGAAATCATTATACAAGTAATTTTTGTTTTGTGTGGGTGTGTGTTTTTTTTGGGGGGGGGGGGAGATGAATCTTGCTCAAGAAAAAGTTTCCAAATTGTTTTTTTGTTTTTATATTGAAATCTGTTCCAATATGTTTTCAAAACTTGTTTTCTGTGATGAGAACTTTCAAATCAGTTTTAGGGAGGAAAAAACCCTAAAACAAACAGATATACCCAGTATTTACTTATTTTGTATACCTGCTTTTCTCAACCTGGTTCAAAGATTGATTCTTGTAATTTATAGGTGGGCATACTATTGGAGCACACAGTTGGAAACCTTGATCCCCTCTACATTGTAAATAAGGTTCCTAATGGGATGGAAATACCTCGGTAAGTAAAAAATATGACTCAACGGAAATTACATTGTAGTATCTAATCCTGAAACCCATGCAAGGAATAAAGCATTAGACTTTTTAAGTATTTTGGTTGTAAATCTCATTAAGTAGATAGCCTATCTATCTAGTTCTGCTTATACATCTGCATTGTTGGGTCATGTTTTGAATTTTAACTGATTGTTAAGATAGTTCGATCGGTTTCCCTATTCCAGGCTCCAGCTATATTCAGTAATCAGCAGCATTGTGTTTTTCATCAAGAGTAATTTCTCTATCTGCTTTCTACAGGCTTAGGGACCGGCTGGTTAAAATTATTACTGATTACAGGACTGAAACATCACTTAGACATGGGTGTAATGATATCCTTAAGGTTCATTTCTTCACCACCCACTTCCTTAGGACAAGGGAATTTTTTTGTAATCCCATTAATTTGATGCAATAAGATACCTTACTGATTTGATGTCCATTAAAATAGGCGGATTGTGTCAACTTATTAATAAAGTATTACAAAGAGGCAAAGCATGGAGTTTATCTAAGTAATGGGGAAGACGAGCCAAAAAATAAAAGGAGCGATACTCATGCTTCTCAGGTGTTTGAGAAATCCCCAAGTCAGAGAGCCATGGAAATGAAGTCAAAGAATAGAGGGGGTGGAAGATGTTGTATATGTTTTGACCCTTTTTCTGTACAGAATATATCGGTCGTTGTTTTCTTTTGCTGTCATGCTTATCACACAACTTGTCTAGTGGATTCCTCCTATACTAGTAGTAGCAAGAAAGAGATCCGAGCCACTTCCCAAGAGGCAGAAACTTATGTTTACAATGGTTTTGTGGATGATAACGGCGATGATGATGAAGAGACAGAGGGTGGCACTCGTATGCGTTGTATATTGTGTACTACTGCCGCTAGTTGAGGGTATGGTGTTGATGCATGTCTGAGTCCGCCGCCTGTGCTTGCATGGTTAATATTTTTGTTTCAAAGTTCTTGTCAATATAATTATAGTTTTGATTCAATCTTAGGCTTGTCGCGGTAAGTTAGATTCTTGAATTTTTTTTAAATGCAAATTTTGTTATTTAATTTCTATTTTCTTGAATAGAATATGTAATGAATCATTTTTGCAACGAAGCCGTCGAATAGATGGTGCAGCATGCTTACTAAATATAGCACGATGTAAGACTCAATATATATCAGATTTTAATCGATTTTAAAGGCATTTTAAAATTATTTAAATTATTGTAATTTTATATAAAAATGATCTTTTGATGACTTTGAGATGTAAAATTACTTAGTACATTATTTTATTTTATTTAGTTTAATGTTTTTTTAATTTATAATCAAGTCAATCTATTTAATATTTATTGAAGTGTGGTTGATCTTCGACAGAAAAAGAACAATTCAAAATTTTGATTATAATGATTTTAGAAGAATTAGGGTTGAAGATTGTAATTACAATATGTAAAATTACTATTGACCTGTTTGGATGTTATAGAAATAAGGAGGGAAAAAAAATAAAGTGGAAGATAATGTTTCTTGTTTGGATAATTTATGGATGTGGGAGGAGGGGGGGGCTTTTTTTTTCTTTTGAGTCTCACCGCCAAAAAAAATCCCTCCAAAAAATAAAAACAATATAAATTAAATAATAAACAAATAAATATAATATATAATATTAAATTCTAACCCAATCCGTTTTAAAATTCCCTTTAAAAATTTAAATATCTCATTTCATTAAAAATAACGAGTCAGTCATAATAAATATCTTAGATTCAAGGAAGATAACCTGAAATACACGGTGTATTTCATTGTCTTCAGAAAACCCTATCCTCCACCTTTGAAAGTGAACAAGAATTTTTCATAAAATACAATTCTAATATCACAATCTCATGCATGCTTCTAAACACAGCACTAGTATTTCTTATTCATTCATTATTACAGGCATGCACCAAAGACACTGCACGCCAACCAAAAAGAATGTGTAAAGCTATTTGAAGCTTCTCACTACTTATGCCCTATTTGGTTTGTCCTATCTTAAATTTTCTCCTTAAAAAAAAAAATCTTTTTATTCATTTATATAAGTTTTATTTTTTGTTTTTATTAAAAAATTACATTTTTTTAATATTTTCAAATTATGCTGAGTTGTTTATTTTTTTTCAAAGAGAAAAAAAGGGGGTCAAACACACTATCTTGATCACAAGATTAAAGAGGAGTTTGGAGAGCACTTCCTTTTGGACTACGATTTTTTCCTCGTGTCCCTGCAAGATATATGATTACTAAGCAACCATACAAGTGCGTGAAGCTTAAGAAAAGTAGCTACATAGAATCAACTAGAACACCGAATTTTTGCTTTGCACGGACTTTTTCCATACCATTTCTACGCCTCTAGAAGATGAGCATGATATGCAAAATAATAATATTCTTTTGCAGCAGTCCTAAATTCAACGCCATATAAAATTAAAGAAATAATTTTCCTAGAACTAATTTTAAAATTAACATTAAAAAAATTATCTTTAAAAATAGTATTTTAAATTAAATTTAAAAGAGTTAACTTGAATTATAAGATCACTTTTTAACTGTTCGTGTGTGTTTGAATTAGATTATTTTTTTGGATTATGCAAAAAAAAACATTACTATTAATTTTGTATGGTAAATTTTGAAAATTTAACTTATAATCTTTAACTATCTTTTTTTGCAAAATAAATAAATAACGTATTTATTACAAGTTATCAGCTTATTCTTTTAGTATCCTTCATAATAGAATATTTTAAATATGCGTTAACTATTACACATATTTTTTTAATTTTATCTAATATATTCAAACACAATTTATTTCATGCAATCAATTATTATAATAATATATATTTTATGTACTCACCCAAACATACAGATGGAAGGCTCCACTTGTATAAGTTGAAAATGAAAGTTGGTTGACGAGAAAAAATCTTTCATTTAATGATATTGAAGACTGTGTGTGCATTACTGAATTACAGTCATTAAATTTATATTAAAAATATACCACATTTTATTAACTGAGATTCAAATTGGTTTGAGTATATTTTTAAAATTTTGTTAAGTCTCACACCAAGTCTAATGTAGATAAAAATTTTAAAATTTTTCAGTTCTCCTGAAATTTATTATATTCATTTTTTTTTAATTTTTTTTCACTATCTAGCTATGTGATCTTTGGACGAATAAAATATTATTCACCGTAAACATCATTTACTCTTTTTGTCAAAACAATCGCAGCCTAGATAAACTAGAAAATGATTTACGTTCTTTCTTACCAAAACCTTTTAATTTAAAGCATAATGACGTAAGTTGCCCTAACATGGAAAATGGAGAGAATCAAATCCTTACCTACAAAATGTTATAGAATTTTTAATCTAAAAAAATGCTATAAAATTTCAATCTCATGAGTATAGCAAGCAAAAGTTGCCCAAATACGAAGACATTCAATGAACTACACCAAAACTTTTTATAGCAAACTAACAAAAGTTGCTCGAATAATGGATAGAGATCTAGTGTTTGTTGATTTTATTATTTATTAAGTTTCCAATTTTCAGATTATTCGTTCAAAAATAGCCTTCAAGATTAGGAGTATCACATGAGTTTCAAATAATCACTTTCGAACTACTTATTTCTATGATTATACATGGAAGTACGGCTAATAATAGGAACGTTAACTGTTTAATGCATGCTGCTACTATTTGTTTTGTCTGCCCCTATTTCGTATTGTGTTTATCACGGGACACATGCTTTCGATAACATTAATTTATAGCTAATAGTAAAAATTAGCTTAAGTAAAAAATGGATTAAACTTAAATTTCAGAAAATGCCTCAGTTAGTGCGATATCGATCACAATCAACTTTTATATTGTTGGTTTCATCGTGCCAAAGCCGTTCAAAAATAGTGACTTAACTGGTCCAATTAATTGTCATTCATTATTCGTTGCAGGAAAATAATTGATTATCGCTAAATATCTTATTCCCAACTTCCAAGGACCACGTAAATTTGTAAATTTTTTCATAAATAAGATTTTTTTGTAGCAAGTTTGGATTTGCTTAAGATATACCTTTTTCTGGATTTTCTTAAAAATTGGTTATAATTTTTAAAATAGTGAATGAGTAAAAATTTATTTTATTTTACTTTGCTATTTTTAATTTCAAAAAATATTTACTGTGCCCTCTATTTTCTTATAAACAAATCTCAACCATAGATTGAATAATCTAATACGCCATACAAACGGATCAATTTGTTTTACAATTGGTCATTAAGATTTGGAGATTGATCGATGACTGCGTCATTGTTCAATATATATTTTAAGATTGGTAAATTGAACAATGTTATTTGACTAATCACCACAAGCACTCACTAATTAATATTAATGTCGACAAATCTTGATTGATCAATTATGAAATAAATGGACCAGTCTTACGAATCATGAAATGAAATTTATGATTGAGATTTATGTAACATAGTGATAAAGAGAGTTGCTAGAGAAGAGCAATGTTATCCATTGTCTCTTGTGACAGTGTTTTAATTTTGTATGCTTATGATATCTTCAACCTCACCACATGTGCACAACTTAAATCAATGAAACTGAAAATGCGCATACACTTTGAGGACCACTTGTAAGCATTTCACAAGATCAATATTAGGATTCAGAATATCATAATAATTATAATAAATTCTTCTATCTCTTGAAGGACTCTCTTTAAGACATTGTATACTATATTTTCTTCTTTTACTATTATATTCTTTGATGAAAAGAGTATGTAAAGTATTAAAAATAAAAATGAAGTTTTCACCTTATATAATCACAATGATCTTAATTTATGCCCATCAAAGATTAAAGCTTACTTGATTTTACACTATTATTCAATACACTTATTAGTTGGGTTATAACTTAATAAATATTTACAAGTAGTATACACAATATTTTTCAAATTTACGATGAATGACATAATTACATGAACTCACGAAATTTTTTTGAGTAATTCCTATTTTATAAGCTAAAATTCATTAATAAGTCCAACCTTATCACTCTGTTTAGGTGAATGAAAATAAGGGAAAAGAAAGAAATAAAAAGAAAGTAAGAAACTTCTTAAATTTGGATGTCACGCGGAAGAGGGGAGAGAGAGTGCTTTTATTTTATTTTTGAGTTTGAAATAAAATTTTTCAAAGTGGGAAGGGGACACTCGAGAGTGGGAATGAGTGGGAGGGTGAGTTTTTTTTTTAATTAAATTCTTAAAAAATATATTTAATAATATAAAATATTTTTTATTCATAAAAAATATTATGAAAAAATTATATTTCAGATAATTTTAATTTCTAATGATTATTTTTAATATGATTTAATTATTTATTTTCACTTTTTGTTATCTATCTAAATAAGCATATATATATATATATATATATATATATATATATTTATTTATTTATTTATTTATTTATTTTCTTCTCTTTTATTTCAATCTCTAAACATCAAATATTTTTTATTATACTTTTTACTTTATGTCTTATCTTTTAATTCTAACATCACATCCTATATAAGGACGTCTTTGATTTAAATTTGAAACAGAAAAGAAGCAAACCTGAAAGCTAATATTCTTCTGAGTTGCAAGTTGCAATGAAACACCACCCCATGTCGTTCATCAAATGGCCTCTTTTAATCTTTCTAATGTATTCAACCCATCTCACTGCAACACACTCCTTGAAAATTCCAAGGTTGAGTCCCATTCCTGAATGGGAAAGAACCTTAAACGACCCTCCATCCTTGGATGCAAATAACACAGATAACGTAAAAACATTTTACTACAAACAGGTTCTTGATCACTTCAACTATAGGCCTGAAAGCTACAAAACATTCCAACAAAGATATCTCGTCAATTTCAATTACTGGGGTGGCTCCAAATCTAGTGCTCCAATATTTGCCTACTTGGGTGCAGAAGAACCAATAGATAATTCCCCTCAAGTGATTGGTTTTCTCACTGATAACGCTGCCTCCTTTAACGCTCTCTTAGTATACATAGAGGTATATTATATACTACATAGAATTTCTATTTATTCAATATTCAATGGTCCAATTTTCAAAGATTTTTACTGGAGTTTGACAAATCCTAATTCTTTTCTCTTCTCATCAGCACCGGTTTTATGGGAAATCAATACCATTTGGATCCAGGGAAGAAGCATTGAATAATGCAAGCACTAGAGGGTATTTCAACTCAGCTCAAGCTATAGCAGATTATGCTGAAGTTATCATACATGTAAAGAAGACATTACACGCTCAAAAGTCCCCAGTGATTGTAATTGGAGGATCATATGGTGGAAGTAAGTTTCTCAAATAGTCTTCATATATAGTGATGTACCCTTTAGTTGTTTTTATTTATATGTTGTTGATAATATATGTTTGGTATAAATGCAGTGCTTGCTTCATGGTTTAGGCTCAAATATCCCCACTTGACCATTGGTGCCCTTGCTTCATCAGCTCCAATCCTCTACTTTGATAATATTACGCCACAAAATGGTTACTTCTCTGTTGTTTCAAGGGATTTTCGAGTAATTTACCATAATTTGATTTTAATCTCCTATTAATTTGTTATCAAATGCATCATCATAAAGGTCACCTAATGATGAATTGGTACGTGCAGGAAGCTAGTGAGACATGCTACAAAACTATACTCAAGTCTTGGTCTGAAATAGACAGAGTAGCTTCTCAGCCAAAGGGTCTTTCCATTCTTAGCCGGAAATTCAACACTTGCCAGTACAAGCACTATTGCTTAATATATGATTTTGATTCATGAAAGTATTAGGTTTTTTTGTTTAATTTTTATTTTATTATTATTCATTTTTAATTTATATTTAAGAAGTATTTGAAAAAAAAATACATCAAGAGTTTGTGAAAATAATTTGAGTTTATTTTAATAAATTTTATGATTAAATTTATGTCATAAATATTTATGTACTAAGTTTATTAAATAAACATTTAATTAAATGCATTCTTAACAAAATAATATATTATTACTTTCAATGATTAAAAGCACATATTTTTTTTAAAAAAATTATAACTTCAACTTCTATAGCATTGAATTTAAAGAACTGATAACAGTAAGATTTGATTATTTTTTTTAAATATATATTTTTTAAAAGTAAAATATATTTAAGACTTTTTCTTTTCTTGGGTTGATTGGGGGGCTAAAATTGAAATTGCATTTACTCACTTAGTGAGTTTTTTGCAGTCCCTTAAACCAGTCAGATGATTTGAAAGAGTACTTGGAGTCGATGTATGCTGCTTCGGCTCAATACAATCGTCCTCCAACATATCCAGTTACTGTGATCTGTGGAGGCATTGATGGAGCTTCTTCTGGCAGTGATATCCTCAGTAAGATATATGCAGGTGTTGTGGCTTTAAGGGGAAACACCACATGCAAAGTTAATGGCCCTATTATCCCATCTGAGATTACCACGGGTTGGAGATGGCAGGTAATCAATTAATTAAGAAAGATGTTAATTTATCTCAGTAAAGTTTTACTAAAAAACTACTTATAATTATAAGAACTATTTTTTCAAAGAAATACTTGATATTTTTGAATGGTTAGAATCAGTATATACATACATATATATACATATATATATATATATATATATATATATATATATATATATATCAGTGATCTAATTTTTGTAATGTCATCCATTCATTCAATTAAATTTATGATCACGTGTGCTCAAGGCTATATCATTAAAAAAATTAATAAATAATACATTTTTATTTAAAATTATAATAAATATGATTAATATATTAATTTTAATGATATTATATATTTTTTAATAAAAATCACTATATATAAATTTTGATTAAGCATTTTTAAATACACGTTAAATCGTATAAGTATTTATATTTTGAAAATTTGGTTAATTATTGCTTTACGTGTTGCATAAAATTTTACAATCCTATAGCTAGCCTTTTAGAACAGAATGTAATAAAAGCTCAATTTTGATGAAAATTATAAAAACAAAAAGATTTGACCCTTATAAATAAATTATCATTCGATGATACATATGTTGCTATTAAAAAAGTTATTATTTTATTCCTGAACACTCATTGAATAGTAATACAGTAGTAGCATATCGTTGAATGACAATTAATATATTTTGTAAAACATTGAACGAGCTTGCTTGCAAATTAAACTAAACAAATTGCGTTTGTTTGTATTAAAAGATATCACTCTATATTTAATGTAAAATTACAAAAAAAATCTACTTTTTATTTCTTTTTATATGCATTATTACAATATTTTCTTTCAGTATTATTCATACGAATACATATTCCAGTTGATCCAAAAATAATAAGAATTGTTCTGTACATTTAGACATGTAGTGAAATGGTGATACCCATCAGCATAGGAAAGAATACAATGTTCCAACCTGATCCTTTCAACTTAGAGAGCTTTGCCAAAGAGTGCAAAGAACAATTCGGGGTCTCACCTCGTCCTCATTGGGTCACTACTTACTATGGAGGCCATGTAAGAGCTTCTTGTTCTCTTCTTCTTTGTAACATTCATATGGATTTTTCATTCTCCAAACCAAAGATTATTATTATATTGACACCACGATGCTTCATTGTGATGGCAGAATATAAAATTGGCCCTTCAAAAGTTTGGTAGCAATATCATTTTCTCCAATGGACTAAGAGACCCTTACAGTAGTGGCGGGTAAACATCGTAAAATACAAAACGTGAATTGATATAATCAATTGTTTAAGAACAATAGTTTATAACATTGCAGGCTTCTAAACAACATATCAGATACTCTGGTTGCCGTCTATACAGTAAATGGTACGACTTGGTTCGTTTTTTATTTTTCTTGCTGAGAGTTTCCCATTGTTATTTTTCAATAAAAATAATTACATAATACATATTTCTTTTAATTTAAATTTAATAATATCAATGAATTTTCCCAAAAAAATGACTAGTTTTAATTACTCAAACTTTGATGGGCCTTTGGGCCCTTTGGAACGTTGACTTTTCAGGATCTCATTGCCTAGATATTCTGCCTGGACGTAAAGACGATCCAGAATGGTTGGTGGAACAACGGAACAAAGAGATTCACATTATCAGAGGTTGGATCACTCAGTACTACGCTGATCTCGTTGCCCTCAAAGCCTCCTCCAAATTCTAGACCAAACAAATCATAGGATCAAAATCAACTACATATTAGGATTTTCCTCTGCATTTCCACCATTATACTTCAGCATTAGTAATAATTTCCAATAAGTTATTATCAATATAAGCTACCATGTATAACGATGATCAATCTGTAAGCAAATTAAGTTTAACTACTCTCTCCTTTTAGCTCTTCACCTAATTAAACACTAAAAAAAATGTTGGTTTATCCACACTAATTTTGTTATTAATGAGGGTTTACTAAAGACATTATCTACCGTTGTCAGAGTTGAAGTATACTCATTAACATGTACTTAGCCTAAGGATTAAAGTTTATAATTAATTAACTAGTCTTAATTCTGACGAAATAAGAACAAAAATGAAATCTGATGAGGAATCGATATCTTGATACGATGTCATATATATACAATGATTGCTTGTATGAAAAACCATTACTTTATTTATTTATAAATAGTATGCTTTATTTTTGTTCGATTGAAAGAGTGATATACAAGCGATTGAATTATCGAGTGAAAAAAATGTTTGACATTTCCTTATTATTTTATCTTCATGCATGATTTGCATTTTAATTTTTAAGTTTATGAAATCACGCTGGGATCTTTTGGTTCAAAATGAAAGCATGAGATTGTAGCGTATTTTTGTGATTACTTCCTGTATAATAAAGGTAAATCTAAAGTTCAAAACATGACTTGTATAAAGTGCACTTATTTTTTGTTTCTACATACGTACTTTTTTTATAGAAGATTTTATGTTTATTTTTTGGTACATAAAAATAGACAACTCTTTCAGTAAAGATTTGAACAGTAATTTGTCACTTTGTCAATTTTTATATACTATATCCTGATTTATATTTTTAAATGAGAGATTTTTAGGAATAACTTTTTACTTTTGTATGTTACATGTTTTTTTTCTACATTAAATATTTAATTTTTTGTTACTATTTGTTTTTTTAGTATTATTTCTTTATTTAAATTTTAAATTTTTATAAAATAATTAGTTACAAGAGGAGAGTATCACTATGAAAGAAAATATTTATTATAAATATTAGTTGTTAAACTTGCTCTATAGTTGATATAGACTCTGTTTGATGAAAATAAAATTATTAATAAAATATTGTACATCTAAGCTAGCAATATAATTAATCATGATGACAAACTTTGTTGGTAGAATATATTGACATAGATCATTAAAATACCATATTGTTTGCATGATAAATTTGTAACGGATATATGAACAATTCAATTTTTATATAAAAATTACATTAATGAAACTAATTAATCAAATAACTAACTGTTAGTGAACTCTTTTAGTATACGTTATTCTTTTTAAGAAATACAAATTTAAATTTTTTAATACAAGGATAAATTTATAAATCAATCCCAGTATGATAAACTGAATCATCGTTACTTGATTAAAACATATTATGAATATAATTAGATACAATATATGATCGGATTCTAGGATGGTGTAATCAGAGCTGAGGTCTACTTAATTATACAGCTAATATGAATAATGTGTGAGAATGTTGTTAATACATGTCTTACAATAATGAAAAAATGTATCTAAAACTTATTAACTAATGTAACCTAAAAACGTGTAGGCGTGATATGCAGCTGGTCCACCTATATTCCATCGTGTTCCCATTTACTTATGATTTTAAATCAAAGAAATGAAAATGCAAACTTCTACTACAAAAGCACAATGCTTCCATCAATGGGTCTTCCTATTATTCATCGTTTGGTCGACTAATTAGGAGAATTCCACGAAAGAAGCTTCCTTGCATTTCAATATGTATAGTGGAAATACAAGTGAAGAAAAATTGCCATGATATATACATTTTTGTGTTTGTGATATATACTGTTTAGAAATTAGATCGTCTCCACTATAAGCTGATCAATGGAAATTAAACTGTCTACACTTCTTTTTGGAGAGGATATGGGTCCGTGACCATGATTACCATTTATATGTGAATCGCATGTGTCTACTGTATTTGCTAAGAAAGCACATAGCATAAGCAACTCTCACTGTCAACAATGGCCCAAGTGTTTCAGAGTTCACACCGTTACAGCTGGATGGTGTTTTGTGATTGTTTCAAAATAGAAATGGTGGAACTCAAAAGGTTCCATCTTATAACAGAAAATTCCCATTTCCTCTTTCACTCGTCAGTGGTACACAAAAGAATAATGTTAGTCATACATTATATTATTATTTTGGTGTATAAGGTGGAGAGAACAAAGATAATATAACAAAAATATATATAAAAATAAAGTACAAATTATTATATAGCTGTATGAATATAATGTTATTCAAGAAATATGGGTAATTTATCCACATGCGTTTTACAATTTGCAATGTTCACATTACCCTTCAGTTAGTGTATTTCTCATTCCTCGTCCACTTTCTTCCTTATTTTCACGGAAGCACCATCTTTAGTACCAAAAATGTGTTCCATCATTGCGATAAAGGAAAAGCAACAAATGTGATTGATCCGTTTTGCAATAAAATGGAAAAAAAAGGTCAGCTACCTAATCTAATCTGGTTAGCATAATTGAACTTTTCACCGCATAAGCCTCCACTAGATTCAGAGTAATTGGTTTTTTTTTTTTTTCAATAGAGTGAGTTATTGATTTGATAAAGCATATAGATTATATGTCAATATGCATATATTGTTGGTGCAGTAGAAGAGTGCATGTTTGGAAATTTTGATTTTAAATTGTTTTAGTCTTTTGGTTTTGTTAAACCAAATTCAAGCTTAGTTCTAAAACTATGCATGTTTGGTAGAATAAAAGTAAAACAAAATGTAAATTATACATTGAGACAAAAAAAAGTTATATTAATTTTTTTAAATATGAAATTAGGTTACTATATTCAAGTTTTTTTCTTTTTAACCTTCAAGTGTTTTTCATATCCATTTATGTTATACTTAACCATATTCTGAAATATATATATATATATATATATAAAATTTTCTTATACCAGTATAAGTCTAAAAACTCTTATACTCAATTTAAATTTTTAATTTAACTTACATTTAACTGCCAATAAAGTAATAAATTATAACTTATTAGATATAAATTAAATAAAAAATTAAAATTGAGTGTAAGAAAATTACATATTATATATATATATATATATATATATATATATATATATAATTTTTTTCTTTCTTTTTAACGTGGCATTTTATATTGATAGAATGAAAGAGTGTAAAAAAAAAAAGATATAGATGAAACACGTTTCTAACTTTTGTCTTTTGATTTATCAATTAAACATATATATACTTCATTAATAAATGTTTAAAATATTTTAGATTAAATAGGGAGTATATATTTAATTTATAAGTGCTTGCTCATGTGTTTAAAGATTTAAAAGAATAACTTAATTTTTTTAAATTAACGATTAAAATAAATATATTTATATTGATGATTGGGTTAATATTTTAAAAATAAAAAAATATTTATTTTTTAAAAATAGACTGATAACTATTATCATATATTATACATATTTAATATAATACTAAAAGTGATTATTATTCTTGATTTGAACGTCATAGAAAGCTCTCTTAAATTTTTAAGACAAAATAAAATTTACCGAATTTATAAAAGAAATAATAGTAATGAGTGTTGGTGCTTTGAAGAAAGAATCAATGCAGATAAATAACTTTTATAATTTAAATCACTAAAAATTAACAATATAATATTCTATAGAATTCTTTTAATTTTCACACGCGCGCATATATATATATATATATATAATACGAAAAATTGTTGTATAATTTAAGATCACGGTGTATTTATAACCTTAATTAATGAAAGCTTGATCAATAACGTGTAAAAATTAGCTGAAATCATAGGCATATACAGTTATTGGATGCTATCATTATGCCAACGTTGAAGCAATAACACTAATGAAATAGAAAGTGAAATTAACTTTTCCTGCTTAAATTAATGGAGTGATTCGCTGTGTAACATTATGTGGATAATGCTCAGTGTTGTGTCGATTTGGTAGTTTTAAACCCTCACGCCATTACCATTAGCTAGATAATGTTTTGTTAGTTCAGCTACTGGTTTCCTGGCCTGTCTCAATAAAGCATTGTAATGCTAAAAAAGTATTATGTCTTCGTGTTTATGCTGTTAAAGATTATTATTAACCAAAAGATATATAGAACACACTGATTAATTAAGTGGTCAGAACTATCAAATCTCTCATAAATAGTTAATTACATTGTAAAAAGAGTGTTAATTATTAATACTTCTCCCCAAGGTGATCATGAACATCCATGGCTACGTATATATATGGCCACGCAAGGTATTAATTAAGTGGAATATCCTCTGACAATGAAAGTAATTGAATAGAGACCTATATATATCAATCAAATTATAAGGTTTGAGCTCTTAAACTTAAAGTTTGAATAAATATTTAAATCTTTTACATTGGTCTAATTAAATTCTCATAAAAAACAGGCTCAGTAAAGCCAACTTGTATAACTTTTTTCTTAACCTTTTAAATAACGTTGTTTTATGTTCTTTAATTAAAATATAAAACTTAAAATATTTTCTTTCAATGTTTAAAATCTTTCTTTCTTTTCTTTTCTTTGAAATCTTCTTCATAATTATCATTATTATTAGCATATCTTTTTTCATTTTTTTCCGTTAGACTACAATAATAACAAATCTTTCCAAGTTAGTTAAAATTATACATATGTGATAAAAAAAATTATAAATATTTAACATAATTACAATTATTATATCTCAAACTTAATATCTCAAATTAAAATTAAAATGATCACATAAATTTGTTCTCTGCATCAAGTGTTGTGAGAGCAAGACAAATAACCAGAATTCATAGCTCTATGGCAGAACTATAATGCCCTTGCCACGTGAATGATCATTCAGTTCTTTTCTAACTTCTGAAAAGGTTTTTTCAATATATATAAATTTGAAGCACGAGTAATCGAATGCATGAATCTTAGCTGCATCCACATCATTTTATTCTTACCTGAAACTGCAGGGCACTTTTATTAGCAAAGCTCTCAATTTTTAAAGACCCACGCGGTTCAGTCATTTTGCATTGTAGGTCTATATAAGGAGGTATATAGGCTCATAGGTAGCTTATTTTACTCTCTTTTTTAAGTAAAGTAGCACCATCTTGTTTTTTCTTTCATTTTAAAAATTTTTATTTCTACGATTGCCTTTTATACTTCAACTCATGTTACATGAAAGTTAGTCCCTGTGGATGTTATTAGTTCAAGTAATAGTGTTTTATTTAAAAGATATATATATATAACCCGTTCTAAAAAATTAAGATTTTACATAATAAGTCTTTGATATTCAACAACCTTTGTTAAAAAATAATCGCAGAATTCAAAACATTTATCTATTCAATCATGAGGTAAATCAGCTGCTACCCCTTCTATACGAAAAAAATTATGCATCATTCTCATACCTATCGCAGCTTCGAATAAATCATATATTAATTCTCTTTTTCGAAAAATATAGAAAAAAGGGGTTTGTGCACCAATATCTGCCATAAAAGATCTCAGGCCATAGTAGATGAGAAGCTATACGACTCAACTCTAACATAATTACTCAGATATAGCTAGCTCTTATATATATATATATATATATATATATATATATATATATATATATATATGGGACAAAATAAATTTATACTAATGTAAATTTAAAAAATTTTACATTCAATTTAAATTTTTCATTTAACTTACATTTAACAGATTATAATAATCTATTAAAAATGTGTTGATATTAAAAGAAGAAAAGTATTAGAAATATATTCTTAATATATTTTTATTATTAACTAAAATTTATAAAAAGATAAAGTAAAAACAATAAATTAAAAATAAAAACTTGCATAGTTTTTGTATGAATTTTAATAAGTTTTAGTTAAAAAAAAATGTGTTATATATATATATTACAAAGTGTTATTAGCATCTCACTTAAAAGAATCAATAGAAAGATTTTATAGGCGATATACCATTAGCTTTTTCAATGTCATGCAGTATATATACATGTGCATATCTTACAACCTTTAAACATTGGAGTCTAGGAGACACGCCTTTAGTCTCAAGTCTCACACATACATTCAGACATGGGATCCACCATACACTCATTTCAGTGGCTTTCTTTGTTCTTTCTAATTATTTCAGCTAATGTTTCAGCTTTCAAAATTCCAAGGTTAGGAACTTCGAGGAGAACTAAGAAACTCGAACCCCAAATCATGTCTTCCTCACAACTTCCTGAAGATCTCAAAACATTTTATTACACCCAAAGACTTGATCACTTCAACTACAAGCCTGACAGCTACACCACTTTTCAACAAAGATATATGATAAATTTCAAGTACTGGGGTGGAGCTAAATCAAGTGCACCAATTTTTGCATTCTTTGGTGCAGAAGCACCGGTGGATGAGGATATATACTATGTTGGGTTTCTCAGAGATAACGCTCCTCAGTTCAATGCTCTTATTGTTTATATAGAGGTAATTAATCAAGAGCGTAGATGAACTCGTTAACATTCAGTAACTGTGGCCATATTTGGCAGTCCAATATTTGCATTAACCAGAAACTACTACTTACTAACTGTTATTTCTATCTTTTTAATATATATTCAAACACACATAATAAAAATTTATAGAATGTAACGCAATGATAGGATTATACGTTATGATTTTTAATAAAAAAAAATTATTTATTTTTTATTAAAATTGATTGTTACTTTATGCTAACATATGATGTTTTTAAACAGCATAGATACTATGGGAAATCTATACCATTTGGGTCAAGGAAGGAAGCTATGAGAAATGCAAGTACTCGCGGTTACTTTAACTCAGCCCAGGCAATAGCAGACTATGCTGCTGTGCTTTTACACATCAAGAAAACTTTGTCCGCTCAGAATTCTCCCATAATCGTTATTGGAGGCTCTTATGGTGGAAGTAAGAAAATTGAAGTACTTTAAATTGTGAAATAAATTTCAAGTAGGACTTAAACAAACGCTTATATATCTAGAGCTTTTTTATCACACGTGGTAGTTAATTATTTACTCAATTATATATTTTTTCTTGTGTACGAGGGTTTAATTAATTAACTTCCTTCACTTATAAATTTATTATGCAGTGCTTGCATCATGGTTCCGCCTAAAGTATCCCCACATTGCTCTTGGTGCTCTTGCCTCATCAGCACCAATTCTTTACTTCAATGGCATTGCCCCACAAGCCGGATACTACTATATAGTAACCAAAGACTTCAAAGTAATCTACTAATTAATCTATGCAAATCTTTTCTTTTAAAAATAACAAAATTTCTTTAATTAATTTAAACCCTTAAAAGAAATATTGCAACGGATGCATAATTTTTTTGGTTCAGGAAACTAGTGACAGCTGCTACCAAACTATACGTAAATCATGGTCTGAAATCGACAGAGTTGCTAAGAAGCCGAATGGCCTTTCAATTCTCAGCAAGAGATTTAAAACTTGCAAGTAAGCTAATTATGTATACTTCTCTACTCTGTATATGTACAGCTGTAAATTATCTTATTCATTTAAAAATCGATTGTATAAAATATATATCGTTAATTTTAATTTCTTTTTCGTGTTTCAGCAAATTGAACAAAAGTTTTGAGCTCAAGGACTACTTAGACTCATTATATACAGATGCTGCTCAATACAATCAACCTCCTGAGTACCCAGTTAAGGTTATATGTGATGCAATTGATGCAGCAGCAGCAGCTAAGAAAACCGATATTCTTGGCCAAATATTTGAAGGTGTTGTCGCTTATATGCGACATCGTTCATGTTATGATATGAATGAATACAATCACCCAACTGAAACTAACCTGGGTTGGAGATGGCAGGTAAATATTACGGTGTTAGTAAAAGTCACATTCATGATTAATCCCAAGACCAAATTAATTAAGGTGTATGTTTTCTATACACAGCTTAATTAAACATATTTATTCAATAATTTTGTTATTAACTTACTAGCATAATTAAAAATAACTTATTTTGATAAGTTACATAAAAAAAAACTCATTGAAATAAATTAAAAAGAACTGATAAAACTCATAAGTTGTTATTTTTTTAAAACAGGACTAAGTACATGTTTGAAAAAACTTAAGAAAAATTTATAAAAAATAGTTTATGACTCTCTTAAGTTTCATTGCTAAATTTATTATATAAGTCATTATTTTAAAAAGAATTTATTAAATAAGTATTTAATTAAATAATTATTCAATAAAATGAATTAGATTAATATTAATTAAATTAACTTTATAAACAGACATGCAGCGAGATGGTTATGCCAATAGGTCATGAAAGGAATGACTCAATGTTCCCACCAGCACCTTTCAACATGAAGAGATTTGTTCATGATTGTTGGAGCTTATATGGTGTCCTTCCCCAGCCTCATTGGGTGACCACATACTATGGGGGTCCTGTACGGTTTTTTCTTATTATTCAGCTTCATGAAACGTGAATTCATTAGTCATATCATTAAGCTTCACGTTTCTTATTCTATATGATTATTTATAAAATATTAACGCTTTTGATTAATTTATATTGTACAAATAAAATGCAGGATTTGAAACTGATTCTCCATAGATTTGCTAGCAACATCATATTCTCCAATGGGTTGAGAGATCCGTACAGCTCTGGCGGGTAAATTACGAAGAAACTAAATTTGATAATGACAAATATAAATATTTTCTTTCAAGTAAATTTTTAAATAAGCTTTTGAGATTATATAAATTAAATATTTTAATCTTTAAATTTTTTACTAGTCCCTAATTAACTAAAAAGTCATTTATTTTAATTTCTTACTTAATTTTGTATTATTATTTTACACCAAATAAAATTAAAATGAATGAAATGTTATAAAGTTAAAAATTAATATAGTTTTAAAATTTCAGAAACTATAAAACATGATCTATATAATTTGAAGAATTAAAATACATGATTCATACAATTTAAAAAATTAATTTAAGGATTTACTCAATTTCTTCTTCAATCATTTGTCTTTCTCCCTTCTAATTTTCAATTTGTTTTATTAACCTCTTTTTTTCATTCTTTTTCCTCTCTTTTTGTGCTCACTATATGAACCGCAGGGTATTGGAGAGTATTTCACGTAGTGTCATTGCAGTTTCCACTGTAAATGGTACTTCATCAATCATTACAATCATATATACATTATTGTTTGTACACATTATATGCGGTTTAAGAGAATGACGTCTCTCAATCGAGTTAATGACTTCATGATTAAAATGATAGTGTGGCTTTTAAACATGGGAATATTTAATTTATTTACATACAATGTATATTTCAGGTTCTCACTGCCTAGACATACTTTCACAAAAACCAAGTGATCCTCAATGGTTGGTGACGCAGAGAAATATTGAGGTCAAGATAATCAAAGGTTGGATTGCCGAGTATCAAGCTGATCTATTAGCACTAAATAAACAAAGCAAAGCACCAATACCCGAAAGTTAATTGGTCCACGACCTAGATAATGAAGTAATTAGTGTTCCATTAAAAAGTTGTAACTAAGATTGTGGTACTAAAGTTAAACCCAACAAAGTTTGTCCTGTAATATTTAGTGTGGGTTAGTGATGGGAGTGGCTGTTCATATGTATAATATATAGTACTTTATAATATAAAGACATAATGGAAAGCATTATAATGATTTAGACTTGTTTTTCTTACGCGGAATCCACCAATACGTGCAGCGAATGGCATTTAGAAAAGCATTCGACTATGCAGTCGTCGTTAGCGTTTGTGAGGGGAACATTATGCAATTATGCTTCCTCGCAGCAAGCACGCACCAATGAAGTATGAGGGTATGCTACCTCTTATTAAGACCACTTTTATCTGTTCGTTTTTGTGTGTCTGATGTCTGTGTCTGTCAGAGACATTTTGTGTTATCATTAGCCAATAACAGTGGAGTTCCAAAACAAAGGTCAACTACTTGAAGTGACGTGCCCAGTAGCTTTGCTATGTATATATAATAAGAACTAAATGTTATAATATATATTTTGAAAATATTGTCGTCTTTAATAATATTATTAAAAAAAACACTTCTGATCTAAAAATGTTGATTTGTAAAATTATTTTGAGAATTTTTCATTACAACTAAATCTAAAATTTATTTTTAATATGTTTATTCTATGTGCTCGTGATAAAAGGTATTCTATTTAAATGTCAAAATTTAAGACTTCGGGTGAGGTTTAAATGAAAAAAAAAATGTTGTATTCGACTTAAAAATTTGATTTGCATTTTAATATTAATGATTTTAATTTAGTTTTCACATTGAAGGTATTGAAAGAACTGCCTTTAATATCTCAAAATATTAAACTCAATCAGAAGATTAGATTAATTTTTTTGCAAATACATGTGTTATTTATATAAAATTATTGATAATATTAGTAATTACTACCAATGATGAACAAAAGTTATTAAATTCAAAATTACTTAAATTTTATTTGAGATCAGTTATGTCACAAGATATATTAGTGGATAAATTAATCATTTTATTTACTGAGAGTGAAATGTTCAAATTACTTAATCGAACAATTGTAACAAGTAATTTTACAGCTCTAAAATTTAAAAGAAAAAAAAAGACAAATTATAAATTATATTATATTAAATCTTGAACAGAATGTTTGCCTAATAGCTTAAAAATTTTAGAGGTGTACGTGTGAACTGTGAAGTGAGTTAATTTTGTTCAGAAGTGCGTTTTATAACGTATTTAGTAATTAATTCAAGTGAGGAATTATTGCGTCACACATTTGGTGTCATTCGTTTGATAGTGTCAATTGGGCCGTATATGTGAAGCCCAACTTCTCCCTTCAGAGTACTTAATAGTGAATATGTAGAAAAGGGGTTTCATTACTTCCTAAGCCTCATGCTCATGGGAACACTTTTTACTGTTTATTTTTCTGCAAAATATTGCACCTCAAATTCCTTTTCATCCAAGTGGAGACATTTTGGCAAATGGGAAATATGCAAGAATTGTTATCAATATAATGACTATTACCATTCATTGTGCTTTCCGCAGAATAATATTTCAATTATTTTATCATTTTACAAAATCATTATTTAATAATAAAAATCATAACACATGAAAGCAACGCTGTTTTCATGTATTATGATTTTCAATAATATTTCAATTTCAGTAAACTGAAGATATTCCTTCATAAGTCATAACACAGCAAAGAAAGAAAACGTAAATCAGCAAGGAATTCACGAAAAACTTGAAAAAAGAAACAAAAAATAATAGAACTTCATTATTTATATAAAAAATATTACTACACATTTAAAAATAATATCTTTATATATTTAAAATTAATCCTAAACATTTTTGTGTATATCTAATTAGTCCAATAATAATAATAATAATAATGTCCTTAAGCGTGTAGCTGGTTACTGTTGGCAATAGGAGGAATCGAAGACAGGGGCGGAGAAACGCATCGGATCGAATGGAAGTGGTGAAGATGGTGGGTTTGAAGCCACTGATACGACGACGTTTGGGTCTGAGAGAGTCCATTCTATGTTCCCTATCCGAGAAGCTCAACCCCCCACTTCCCTCGCGCGTCACCCCCAAACGCTTCCTGGATCTCCACCAGGTGAGTTGCAATACACCCCTTTCTACTCTTCTCTTGTCATTCCGCTCCTCCACCACTAAATGCTCTAAAAATTGAATTATTATTTTTATGGAAAATTTTGCAGTTTGGAAATAAGGAAGCAATTGAAAAGGAGCGCGCTCGGCTGTAAGTTCTTTTTTTTTGGGGGGGGGGGAGATTTGAATTGTAATAGTAAATGGAAGTGAAGTATAGTAGTGATGATGATGGAGTTTTATGCAGTTCAGATGAATTGAATAGGGGATACTTTGCTGATATGGCTGAATTCAAGCAACATGGTGGTAAGGTATTGCAATTATATGGAAACTTCTTGGGTTGCGTTGTTATTTGTAACGTTCAATTTACTCTGCTGTTAATACCCAGCAACTCTTTGATTGCATATTCTTTTGTTTCCATAGCATGTGATAAGGTGGAATGTGTCCAAACTTCCAGAGAGAACTACACAGTATTTCATGTGCTTAATTTCATTGTTCCTACTAACTTGACGTAGCTAAAACTAATTAACCAAACTCCATATTGGTCAGTTTTATCTGACTTGTCTCTAAATTGGTTTGTTCAAGCTTTCTTGGAACCTGACATCTCGGTTAGGCTAACCTTAAAACATTTAGCTAATATCATTTTGATCTACCATATCCATTGGGTGGACTGGGAGCGTAAAGTGATAATAAAGTGATTTGTGCAGATTGCTGTTGCTAATAAAGTGATAATACCAGCAATGGAAGCCGTGAAGTTTCCTGATCTTGAAGTCAGCTTTGCAAGTGGTAAAACAATGAAGCTTCCTATCCGTGTTTGTGACAGTGTAGTTGATTCTGATAAATCATCTGTCCCCAAGGCATCTTTGTATTGTCTTTCATTTCGAGCAAGCTCCCAGGTAATGGATCATGGCTGTGTTTTGTAAAGATAAGACTTCTATTATCTACACTATTGTATAGTGTGCTCATCTGAATGCAGCCGACACCAACCTTGTATGTCTTTATATGAAACACATTTTATTGTAGCATTTGTTGTAGTCTGTCCTTATTAACTATTCTATTTGAAAGTTGAACTATAACTGCTATTTGTTATCCACAGTAACATTAATTAAATATCATTGAAGAAAACAGGGTAAATGACGGGGAAAAGGATAGAAGATACTGAAAAATGTTAAGAAAAGCTACTTTATTTGTATTCTTAGAAGGCTAAGTTTGCAACAATTCAACCTTAACAATCCTTGTTTTTGCCTAGCAAATCTCATATATTGCTATTATCATGGTGTGTCCTTCGGTAAAGAATTTCAACCCCTAAGAAGTGCCATTTACATTATTGATCAGATTACAAGTGATAAAGGAATTACATATTGTCATCATTGTATTGTTTGGTACTTCGGTAACATTTTTGGTTTGATTTTGGCTTACTGTTGCTACAGCCAATTCTTTCTATATCCTTGACAGGTATTGATCAATTCTTGGAGTGTGCCTTTTGTAGAAGCCTTTAGAAAATCAGAAGATGTTCATCTATATCAGGTAATATATGTTTGGTTAAGGTTTTATGTATTTCCTTGTCATTGAATCATGCTCACGACCTACTATCATCTTATTACCCCCTCTTACTGGAGAGTGGAGATTATTGTGGGTTGCATTTATCTAAGGGTTGGCCTCCGGATTAAATGTCAATATATTTAACATCCATTAGGTGCTCCTTGTGGCGTGGAATCGGTTTGGAATTGTTCTACGACCTGCCAATTCCAATTATCTTGTTTGGTGTGTACATTAGAATTGAAACATTAGTTTACAATATATTTAATTCTTACCTTATACACTAAGAACTACCAAAGAATTCCAAGTATCAAAGATAAAAGTTAAAATCAATATTTCATATTTTAATTTTTATTATCATTGTCTCTTTCTGACTCTAGAAACCACTGCCATTGACATACTCTGGACTCTGGAGACCATTGTCATCTAACAACTACTGTAGTTGGCTCCTGCCATGTCATCGCCAATGATCTGACTCCTGCTGGTCACCACCAGTTTCCGCTGATCACCTTCACTGCTGGCATCCTTCAATAAAATTCCAATTCAATTTGGAATTGTATTTTGATATATCAATTCTTTATTTGTCCCGAACATAAAAATTATGATTCCTAATTCCAATTATGACAAAATTGGAATTGAAATTAGAATTCTAATACTATTATCTACAGACCCTTGAGAGATTATTTCCCTGTTTCCACTCTTTGAATGATCTGCTAAAATTTTACAAGCAAGCTGCTGTATTTTCTATCAGGTATCATTTATAGATTCGTGGCTTTTATGTCAGTCTCCTATAAAGCGTTTCCTTCTCTGGACAATGAAGAAGCCTAATCATTTTGAAAGCAAGGATGCACCTCAGAAGCAGATGGTGTACTCATTTGGTGACCACTATTATTTCAGAAAAGAACTAAAGATATTGAATCTCCTAACAGGGTTAGAAGCTTTTCTTTGCTTATTCACTTCATGGTTAGCCAATGAAGTTATCAGTTATGAAGAGAACTGTTTTCAACGTTTCAATTTTACAGGTATATCTTTCTACTTGATAATTTTGGTAGAGTAAGATGGCAAGGTTCTGGATTGGCAACAGAAGATGAACTGTCTTCCCTTTTTTCTTGCACATCACTTCTTCAAGATGAATAATGAGGTATGACTTACATCTATCTGTTTTGATGATTTATACCATGCTGCAGTCATGTCATATTAAGCAAAAATTTTCTTGAAACATTCTTTTTTCACTCCTCATCCCATGTGTTTTTTTTTTTTTTCTTTAAGTGGGTGCTAGACTACCTAATTTTCTGTATTTGCAGATATTTTGGGCTGTGATAAACATGGTTGGATGAGATTTTGCAGTTTTAACTAGTCTGTAACACATTTGTGGGGAAGGAAAGCTGTAAACCATGGAAGGTGTGAGGATAAGTAGTTTTTTTTTTTTTTTTATCTTTTGATACATATCTTAAAGAAAATGAAATTCATTCAAATAAAAGCACAAAAGAACTTACAATTCTGTGTCATCCACAGTTATCTTACCCAACTCATATAGTATTGAATCTTGTGAAAGATACCTATATTCTAGAAAAAAAATTATAATTTAAAAAAAAAAATATTTATGAAGGAGGTAATAGATAAAATATTATTAGTCTGTAACACATTTGTGGGGGACGAAAACTGTGTAAGCCAAGGTAGTAGCTGTGAAGATAAGTAGTTTTTATTTTATTTTTTTTGTTGGTGCATTTAAAAAATAAATGGAAAGTGTTTAGGTAAATAGTGAATTAAACGGTTATTCAATAAACGATTATTTGGATAAATGTAGAATTTAGTGTTAACCAAGAACTGCACCATCAATCGGCTTGATTGGGCCATAACATTGGATTACTTAAAAATCAAGATCAAACCTTTTGTTAAACTGGTCGAAAATCAACGAAACGTCATATGTTGATGTGAACTGGACCACTTGCAAATTTGTGAAAAAAAAAAACCTTTTGTTATTCGAATTATTTCATGTGGTCAGCCAACATACATTCGTTCATTATCTTTTTTCTTTCGTCGAAAAATAATATTTCATATCAATTCAATTTTCGACCAAGTTCGATGACGAATACTTAACATTTTCTTTCTATTTTTTTCGTCAAGTTCATGGCTAACCGAGCATGTCCAATTTGAGGTTGGGGCCTGTTAACTTTCCTTGACATAGAGATTTTTTTTATTAATTATATAAACTTTTGGGTATATTTTAGACTTTATATTCAGCTAACTGTAGTGTAGTGCTTTTATCTGCAACATTATTATTATATGCAGAAACCAAGATGAATTAAACCTCAAAGAAAAGCTAAATTGTATAACTCGTATATGCGGTCCAATCAGTAACCCTGTGAAGTAATTTACAATACTACCAAAAGTAATGAGTGGTTATCTGATTCTCTAAGACTGAGTGTCCAACAGAATCACCTAAAGCCATAAACCGAACAAGCCGAAAGGAGGCATAAACAACATTCAAAATAATGTGTTCTTGCCGATTGTCACAAATATATACCGGCAAAAGAATATACATAGGAAAAAGAATATAGTTCCATCTCCCACTATGTATAAATGCTATAAGAATCCAAAGCAGAAAATTAGTATTATGTGCACAAAGAAAGACAAGACCAACCCTGTCTTTGTCAACTTAAATACATCGCCCCTAGAAGTGCTTCCACCTAACTCTCCGGGATTCACAAATTCACTTCTGCCAGTGGCAGTTGTTGCAGAGACATTCACGGATAAAGAACCTACATTGTTGAATTTGAAGTGAACAGCATCAGAAGCTAATGTTATAGATAAACAAGGTTAAGAAATGAAAATGTAGCTCAATGTTACTGGTTCCACAATTCGAAATCATACTAAGTCTCATTTTCGGGTGGAAAAAAAACTGTTTTATAAGTTTTCAAGTTGACCTTGTCATATTATGCTAGCCTAAGTTAAGGCTACAAAACAAAGTTGGGTCTTTGGTTCCACTCTCAAGAGAACAAAAAAAATTGGTTGAGTGGCGAGCCTTGTAAAAAAACAAAAGAAAAACTATTTTCTTTTTCTTATGCCATACACTATGCCTTTCTGGTAGTGTAGCTGAAACTTACAGTCATAGTTAGCCCATCCAATGCGTTGACCAGCCACATCATAAACAACAATTTTGTCTTTTAATACGAGATCTGCCAAAGCACAAAGTGAAGTTATTAGTATCATACTCTTGATGTCCTTAACAGATGATGAGCACTAATTTCAGTACGAGAAACAATATTGAAATTGATATTCTGGCAGGTTGAGTGTAGACGTACACTACTACGGTAGTATAAAACCCCAACAATAGCAAGAACAAAGGAAAAACAGGAGGGGGTTATAATATGATACTATACTAGGTTTAAGCTTCCAATTTTTAGTTGACCTTCAATCAAATGCAAAACTTGTTTTAGGTATCCTTGTAGATTCTATATGAATTTCATATATGAACTAAAGTGTTCAAACTGGTATTATACCTCCTAGAATTGTTGCCCCTTGACCCTGGATTTTCTGAAAGCCAATACACCACACTTGTGCACCACCCTGTGACATGCAAAGGTTCATCGCATTTAGTGAGACACATAAAATACAGTATATAAAAAAATACAAAATGAAGCAGCAAGATGTATGTGAAAACTCGCATGTAGTCAAAACTATCAACGATGTCCAAGAATTTGCCCTAAAAATCTGAGAGACATATCTAAACTTTCTCAACACAAGGCATCAAATTTCAGTTGGAAATTGACGTAATACAAATTTTTAAAAACAGTTGGCCTTTTTTCTTTTTTTTCTAGATAATGGATGGAGAGCTACCAAGGCAATAGAATGGTAATATTCAACCAAATATAGCGGATGTGCACAAGGAGCTCATTGTACTGACGGATAGTTTGGATAATATATGCCATTAGAAATGATTGGTTGTATGGAAGAAGTTATCATGGAAGCTGTCTTAGAGAACACAAGCGTGCCAATAGGAACAAAAGTAAAATCAAAGTCAGCTTTTCCGCAAACTGGTGACAGGAAAGGGGAAAATATTACATTGATAGACAATGATTCTTCAGTTATTGTTAAATGCAACTCACTCAGACTTGAAATCGATATCTTTGGAAATCTTGTAATCTAGACAAATCCTCCAAAAATTTAAAAAATAGAAACTCAAGCTTAAAGACTTACAATAGAATTCTGCTGTATAAGGTAGTCCTGCGGTGTTAAAACCATAGATGCACCACCAGCAAAGTTCAAACTTACTTGTGGAAAAATGTCAGTGACACTAAACACAGTATAGACAAAAGGAGTTAGAAAAAGAGAATATCAAGATGCTCTATTAAGGAGGATGAACAGAAAAAAGAAGTCCAGAAAAAATATGTATGAAATGGTCAGCCCAACCTGGCGGTGATTAAGTAACAACTATTTCCCTTGGAAACAACAGTGCGTGCAGTTTGTGGAATTGCAGCTGTAATCTGCATTAACAGGAAAAGCCATTTTGCCATCAATATTGCACAAATCTCCGACCAAACACAAAGCATGCCATGACTTCTAATTAATACATGAAATGTAGCATAAAAGCAATATATGTTATTGATAAATTGAATAACATGAAATTCATTGCCTAAACAAAACTTACCGCATTGACGAAGGGATCATAAGCTGCTTCTGCAAGGTACACCAAAGTTGTTCCAGAATCAATAATGGTTCCTCCATTGTTTGATGTTGCAAAAACTGATGAATCAATTTGCAATGGCTGGCCATTGACAGAGATGCTCTGCAGATTTATATTATAATGAGGTCTGAAATATTTGCAAAAGGAAGCAGTTAGTCGAAACTCTTTGCAAATATGAAATAGATAGGACCATCTAATCAACCACTAAGTAAATTTTTCATTGACCTTGCTCAAGGCACTATTCCAAGAGCAGGCACCTAACCTATACTAGCCATAGTTTCATAGCAGTAAACTAGGGGCAAATTCATATCTTCATCTTGGCATTCCTTTCTTCATAATCACATTCCTAATCTATACACTAAAAAATATAAATTAATTTAAACAGTCAAGTTTAACAATCTTGCTTGGATGAATAATTACAAGCCTAGAACACCAAATGACTTCCAGTATTAAATACTTGCCATCTATCAGTAGGTCTGAAATTTCTAGGCAAACATTTTATAATGCTCCTAAGAACAAAGAGATAAATCTCCATTCACTCCCCAAGTTTTCCAAAGAATTCGTATTACCCTCAGCATGGATTCATTACTCAACAACCACTAAAAGAAATAGAAATGTAATGAAATGCAGATAGTAAAATGTAGCATTTCTATTCTGAAGAAAGAACTTACTGTGATGGAACAAGTGGAGTATAAACTATGTTTGGCTCCACAATCTCACCGAGAACCAATACACCCCCACCACTACCATCTCCTTTCAAACAATGGGAGAATACTCTTGGAGCAATCCCTTGTGAGGAGAGCTGAGAGATAACAGACAATTCCTGTTGCCCAAGTCCAAATATCCCATCAACTGCTCTGTCAGATTTTGTCAAGTCCCCAGTTTGCTGGTTGCTACAACTGCTCCATTAACAAAGCAATAATCTCCTACATTAAACCAACAAACAAGAGGAAAAAGGAATGCTATCAACCATTTCAGGCTCATGAAAGCTCACCCAAAAACTACCGGCGCTGTCGAATTCGTGGTAACTGATCCCTGAAAAATGGTGTCCAAATGCATCATATCTGACACATAATAGCCTGATGTACCACTTCCATCTCCATACTGGAAAGTGTATGTGCACTGGTTGCTCGAACCGTTACAGCTAGCATCTGATGATGGCATTCCACTAGTGCACCTTTGATCAGAACAACTTATTGATGAAGATGTTGATGATTTCCCAGGGTCAAAAAAATTGAGCTGAATCTGTAACAAAATCCAGCAGCCATGATAATATTGACAAACTCTACAGGTACTATATTGATATTACCCTTCTACAAAAATGATATGAAATTAATAAAATAGAGAGAAGACTGCATTTACCTGAAGCCCACTTGTTTGGGGACAACCATTGCAGGAGCTGCAACTGACCCACAGAACATCACTGCCAGTGTCAATCTGCACATCAAATTCTACCGGAGGGGTACCCAACTGCACCTTTGTATAGTAGAGCCTACAATAAGCCATTAATTTCAAATTAAAAAAACATATATACAAGGAAAATAATTTCAAGCAATTTTGGTTTAAACTTTTAACTAAACAATACCAAGCAGGAACCAAGGAAGGCCATATATTGAATAAAAGGAGAACATATCATCAATATGATATGAACAGAAAAATAAGACACGAGATAATAGAAAAAGAAAGGGAAACAGAAGGGTTGAATAGAAGATTCTCAACAAACTTGAAAACCCACTATTCAGAATCCAACACAGTTCAAAAAAAAAAACTTCCAAATTGATTCAACCACACGAAACCCAAAACCCATCCTTCAAATGAAAAAAAGCAGAAAAGCGAAAACGTAAGAACCGACAGAATTACCCGACTTCCAAGGGATTAGCGTTTCCTTGAACAGCGAAATCAACGACGCCGCTTGAAGACTGCAACATTCTACGATGCCTCAACATGTCACGAGCTCTCAGATGACTCAACTCCACTCCATGATTCGTCGGAAACGCTCTCTCCAACGTCAGAGTCGCCGGCGATCCAAAACCCACCGCCACCGCCGCCGCGATCAACGCCACGAAGATGGCAAACGCAGCGGCCATTCGTGTCGTCGTGTTACCACTCTTGTTACTACAAATTTCTTATGTGCGTACGTGTGCGTATATATGTGCGTATCTCAAACAGCGTTTCCAAAAGAAGAGGAAGGGAAAATAGAAATGATGAAGACACTAAAGGGTGAAGAAATGGGCACTAGACATGAACATGCGAATAATGTTGAGTTCGAGGATGTTGTTGTTGTTGCTGTGAAACATCGTTGCAATTGCAGAGAGAGAGAGAATAATGTATTTATATGTGTGAAGAACAAAGCGACAGAGAAGAGAAGAGAAGAGAGTTCGAAGACAACAGAGAATTGGGAGTTTCAACTATGGATTACGTAAAGTTGCAATTCTCTGTTATTTTTATTTTGTTATTATTTATAGTTTGTTTTGTTTTTCGCTTAAATCTTAATTGAAGGAAATGAAGACAAACAACGGAGCTTCTTCTTCTTTGATAAATGTTACGTAATCGTGTGCGTCCTTCGCACGCGTTTTTATATTTTCATAATAAATAAAGATTGGTTGATTTTACTTCTGGAATGGAAGTTTCTCTTTCGGTCAAAATACCCCTGAAAACCTTAACTCTGTTTGTTGAGAGAAGATAAAATCATCCAAGAGGGAAAAATTCATCTGAACTAAAGAGAAAATAAGAAATATATTTTATTGTAAATTATTGCACAATATAAATTTGTATGATTTATAGATATTTATAAATATGTAATTTTATTATTATTATTTACTTATATTTTAAATAATATATTATAAATTAAAGCACAGTGAGATGATTAAATATTAATTAATTATATTTAATTGTGTGAAATTTTGAAATCAAATGATTAAATTAATAAAATTTATTTTTAATCAAAAATGTTGTTTATATCATTTTATTAATTTTGATGTGTAATATTATCTAATTTTACATGCGTATTATCTGTCAATATAAAAAAAGTTAGACAGATAAATGCATACATATAATAAAAATATTAGATTAAAAATATAAGTCTTAATAAATATAGGTACGTCATTTATAATGATTTTATTTAACTTCAATTCAATTAAGAATACCTGTAGTTGTATAAAAATTAATTAGAAGTTTAAAATTAATTTTAAGAACTCATATAACTTGATTGTATATAAAATTAAAATTATAGTTTGAAATTATAATTTCAATCTGAATTAATTTAAAATTATAATTATTATATCCAAATCCTGTAAAGAATCAAAGTATAGAATTATAATTTTAAGAAGAAAAAAAAATTTACGCGTCTAGCTTATTTTTATTTGAATATTAATATATTATTTTTTTCAGACAAGATCCTATGGATAGAAAATAATTTTCTTTAAAAAAAAAATAAGAATATTCACAGTATAATATAAGCAGTTCATTCAACAATTTTTTTTTTACAATGACAAAATTTTAACCTGAAATACTTCTAATAAATTTCAAACTGGTACACTGTAGTGTATGCAAAGTTGGTATGTATCCGGTTCTATAATATAATTTTTATTTATCACAATACTCATTACAGATTTTTTTTCATTATATCCTTTATTTAAAAATATATTTTTTAACGATGAATCTCATTTTACTTAAAACACATTAAAAAAACGTAACTAAATGTTAGCGATTAATTATTTAAGAAACATTTAAAACAATAATATCGGAAAAATCTTTGGTCATTCAACAGACCTGAAAATTGTATGTTTGTTTATACATTACCTAATGCCCATTTTGTTTGTCGAGATTGAGGGCGGTCAAAGAGGAATGTAGTTGGTGCAATTAAATATAAAATATTGGTACTTTGTATTTATAAAAATTAGATATAATTTATAATGATTCATTAAATGGAAATAAAATAAAATGTATTATATTTTATATATAGTACTAAATCCAGATTCCATTTTTTGGTGCCATCTGCGACAAAAAGCATAGGTGGGAAATTAAAATTAAGAAATCAGAGTACTTTGAGGATGGAGCTTTTACTTTGCATCGCATCAAATCAAACTTTAACTAAGCCCAATGTACAATTATTTCAAATTTCACCTTTAAAAGGGCGATTTTGGAAGAGAAAAAATGAAGTCCACATCCACGACCAACCTACTTTTGCTTTCAATTTTGTAACACAAACGAAAAGTGCAATAACAATAAGATAATATCCCAAAAGCCAAAGTTTCTATTTGCATATTTCCATTTGACCCAGTTTGTAGGGCCTTTACTTTGGTTATTATGTTAAACATTTTAATAAATAATTGTATTATGCTCAACTCTTAAAAGTATATTTTAATAATTATTAGTAATATTTTATCAAAAATAAATATTAATTGTACATTGCTGTGGTCATTGTCATTATTAGAAAACCTCACCTGAGTCAGCGACTACACAGGACACGAGGCTGCCCAAAAATAAGTCGTAGCAGACAAGTACGGTTCATTCTAAATGGCCACGCCCTCTTCCATGCTTTTCATATGCTATATATGTCAATTTGTTTATTATTATTATTTCTTGAAAAAACTGAATGAAAATGTTTATTGTTGATAACGATTATTGTTTATAAAATATTTTACAAATTTCACCTATAATTGATCAAGAAGATGAAAGGGTGAAATTTTGAAAAGAAAAGAAAAACAAAATCAAACTAAAATGATAAGCCCAATAAACCTCGTTGTACAATTTTTACTATAACTTAGAAAAAAAAAAAAAAGAGTATTGTTATAAAAAATATAAAATATTATTGTAAAAAAACTGTAATACTTACTGAAATGTACAATAACTTTTAATGATAAACTGCTAACGAACTTTATTATAAAGCACAAACTGTTCTTAATTTTGACCACTTTTAATAATCACAAGTTGATTACTTCTTCTCACTCTTTTTATTATTTTCAAAACTTCTTTTTGCGTATATTGTTAATTACTTGAGATAAATTATAGTTTAAATACTTGCTTAAAAAATTGATATCATAGTAATATTAATATTTTTTTAACATATGAGAAATTAATAGTATGAATGGATTGAATTGTATTGATTGATAAATTTAAAACAAAGTATCATAAATAACTTCTTTATCGTGTTAAATATTAATAGAAAAGTGTATTAACATACTAAGAATCAATCATATTACAAAAGCATTTATGATTATTTACTTAAAATTTCCCATAGAAATTGTAAAATGAATGGCTTGTTTGACGTAACAACTCCCTTATCGATTGATGAAAATTAACGCTATCGCTTCTTTCTTGCTTCTATTATTTGTTTAGTTTGAACGTTGTTGATTATCAATGTCGTAGAACCTGTTTAGTTACGTAAGAAAACTTAATTTATGCACTTATTGTGGAAAAAAAAAACCCACGATAACAGCAATTGTGTGAATGGAAAATAAAAAATCAAAATGCTCTTACTCTGTTTTCAACGAAGATACAAACTTAGAAAGATTCAAAAAATGGGTGTTTTCTAGAAGATAGAAGAACCTGTTTTGTCATCAAAACGGCAAAACCCGGTTGACAGAAGTTTGATAAACTAAACTGCCCTAAACATAGCCGGTTTAATTCCTTCTGTTTCCTTGCAACCCTTCCAAAAAGTAATCCCAAAAATTAATCTTCATTAATATACTTTAAAAAATTGTGAACATTACACATAATAAAATAAATTATAATTTTTTATTAAAATTATAAAATTTAATAATATTAATGCATTAAATTATACAATTTTTAATTGAAAAATTGTTATAAATACAGTGCGTAAAAAATTAATATAAAAAAAAATACTTGCCAACCTATTACAACATGAATTTTCAGTAAAAATAAGTTTATTTAACGTGTAGTTTTGTGAGATGTGTCAAATAGTTAAAATAATATTTTTTATTAGTTACATAATAAAAAATTAATATTTTATTTTTTATAACTTAATACTCATACTTTTTTATTTAGTAATGTTTTTTAGACAAGATATTGAAATTCACGTTGTTTTTTTTTCTTCTGAAAAACAAAAGAAAACAAAGATTGTTGACCAAATAATCTAAACCGAGTCATTCTTAAAATTTAAAACTTTTACAACAATCTGAATCTTTAAGGCAATGTTGATATTTTCTTTCATTCCTATTAAAAATGTTGACCAAGAATGCTTAGAGTAATCTGTTTGAATGTGCCGGCCACTATAGAGTAAAGTGCATATAACTTGTGCACCAGATATACCCAACTCTCTCATCACCAACTTAATTATGCTGAACTTTTCTTGCAAGAGATGTGGTGCCAGATCCACTCATAGTTACGTCAATAGTTAATTCAAATTTATAAACTATTTCATTAATGCGTATCCAAGTCCCTATACTATTAAACAAACAAATTATGGACATTTTGGCGAATAAGATTGCCATGTTTGTATATGTAAAGTCAAAGTAGCTATTCTATCTAATAAAAAATGGCCACTGCTTATCACTCTAGAAATTCCAGCTCAATGTGGAGAATGAAATATGAAGGCAAAGATTTGCCTTCAAATCGAATTAATGCCCAATTCAAAAGATGGTGATGTGAATTGTTTTATTGTTTTGTTTTGGGTGGTACTAATTTGAATATTGGAAACTGCCAAGTTTGAGTCTCTTTTATGTTAATTTCCCTGGGGTCTTCTCTTTGAGTTTCTTTTCCTTTTCACATGGACCACCGTTCTGAGTCTCATGTACATGTCTCTCGTGGTCATAATCACCAGATCCAAATGCATGAATCTTAAGTATTATTTTGAACTTTTGGTAATAATATAAACAACTTATTGGGGGCCTCTTTTTTCTAGAGAAAGAAAATCTCTACGGAAGTGGGGCCTCTAGACGGCTATCTTGTAAGACTCTTTCACGTTTTCTTTATTAATTTTCATTTTTTATTTTTCTTACTTTGATGCCTCCGAAATCTGAATGTTAGAAGTTGTCTTCTTTGTCTATTTTATTATAACAATTAAGTGCTTATATATATATATATAATTTAGGTAATTTATACTTTATACATCCAAATCACGGACAGAGAGAAAGGTCGTATGCTGTGGCCACCCCAAGTTTTTTTTTAATTTACAAATAATAAATATTTTATTAATAAAAAATTATGTTGGCTAACTAAGTTTAAAATCAAATAAAATCTTAAAATGGTTTTAATAATGTGTGAGCGTTAACTAAATTAGTTTGTGAGGTTTTAAAATAAAATTAATTATAAGTATTTGCTAAATGTTGAATATTTGAGTCTAACTAATACTTAGTTTTATAGAAGTGTTAATTTTTGTTAAAGTATTGAACTACTTTGAAGTAATGTAATCAAAACAATGGCTTATTATTGTTTATTACCTTTATTTTATTTTTATCATTGTTATTTTTATCTTCATCTTCGTAAAATTATTTGATTAATGAGAAATTCTTTAAATTTAATAATAATATTCACATTTTTTTATAATATTGTTAACTTTTGTAGTTGTCCTCTCGAATTTACTCATCAGGATTATCATGAATTCTTAAATCATAACTTTAATTATTTTTTATGCTGAGATTGAATAATTTAAAAGTTTACTTGTTTAAAATATATATTTATAGTAAGATAAAAATTTCAATATTTTTTATAATTAAAAGAGTTTGATACCCTCTTTTGTACTCATACAATCTTCAAGTTAATTTTATATTAATAAATAATTAAATTAGTAATTTAATTGAAAAAAATGATAATACTCTCTAATTCTTAAGATATTATAAGAATCATAATATTCTCTTAAATTCATAAAAACATAACCAGTTCCTTATGATAATTGTCAATGTTGCAATTATAATATAAATTCTTTTAAAAATTCATATTAATCGTGCATATCAATATAATATCAAGTAAGTAAAGAATAATGAGATAACTATTTGTTTTTTTTCCTAAATCATATTACACTTTAGTCTTTATCTTCCTTGAGTCGAAATCATGATCAACTTGAGATTCTAAATCTTGTACTACCTTTAACCACGAAAAAAAAGTAGTCAATGCTTTGCAACAACAAAACAAGAAAGAAATATGCAATGCTATTTGTGAAGTTGTATAGAGATGCTATGCATTGAGGCTTGGGAAGTAGCTTTACCTCATAATACAAGCAATGAGTCACTGTTATTGCCCAACTTAGCTAATGCTATGTGAACCTTTAGGCCCTAAGGACTGGGCTGGGTGCATGGCAAAGCTATTTTAATAAAAAAAAAGCATATCAAAGCCATTATAATATATTGTTAATTATTGTTTTGCTGGTTCTTGATGCACCCTGCTTTGTTTTCCTTTCTTCTATCTGTGTGGCTGTGTTACTTGTAAATGAAAAATATTTATGAGGTTGTTTAAATTGAGATATTGTCATAATGATTAAAATAAGATATTGTCATGCTAAACTTTCTTGAGGTTTATCATGTTGTCCGTTTTGTAAAATCGATGGAAAACATGGCACATAAAATGGGATATGGGATTAGTCTTGCCAAATAAATATAATATTTTCCTAACATGATGTGGGGTAAAAAAAAAAAAGTTTTTTATAAAATTATTCATTGCATATAACTATATATTTGTGACGAGTAATTGAAATAACGAGACTAATGGATTTGATGCAGTGTGTGTTTGAATTTCAATTAGTAAACATGAATCTGATGCAAAAGTCTCAAGCAGTAACACTGAAATAAATGTGAATCAATTAGTCAAACGCAAATTCAAATATGCACGTAATGAATTATCGATTAGGCCTTTGGGATGTGAGTGAAGAAACGAAGTACATAACATTACATATATTACCTTTTGTCTCGAAAAAAAAAAGACTTTTTATTTATTTATTACAAACATTTTATTATTGTAAAAATGTGATTTTTTTTTTTGCAAAAACATTTAGGCATCTAGGTAAAAAATAAAAAATTGTACTTAAAAAAGAAGATAAAAAGAAAATAAAATGTTTCTTTTTATCTCCTAAATTTTCATCACTTCAGATGAAAACAAAAATTCACATAAAGTCCGTCTAAAGATTTTTTCCCTTTTTTCATGATATATTGAAGAAAAATAATTAATTTTTCATTTCATGTTAAAAAATAAATAAATTTTTTTTACTGGGAATACCGTTATTATACTTTTTTATCACGATTTTAAAGCATTTTTAGTATGAATATATTAAAATGTCTAATGACATTTAAAATGTGAAATAAATAGAGTATTATGTCAGTGTACAACAAGTTCTAAAAAAATAAAAAACGCATTCTTAAATCTAAAAAAGTTAAAAAAAGTATAGAATATAACAAAGACAAAAACTACAGTGATGGAAAATAAAAATGCTTCTTTTTCTATCTAGGTTTTTTCTTCTTTCGGATTAGTATATGATCAATAGCAAATCATACTACCAAGGTCCAAAAACAAACACAAAACCAACATGAAATTCACCTTCTAAAAATTAGAGCTATTGTATGGCACAAGAGCAGAATCACAGGAACGAGTTCAACATATTTGTTAGTATGGTGCAATTAAGTTCCATTGATGAAAGAACAATTCTAGCATTTGTCGTGAAACATTTGTCATCTCTCACAACTATTCACTATTCAATAAGAAGGTGAGGCCACTGTTATGGTTTTTGGAAAGAGTGGCTATTTAATTGTTAACCAATGTTCCTAGGATAGATGTGATGACGTGGGCCCTTTCAATTAGGTTTTTTAAAACATAAAACTTGAATTTTAAATTTTAGGTTAAATTAATTTAGAATTGTTGGCTCAACTCATTTCGTTTTTGTTTTATCAGATTTGGGTTGGGTTAACCATTTATGAGTTATGAGTAACAATATGTCTGGATTGGGCTTGAAATAAAAAGTACTTTCGGCGTATTCGATTGAGCCCAAAACTAAAACTGGGTTAAATAAACCATTTTGTCATTCTGCTTTATAGCCAACAAGACAAGAGTAATTTTAAAAGAATATTTATAGTAATTGATTTTGTATCAAATTTATCATTAAAAATTAATTTTTTATTACTAAGTTAAGTGTAATGCAATTTTTCAAATATATTTAAATAAATATTTAATAACTAGTGCTTTCAATTTTTACTCAAAAAATTATTAAATAAGCATTTTATTAAAATTATATTAAAATGGATTTTAAATCATAATAAAAACATATTTATAATATTTTATTTTTTAATTTATTAATCATTGTCCATATTTATTTTTACATTTTATTAATTATATTTTTATTATTTAAATTAAAATTTTAAAATAATCTAATCTAACTACACAGTTTGAAGTATCTTGACTGAATGCGTTTAATTTTACGTCAACATTAAAAACAAATAAGTATATTTAAGTTATTTCAAAGAATAATTAGTCTCGTTTTAAATAGATTAATAAAACTTTATTTAAATCATAATATAATTTTCAATACAATATTTTAATTTTATTAATTAATTTAAAATAGTTATTTATTGCAAGCCAAGTTGTAAGTCCTTGCGAAAATTTGAAATTGCGTGTGGGACCCTATTGAGTAACCATCACTCTCCCATTTAGAAGTTACGCTCACGCACGCACGGGCTTTATTTGCTCTATTTGGTAAGGTGAAAGAAAAGTGAAATAAAAAAAAACTTTTATTCTTAAAATATAATTATCTTCGTATTTTTGTCTTTTTCCTTTATATCTAAATATAGCATTAGAGTTAGAAACACAAAATAACATGCAATGTACGATAGCGAGTGACTAATATTCTTTAACATTTTTAGTTGTTAATATTGATTAAAATGTACTTTTTGATCTTATTTATAGAATATATATATATTCAATTACATAAATTAAATATCAATTTTAATATATTAATTAATGAATTATTTATATTTATACTTATACTTATTGTGGATTTATATTATTTAAATGTTTATCTATTATCAATGTAAATAGTAACATTAATTTATTTAATATGTACTATTAATTTAAACTATTTAACAATGTAATTATTTTTATGATATAATATAAATTTGTGATATATGACTATTTTTTATTAATAAAATAAATAATTATTTATTTATTATAAATAGGATCAGAATATATAATACATATAAATTTACTGTTCTCTTGATAAAATTGGTGTGCATGTATCTATCTTTAAAATTTAGGTTTTATATTGATTAATAAACGTGGTAAATAGCTGATGGACTAATTAACATTTATACATTTCAAAGAAAAAGCTAAATAAATTTATTAATAAAGAATACAATTTTTATATATAAAATAAGAATAATATAAAAATTGTATGAATTAATTATTTGTATTTAAAAAGATAAATTTTAAATAGAATGTTACTAGTACGTTTTATTTTTAATTAAAATTAAAATTTTATTTTTAATAATATATAATACTTTTTAATACTAGTTTTTATCAGCTAAATTATTAAATAAGACTTTAATTTAATTAAAAAATTTAAATAACAATAATAATACTTGTGGTAGAAGATTTGAGTTTCTTTCTTTTTTTAAAAATTATTAAAATAAAAGTTAAACAATTAATAACAATAATGATTTTTTATTAAAATATTATAATTTTTATAAAAATATAATAAATGTTTCAATAAAATTAACTTGTGACGTAATTGGTTGTTTACTACCTGGCTCCAAGCAAAGAATTTATCTTTTATTATTATTATTATTATTGAAGCAAAGAATTTATCTTTTCCATTATAAGTTATAACTTTGTTTTCCCGGCAAGACTCTCTCAAAAACCCTAATTTCCCATTTCAACCGTTCACTGAATTCGAGGGGTTCATTTGCCTCAACCTCGCTCCACTACTGCCATCTGCAACCATTATCGGACCAATCCATTCATCGTCGTTGAGATTCCCATTTTCATTTCTTAATTTTTTTTTTTTTGTGATCTCAGTCGGTGGTTTGTGTTTGAAGGTCCTTCAATGGCGGAGGACCGGAATGAGGTGAGTGATTACAGTTCGGAGGACGAAGGGACCGAAGATTACAGGCGTGGAGGGTACCATGCGGTTCGGATTGGAGACACTTTCAAGAATGGGTGTTATGTGGTGCAGAGCAAGCTCGGTTGGGGCCATTTTTCCACTGTGTGGCTCGCTTGGGACACTTACAAATCGGTATGTACGCTTTTGTTTGTTGCCTCACAAAAGTAACTGTGGGAGAAAAAAATTCGCTTTTTTATGGCTGAATATTAGTGTTTTGGGTTACGGACAAAAATTCAGTTTTGCACTTTATCTGGGTTGTGAAGGAGGGTCAATTTAACTTTGGGTTAAGTGCGTGTTTATCGTAATTTTTTTGGTCTATGGAATAATTAAGAAAGCATTGTCTTGACCAAAGCCCCCTTTCCTTTGCTGATTGAAAGATATTATTAAAATTGGATTTTAAGGGTTTTAGTGTTGGTCAATGGTTGGCTTTCAAAAGAAATATATCATTCTCGAATTTATCTAATAAAAGGATCTTGAGATTCTGCTGCTTGATTTTATGTTTTATTTTACTTTGATTATCAATGTGTCTGACTCTTGCTTTCTCCTTCAGCTAACAGAATTCTTAGGTTGTTATTTGTGTTTTGTTTCCTGGTTGCTCTGTCTATTTTGCTACGTTGTTGATCATGTTTATTGTGTGTCATTAGAGTTCCTGTGACTGCGGAATTTTACTTTAGGACTGTTATTCTTTGTTTTTTCAATGCCGAGCAAACAAGCATGTTTGAAACTCTATTAACGATGGGTTAAATATTTATTTGTAGCGATATGTTGCCTTGAAAATTCAAAAGAGTGCTCAGCATTACACTGAAGCAGCAATGGATGAAATAAAGATTCTCAAAGAAATTGCAGAAGGGGACCCAGACGACAAGAAATGTGTTGTAAAGCTTTTGGATCACTTTAAACATTCGGGGCCTAATGGCCAGCATGTTTGCATGGTTTTTGAATTCCTTGGTGATAATCTTCTCACCCTTATCAAGTACAGTGATTACCGAGGCGTTCCCCTTCCCACAGTCAAAGAAATTTGTTTCCATATCTTGGTGGGTTTGGATTACTTGCACCGTGAACTTTCGGTGATACACACTGATTTGAAGCCTGAGAATGTCTTGCTTCTGTCTCCAATAAATCAGTCTAAGGATCCCAGAAAATCAGGTGTTCCACTTATCCTTCCAAACGCCAGGGACAAGGCTGTGACCAAGAATGGGACCACAAAAGATGATAAAAGTTTGAATGGAGATCTGACCAAGAACCAGAAAAAGAAATTGCGGAAAAAGGCTAAAAAGGCAGCTCAATGCTGTGTTGGGAAGGAAAATACTGAGGAAGCTGAGGAGGATTCTAAAGCACTGAAGCAGGACAGTTGTAGTAATGATGTGAAACCAAGTGTAGAATCTGGTGGAGATAAACCTAATGTTCCACAAGGAAGTCATGGTCATCGGAGAGGTAGCCACTGTACAAGGAAGAAATTGCTTGCAGCTGTTGATCTTAAGTGCAAGCTGGTTGATTTTGGCAATGCTTGTTGGACCTATAAACAATTCACAAATGATATTCAGACAAGGCAGTATAGGTGTCCTGAGGTTCTTCTTGGATCTAGATACTCAACTCCAGCAGATATATGGTCTTTTGCTTGCATTTGTTTTGAGCTTGCCACCGGGGATGTTCTTTTTGATCCTCATAGTGGTGACAACTATGATAGAGATGAGGTAAGTGCACCTGTTTGAACTTTGGACGAACTGGTTGGCTTCATTTCATTCTATAATAATCTAATACTGTCTGTTAAATTGTTAATACTAATAATGCTACTATTTTGGCTATGAAAACTGGCTCTTCATCATTTTTTTTCTGAGAGTAGAAGTTGTTCATAACTGTTTGATTTGACTGTTATTCCATTCTATAATTCCATTTTCTTCCTTTCCATGCAGTTAGAATCACATCTGTATTAAAGAATATTTCAGCTGGTTATGTTAAGTAAATTGTTATTAAAAAATATTATGCATCTGTTATCTATTTATACTTTTGTATGCATTTTCGTTTATGTTTTTGCTTGAAGTGCTATGCCTTTTTCATTTTTGCTGTCTAGACAAAAATTGTCTTTTTTGAAAATTTTCTTTGTTTATATCTGTTGTCTCTTTGGAATTTGAATTGTGTGTGAAAAGTAAGGAAACATTTAGTGGGACGATTACCCTACCAAAATGCTTCTACGTTGTACTCCAAATGTGGTGTAACGTTGTTAGGTTGGTAAATAGTAAATATGTGGCCAAAATGGTATGGTTAAGAGGACTTGGATTACAACTGAGGAATTCAATTTAATTTTGCTCAGCTTTATCTTCTGAAAGTTGGAATCAAGATTTAGCTCGCAATCTGTTAAGTTATGTTACTATGTTACATATTAAGACATTTCTTCCAATAAATATGTACTGAGGACTAGCAGTATTTTGAAATCAATAAGCAGCTAACTTCGGATTTTTTGTCTAAAGATGTTACAATCTTCTCACTATTTTTATATGTTTGTTGTTTATTCTGTTGGTTATCTTAAAATTGAAGTTTCTCTATGTTTTCTTTGGTACTACTAATTAGTAAAAACTTTTGAAGTTTCAATCAGTAGGAGGTCAAATAGCTTATTTGAAATTGTTGGGGCTTTAAGCCCTAATTTCATTTAAAATAATGTATATAGTTGAATTTGTTTTTATTTGTTTTACGTACTGAAAATGCCATCATTTCCTCTTGGGAAGAACTTACAAAAATGTGAAATACTATTGTGGTGGTTATTCGGACTTGAACTTCAAATGACATTCCAGAATTTACTCTGCAGGATCATCTGGCATTGATGATGGAGCTTCTTGGGATGATGCCTCGCAAGGTAAGCATGTTAGGTGTTTGGCTGTAAAACATCAAAGTTATTATCAATTTGCACGCTGATGTGCTCAAGAAGAAAAAAAAGTATTCAACATATTATAGATCCTAATTCCCACGTATTAACTTAATCCTTTATAGACTCTATTTCATGATGCTATTATATTCTACCCCTTTTATGTTTTAATGATGCTTTTGTAATCCATTTTTAATTATTTTATTTGTTCCATCCGCAAAAATTGAACAACTGTTTCCTTCAGATTGCACTTGGTGGTCGCTATTCCCGTGATTTTTTCAATAGATATGGTGATTTGAGGCATATTCGTCGGTTGCGTTTCTGGCCCCTTAACAAGGTCCTGATGGAGAAGTATGATTTCAGTGAGCAAGATGCAACTGACATGGCTGACTTCCTTGTTCCATTACTTGATTTTGTCCCTGAGAAGAGACCAACTGCTGCTCAGTGCCTTAGTCATCCATGGTTCAGTGCAGGTCCTCGAACTCTTGAGCCCTCGTCAACTACTATGCAGCATGATGCTATTGACAAGGAAATGTCTGAAAAGATGCAGAGGGAAAAGGCTGAGTTGGAAGGTGTGGAAGTTGGTATGAGTAATATAGCCATAGGTGGAACTTCTCTTTCTCTTGTCTATCAAACTTCCACAAAACCTTAGTGGGTCATCCCAATAATTAAAGAAGCCAGATATTTGTTCTTGAATTTTATGGTGTAAATTTACACTATTTAATTTCTTCGTGGTTGAATCCATGCAGCGTATGTAGTCGTGGACATCGTTTCCTATTAGACACATTACCACCCTAAAAATTCGCTTGACATTGTCATGCTGCCCATCTGAAATGCTGATTAACGTCTGCATTCGACTTCCTTTTCTAATGCAGCGCCTATGCATGCTGTAACCTTGAATGTCGAAACTAAAGATTGCGCGTTACAGTGAAAGTTAAATAATATTTTAGTATACACAGCACACCGCCAAAAATACAACAGCCAATATGATCTCTTGATGGCGGATAATCCAGTTGACTATCATGGCCATACTATGAGCTCATGAAACTAAAAAAAAAAAATGTATACCCCCACCGAAACAAGAACAAAAACTAATGCTTATAACAGCTCAGTGATGCGAGTACCATCATGACCCATTTTGGATGTTGATCTCTCCCCCCCCCCCCCCCCCCCCCCCGGTGTACAATCAATCATGCATTTGTTGGGTGCTAACTTTTCTACACAGCCTGACATCACCTGAAGAATGAATTAGATTCCCTTCAGTTTCGGATTACTAAACCTCAGAAGGTCATTAGAAGCCTGAAAATACAAGCCATAGGTTAAAGATGTTATATCGGTAATATCTGCACAGGTGCCTCATACTCAAAATCATAAAAAAAGTTCAGAGCTGTCAGGTTAAAATTACCTTGATCAAAATATTTTCCTAGCCCTAAGGTAGGAATACATAAGAAAAAAAGCAATGACACCACCAATGATTATCCCAGCTGTTGTAAGCCAAAATGCAAACTGCACCAGATACCAAAAATGTGGTTATTTTAGTAAGACTGATTGGCAACAACTTCCAATAAGAATCAAGTAAATTATGCATGAAATAAGACTTCTGACACCAAACCCACATACCACATGTTCCTCAAGATAGGACTTTAGGTTCATGCCAAAGATACCTGAAATCATGAAAATATACCTTAATGAAATATCAGACAAGCAACGGCGATAATATTCTATCAGATAATAAACCGGTCGCCTGCATTTGACATGATTATTCATGCCGTATAAACAAAAGTTCTTACATAACCTACATGTTCCTTTGTAGCATTCCTTTCAAGATCAAATTGAGCACCTCCTATTCTAAATCTTGGAAGTAGAGAAGTATATTAAAACAACAAAATGGTGCCATGATCATGACAGTACCAAATATATATAGCATGCACCCGGGTGGTTAAATGGTAAATGCGTGCATGTTCATATGTTTTTAACCAAACTTCAGAACTAACTGATAAAAATTTACTAAATTTTAAGACATGAGAGCAGTGGGTTGATTAGATGCCATCCAAAAAATATAACTAACCTAGTTTGAGTTCACTTGAATTATTGGTTAATTTTAATGTAATTAATGTTAAATCAATTTGGATTAATTGGCTAATTTGGACTTGAGTGTGATTAATTAAATAACTTTTGGTTAAACTATGGGTTGTATTCAACAACCCATTCTATATACCACATCAAAGAGTCACTCAAAATCTGTACCTGCCACAAGGGCACCTACTGCCACACAGAATGTTCCAACCTGGAGAAGCAGTTCCACTCTGCTAACCTCAAGCCTTCGTGAACTGTTGAATGAACTCAAATTTATTAGAACAAATAAGGTTTGTAATGACAGATAGAGTTATTGACGTCAACAAATTGCTTTACTTGAAATGAGTTTAAATATAACCTAATTTTGTGTCTGATTACATCTACATGCATAATGCTCTCAAGTTTACTCTATACAACACTGTTGCCAGAAGGAACCCAGATGGTTCGTCTAACTTTACAGTAACAGCAGACAATATTTCATGCATTCTTAATTGTGAGATAGGCTCAGTATAATGCATTTTGAAATTCTGGATTGGTCTTCACCTGTCTTACTTGAAGTCTTTATAAATGTCATAATATTGTATCGTGATTTTGACCCCATTGACAATATGGGATGTCAAATGGTTCAATGCCTAATGTGACTTCTGAGCCTATGATAGGAACAAAATGATAGGCTTCCCACGAATAGAGCCCACCAGCTGATCCATGTCCTGTACTACTTGATGATCCACACCACTCATATTTGGTGCTCTATCAGCCTGTGCCATCACATTTCATCCAAAGATGGCAGTCCAAACATAACCCCATGTTTAGCATATTCATGGTTTAGGAGAGCACTAAACTTCCTAGCATCAAATTATGTAATCTTTCAATGCAGTCATCTGCAATCCATTATCAAGGGAGACAAAAAAAACATTCAAACCTCAAACTGACAGCTATAGAATCTTCCATTTCCCTTGCAGAATCTAGAAGCCTTTCAGCTTGGCCATGACAAGATTCACATCTGCAAACGCATTTAGAGAAATCAATTTTGGGACAAAATCAACAAAAATGTTAAACTTACAAAGAACAGTAACTAAGCATTTGCTAGAATCATCAACTAACTGTGGAGTTTGAAACCTTTATGAGACTTGTTTTGAAATGAAGATACCTTTAAGATATTGTAAAATAGATTAGAGTATTTGAAATGGACTAGGCCTAACACAACTCAAAACAGTTGAAGGAGGGAGGATTGTCCCAGTTTTATAAGAAACACTTTTGACTATATTCTTAACCAATGTGAAACATCTAAACGTAAAGCCTTAGAGCCTTTTAGATATCCATGAGATTGCAAAATGAAGTCTTGTTGTTTATGAATATTAATGGTAGGCAAAAGGTTTGAGATTCTTGATTTCAACTTGTTTCTGCTATGTTAATTCTGGGATCTCGCCTTCTTAAATTTCCATAAGGGCATGTAATAATGCTGTATGGTATGGTGTACTGCAAATATCATATAAATTCTCAACTGGTTAGTCCACACCCAAAAAAAAAAATTAAAAATTATGAAATGTAATGCATGCATTTAGAATGACGATAACCTTTGAAGATAATTTTCCAGAAGCATCTCAATTTCCTCCTCCTCCTCTACATATCATGAGAAAAGACCAAATTAGCAACTGCGTTATAGGTCAACAGTTGAATGGAAAGGTCCATATTGATGTCAACAAGTAAATCCTTTTAAATTTACATGGCTTACCCTCAGCAATCTGCTTTTCTACGGGCACTGAGCATTCCATATCATTGTTTCCTTTATTAAGTGTACAGTTTCTTCCCATGATACATATACGGCGTATTTCATGGGGATCCTCCAACAGGTCGAGCAGCATTTGTCTGAGAGCTCCTGCCCTAGAACCTAACTCAACCTAGCAATTTGACAGAAAGCAAATGAAAATTTAGTTTTATCCCAGAACCACTAAAGATTCATTGAAAAAATATACAGACAAAAATACCAAAGTTTGTTTGCTAATACGAAGTTGCTCCAATATGTCACCAGTTAACCGATTTGGCAATGCCTCAAGAAGAGCTTGTACCTAGCACCAAAGGGAAATAGAGAAAAAAAATTCCAAACAAGGAGTGAATTGAGAGACAGAGAAAGTGGAAATTTATAATCTATTATGAATCCAAAAAGGAAAAAACCAATATACTCCATAAATATTAAAATAAGAAAGTTTCTGCTTGCAGGTATATGCTATGCTAAAAGTATCTCATAAAGCACTGTGAAATGCCTGTGTGGAGAGAGTGGCTGGAACACACACCACAAGAAATAGTAGATAAAACCAAATTGTCTAACAAGTTTTATTCACAGGCAGGTTAAAACAACTACCAATCAAAATCATAAAAAAAAAATAAAAAATAGACAAACACATCTGCAGGTACACAGATACAAAGAATCAACATAGATATACTCAGTTACTCACTATGTTCCCATACTCACACGAGGTTCTAAGTTCATCAATCTCTGCTCCAAACGCTGAATTCTTGAAAGCAATGCTGCTTCAACAACCTGAAAGTTCCGCCAAATAATAAGGGGGAAGACAATTCACAACAGTATGCCTATGTTGACACCCAAATGGATGACTCAACAATATACAAAATGACAACAAAATTCACTCACTGTATAATAAACTCATTATACACATGCTCACATAAACCGTAATATTCAAATTCGTGAGTCACTATTTTATTTGGTATAATGTTTTCAGTATTTTATATTAGTATTCCTAAGCATCCACAACAATCACTATTTTACCTTTTCCAAAACATGAGTCATAAATATGTACTGAAGCCTGAAGTATAATTCTAATATTTATCTTTTTCTATCCTCATTCCTCAGAATAAAGATATGAATAAATGCATTTTATTTTGATAACAGAATTAAGTTGATTCAGGCCTGAGTCTGATTAAGTGGCTATCTTATTTCAACCCTTGAAAATGAAACATATTGAATTTCAAATCAATTTTCCTCTATTTTTCTTCACAGGACTGCTGATCTGCTTGTTCTCTCAATGATATAACAGGATACAAGATATAAAGCAGCATTAAGAGACTGCAAGTCTATTCAGTTTAGTCTTTTCTCCTATCCAGTAATTAGCATGTTAATGAAAAAGTAATCTCCAGACTAACCTCAATTTCAAATGGCATTGATGGTCCTCCATTGTTACTCTTGGGGTTCAATCGAGGTAGCAATGTCTCTAGAAAAGCTTGCCCTCCTGTACTGATAAACATCAACAGAAGTAGAAGTTTGGTTTTAGTTTAATAAGTTACTTTATCAAAGGAATAATGACAGTGGTGCATCCCATAATTTATGAATTATTTCAGCATTAAAACATTACCAATTATAGTCGAATATAAGTACACAATCTTGCATTGCTATTGCTCGTAGGGAACCCAGATTTAGAAGTATAGCATACTCCCGGACCTAATACAAGACAAAGATGACAAAGAAATAGAATAGGTAAATTAATTGATATAGGCAGCAATAGATATCAATGTTCTCTATTCATTTTTAACACATATCGGACAAACTTTCCAAAATAAAAGGTTTGTGCATATTTGTGTGTGTTTATAATAAACGTTCAACCATAAATGAATTTTTATGCTGAATTCCTATGAATTGTGTAATACAAGCTCAAGAACAACTTGATCCTATCTGGAGAACAGGGATGACAGCCAAGTTCAAAACACATTTCTTAAATTATGTAATGAAACATACAAATTTTCAGCAAAACTATGTGGACTTCGCAGTTTATAATTAGGGGCACTCCATGGGCATCTACTTGAACTTGAATGTGCACATTTATACATACAGCGAGGTAATAAGAAATAAAAAAGACAGAAAAAAAAAATTATACCAGCAAAGAAGGCATTGAATTTGTCAAAAACAATGATGGATCCACACTTCGAATGTCCCGTGGACGAAGACCTGAATAAAAACAGAACATGTATAAACGAAAAATCAATAAATGATATAAATAGAACCCGACGCAGATGTATTGGCCCATCAAAAAACATTTGTTAACCAAATAATATTATAATTATGCTCATAAAGTGAAATAACTAAATAAGCATAGCATGGATAACAGAACATGATAAGAGATATCAGCACGGAGTATTGAGTATTCTCAACTTCCAGCTTAGGCATAGATAGCATTTTACTTACCACTTGACTTCAACAATTGTCTCCTGTTGATTTTTCTAGTCGACATTGTCCCATTAGACTTCACTTCAACAACCTTCACAATTCACATACATAGAAGGAGAAAGAAAACATAACAGACAAATAAGGAAAAAAAAAAAAAACGAAACAAGTAAAACTGCGATAAATTCAAGATGCTGCCAATTATAGTCCTAGGGCTCAAGTTCATTCAACTGGAGAACCAGAAATGCCCAAATTCTACAACATGTTATAAAAAATTAAACAAAAAAAAAAGAGCTTAAAAAAACGAACTTCATAAACCGGTTCTCGAATTCCGAGAGAGAGAGAATCGCCGGAAGAGGTGGTGACTATCCTGTGAGACTCAACGCGACCGTTTGCCGGAACGGAAGCTCGGTTCCGAGACCGGTCATTTGGTTCATCTGCAACTTTATCCGAGTCAGATATGGCGGTTTCGGAGTCGCTCCACTGCTTCTCCTCCGTGGATCTGCTGAGGCATTTCACAGGTTTCAGCGCCGGCGGAGATAGAACTGAGACCTTGCACCGGCGGAGTAGAGTGAGAGTATCGGTGCATGACGGTTCTACATCGGAGAAGAAGACGTAGTTGGCGGGTCCAAGCGAAGGTTGAGAACGAAACTGAAGCAGATTCGGCCAAGTTAAAGCCATGTCAGCGCGGTTCAGGTGTGGTTATGCCTATGGTTACGGTTATGGTGGTCGTGCATGCCGTGCAGGTGGGACTAGGATTAACGAGGGAATGGAGTAGTTGAAGCTGTATCTATAACGATCAAACTGAACAGATGAATAATTTATCCGGATTTAGTTTTTTAATTATTATTACTTGGTTCTTTTGTTTCATTTAATTACTTTATCTAAGTTTATCATAAAATATTCTGATGAAGTTGACGGAACGAGACAAGTCATGGATAACCACTGGGAAGGCCAAAAGTGAATTTATCCCAAACTCTCATTTCCATATATATTTTTCTCTATGAAAATGTATAAAAAGTTAATTTATCTTTAATTTAAATTTAAATTAAGATTAAATAAAATACATTAATTTTTTATTTAACTATTTTTTAATACATTTTTCATTTTTCTTTGGTTTTTTTAATAATTAATAAACGTAACTCGGTTACCTAATAGTTAAATTAACTTTTTAAAAAGTAAATTAATTATGAGAAATAAAAACAAAATTCCCTCCTATATTATTTGTGGCCGATAGTTTTGGTGTACATTATGTGTGGCTGAAAGTTCGCCTACGACATTCGAATTGGAATGCGACAGTACTCCCTCTGACTCTTGGAACGTCATCAATATTTTATTTATTTATTTGAATTAAAGTAAAATATTATTTTTGTCTTTAATATATGTATTTATTAATCATTTAATATTTGTCATTTATAAAATTTATCAAAATAGTTTATAAAGTAGATAAAATATTATTTTATTTTTCAACTTATATAATAACCAATTTTTTCAATATATATAATTATTTTAATAAATAAGCTAATTTGATATGTTAAGTCATAAAATATGACATTTAATAATAATATAAAATTTTAGTTTAGATCAATTTTTTTCTTAAAATTTATTAATTTGATCTCTAAATAATTTAAAAACTTAAAATTTTATGAGAAATTAATTAATTAATCTGAAATTTCTTAATATTCTCATGTAACGTATGACAATTTACATTTAGACTAAGTATTTCTAAGCTTTTATTTTCATTTAATAGAAAAAAAACTAAATTTTACATATTATAGATTAAAATGTTTTAATATATTAAAAATTAAAATAATAATTACATACATTACATAAATAACATTTTATTTAGTTTAGGGTAAAAGGATGTTTTTTTTTCCAACTGCAATCCGTGTAGTTGACAACTGAAAATAACACTCTGGTCGACACCCACCTACCGTGACTTTGGAGGTAGGCCTGGATAGATTACAGGCCCATTGGCCCAAACTGTGTACTGGATGTTTCGTAAAAAATATTCCAAAACCTCCCTCTCAATCTCTGTTCGGTAGCGTAGAACAAAGGAAGACGCAGGTGTGGATGGTGTAGACAAATTTGAAATTGGAGGGAACAAGCAAAGGAAAAGAAGCGCATGGCGGTTCCGGCAGATCCAGCCATTGACGAAGAAGAGCAGGGTGGTCCAACGCACCACCCTTCCGCTCCGTCGCACGAGGTTATCATCATTCACTAACGCCTCAACTTGAATTTCAAACTCTAGTTTTCGTTGGACTGGAATCGATGTAAATAATATACTATTGCCATCACTACAGACTACACTCTATTATTGCATGTTTTAATTTTGAAGTACTGGGCATGAAAGCATGATTGAAATATTTTGCTTCTATTTTTATTTTTTAAATTCCTACTTGGTGATTGTTTTGAATTATTTCTGATGCAGTTTTTTTATTTATCAACGACAGTTGATCCCAGTTATATAATCTCCTTAATAAGGAAGCTTCTGCCTCTGGATTCTGCTTCTCAGTCTCGGAGTACTTTTAGTGAAGCTGCTTTGAATGGCCCTAACCAAGGATCGCTTAACAACGACACAGAAGATAGGGCTGCGCCCTCTGCTTCTGATTCTAGTGATGAAAAGCTTAAATCACAAAAGAATAATTCTGAGAATATGGATGTTGATGTTTTTTCCGGTGAATTTTCACACCCTAGAGGTGAAGATGAAGGTACTGGGGATGGATTTGAAGACTCTGGTGTTTCGGTTGGAGAGGATGCCTGGGAGGAATATGGTTGCATTTTGTGGGATTTAGCTGCCAGTAAAACACATGCAGAACTCATGGTACATCAATGCTGTCTTTTGGTGTTCTATGCAGCAAAAATTTGGTTCTACAGAACTTTTTTTTCCTGTTTGGTTTGAAAAAGCTTTATTTTTTACATTTCCTATTTTGTATAAGAAGTGGTGAAAACAACAAAATGTAAACAGGCAACAAGGTGGCTCTTTTGTAATTATTTGTAAATATAAAAAACGCTTTCTCAAACCAATTACCAAACAGGCCATAAGTCTCAAACTTCACTCATGTTGGTTTTGTAAGACGATAGATGATTTTATGAATGTTTTTTTATGCATGTTTCTTAATCCCGCCCAATTTGCAAATCATTAATATTAAAACCATCATTGACACTTCCTCTTGCTGGAGATCTAAATAATTTTAGTTTATCATTAGCCTTTCAACCATTCAATCGTTTTATAAATTGAAATGAATCAGTTAGTCGGTATAATTTTGCAGGTGGAGAATCTCATACTTGAAGTTCTTTTAGCAAATCTCATTGTTTGCAAATCAGAGCGTGTTACTGTAAGTCAATGTCAAAATATGTATTATGACATTCAGACTGCATAAAACTATCAAATGATTAAGAGTCCCCAATTTATTGTATTACAAATTTTTATGGATTAATTTCATGGTGCAGGAAATTAGCATAGGGATTGTTGGGAACCTTGCATGTCATGAAGTTCCAATGAAGCACATAGCCTCAACAAAAGGACTGATAGAGATAATTGTGGACAAATTATTTATGGATGATCCTCAATGCCTATGTGAAACATGCCGGTATGATATGATGCATTTTTTACATACCTCAGAATTTGGATATCTGACTTATCATTTTGTTAAGGACCAAATTTACATGATTGGTTACTATTTCCATATTATATGGTTTTGTTTCTTGTTATTCCTGCTATTTTCATTTTCTGTGTGCATAACTTCTGTGAGGAAGACACCCTGCTAGTATCAATGTTTCTTTGCCTTTTTTATAAAAGAAATAATGTTTATTTTTTCTAATCTTATCTAATTATTCGTTGACTATTATGTCCGTTTCTTTGATTTTTTAATTTTATTTTTTAACTTTCATTATCTGGTCTGTCCTAAGGATTTGCATCAGTTTTTTCTGGTTAATTTCAGTGGTTTTGGCTCACATAAAGAAGCTATAATTTTGTGTTATTGTTATGTTCTGCCTTGGTGATTCTTTGCTGTTTATGGCTGGAATTTTGAAGGACACATTGTTTGACTCTAAACTTCATTTGGGATAAGGTTATTTGTTGGCTACCCTCTGGGTTTCTGCTCATTCTGTTTTTAGGGCTGTTTCATTCTCAGACAGGCAGAAAGATTGGCATGATTTTCTACACAATTCAATCTCATAAGTTATAGTTTTGCTCTTTCTGTGTTTTTTTCTTTCTTTTTTGGATAGAGAATGCCTCATCCACTTTATTTGTACTATTGTCGACTTATATAACAAAATTTCTTCTATATGGATGTTTGTTTTAAAAAAATGTACACAGATATACCCACCCAAATAGGAAAAGGGCATGATGTTTTATTTATTTATCTCAAGAATGTTATGTTATGCTGTAAATTAGGTATCACGCCACTTATTTTACCAACTTCTCTTAAAATTAGTTTTGGAACAGATTGTTCACCGTGGGTCTTCAAAGTAGTGAATCTATTACATGGGCTGAGGCGTTGCAGTCTGAACATATACTACGTCAAATTTTATGGATTGCAGAAAATACATTGAACCTTCAGCTTTTAGAAAAGGTAATGAATACTTGGTATTAATCCGTAATAGCTTCTTCAACTTTTTTATTTTTATGGAGGTTACGTGGAGTGAAGTCACTAAAATTTGTGAAAACCATGTAATGGTTATGTGCACAAGAAACCTAAATAATTTCAGAGGAAAAATGTTACTTATTTTGATGTTTTTTTTTTTTACATTGCCTGAGTCAGAACGCAAATTCGATCAAATCAGTAGCTAAGATTATTCTACTTATTGACAGAGCATTGGGCTTATTTTAGCCATATTAGAAAGTCAGCGGAAAGTTGTGGACGTTCTTCTTCCACCTATGATGAAGCTTGGTTTTACAAATATATTGATCAGTCTCTTGACTTTTGAGATAAGCAAATTAAAGAATGAAAGAATACCTGAAAGGTACCTTCATCCACAATCCTATTATATTCTGATACTAATTCTGACAACATCAGGGAGCAATCTTTTCCCCTTTCACATTCATTTTTCAGATAATTATTCCATCCAACTATCTAGTGGAATGAGACATGTGATAGCCTAATATCTTAACATTTCAGGTACTCAATTCTTGATTTAATTCTTCGTGCACTTGAAGCCTTTTCTGTTATGGATGATCATTCTCAGGAAATTTGTTCAAGTAAAGAGCTCTTTCAACTAATATGTGATCTGGTTAAGTTTCCAGATAAAGTCGAGGTACATTGTTGTAGTTAACACTGTTGATATTGATGCATCTTACTCAGCATCAACTATTGATGTCAATAATTTGGAATTTGACGACCTGTAATTTAAAGTCAGAAAGATTATTACCACATAAGTCATGTAAATATCGTAATGAGTTCTCTCCAAGACTCCAACATAAGTAATATCTTATTCTTTTTCTTCCATGATGCATTACATGCTTTTATAATTTTAAATTAATAACCTTTTTCTCCTTAATGGATGAAATGATTTATTTTTCTCTTTTTTTGTTCCCTTGAGTAGCATCATTTGTTGAACTCTACTTCTGATGTTTTCTCATAAATTGATGATGAATTAACAATTTTTTAATATATATCAGTGCAGATGAGAATTGAAGTTACTATTGCCTGTGATGTCCTCCTGTTTCCTTATACGCATACTTGAACCAAAAATCCCTTCTTTCTTCATTATGAATTTTTTTCTTTTTCTAACAGACAAATTGAAATTCAGTTGAGTGGTGAATTTCATATTGCAGCCAACTTACTCAAGTTGTCCAAACTTCTGTCAATGATGGATTTTGAGACCAAGTGTTGTAGTAGTTGAATGTCTTGTCATGAATAAGTACCTGATTTTCTAAAATGATCAACAAATGCCACTTGCTTGCTAGTTTAGTATGTGCCTCTTGTAGATTGACAATGACAAGGAATGGAAATTATTTGGCTAACTGAAAAAGTGTGGTGAATTGGTGATATCTCCTGCAGGTTGGGAACTGCTGTGTTACTGCTGCAATTCTTATTGCAAATATGTTGTCTGATGTTTCTGATCATGCTTCTGAGATATCCCAGGGTGAAACATCTCTTTCCCTCTCATTTATAAACTTTGATTCACTATTTATTATATTTTCTGTGCCTCTGGATTAGTTAACATAATTGAAAATGGCATTGTGTCTTCCAGATTGGAGCCTCTTAGGTGGTCTGCTTGATATATTCCCTTTTGCTTCGGACGATGCAGAAGCAAGAAATGCTCTCTGGAATGTAATTGCTAGGATTTTGGTTAGAATTCGGGAAACTGAAATGAGCCCTTCAAGTTTATATCACTATGTTTTAGTTCTTGTCGGGAAAATTGAACTGATTGAAGATGAGCTTCTCAACCAACAAGTTGACTCTGGTCATGAACCAGAAAGCCTGTCTTCTCCCGGCTCAACAGCGGATGCTAGAAATACATCTGTATCCTTTTCTTTTAGTTAGTTGAATTTGTTGTTTACAATTTTGAGGCCTGCAGAGTAAGAAGAACCAAAATTCTTGATTTGAGATTTCAATTTCTTAGAAGTAAGATGTTGAATTTAATTTCATTCCTAGCCATATGATTAGGAATCCTCTTGCAGTTTATTGGCCCTGAACTGAAAAGGGTGCCAAATTTATAGTAACTAACGAGTCATGCATTATTAGAAAAGTTAAAACAATATCTCTATTGAAACAAAAAAATATTGTCAGTATAAGAAGGTTTTACTCTTTACACTTAATGATATGTTGTTATAATGATATGTTGTTATATCATTTATTGACTTTGAACTTTCATGTTGTCGTTCGCAATGTCAAACCTGTTAGATGATGTGGTAATACAAGATTAGGTAATAGTGGATAAGAGTTTTATACTGATAATACATTATACTTAAACTAAAAACAAATAATTTACGTAAACAACTAGTTTATATTTTTGCTTTTCAGTCTCACATACAGGGCAACTTTTTTTCTCTACTAATGATGCTATATATTTTGCAAAGGATTTTTCATCGGATCAGGTATAAGTGTAGCTGAAAAATTACAGTCCTGTACTCCTTTTCTTTGTCTGGCTATAATTTCATATCTAGTTTTCTAGAATCCATTCATGACATATATTATTTTCCTTCATTTATATATATAATCAAGGTCAACGATAGTTTACTAAATGGCATTTTGTAAGCAGGAAACAAAAGCACTAACGTTCTTTGCATATTTAGATGCTGCTATTCAATTCTGAAGAATTAGACCTTTGGACCCCTATCTAGCCATCCAAATGTGTCCAACTATAAAAGGCCACCACACCTACTGACGGTTAGGTTCACATGCTTGTTTTACCATTTTTTTTTGTTTTCCTTTACCTTTGAATTAGCTTGGGAGGATAATTAGCATTCTTAATCATTGGACTGCTGCAAAGGAGAAAGCTGAGAATAATGTGATTGCTGAAGTTCCCGTCAGTGAGACAGACGTGAAAAGAATGTTGGATTGCTGTCACAAATTTTCAAAGTAGAATTTATCTTGTAAATTACAGTTGTTCATAGAATCTTTGATAAATGTACCTTCAGATGCTGTATTGTATTTGCTTGTTCTGCCCTGTTACATTTAGGTATACATGGCTATCATTTTTGACATTGTTCTCTCTTACCTTCTTTCAGAAACTACTGGTGCTGGGAGAATTTCTCCTGGCTTTTTGGATTGTATTAATTCCTAATTCACGGATTCTCTGTCACCTACCCACGCAGGGATTAGTAATTCCTGTGATTTGTTCTTTCCTGTGAGGTTTTATACCGAGCATTTACATCTTGATTCACTCCAAATGGTTCTAATACCTCTGGCGTTAAACCCGTGTATAGAGAAATCCTGAAGCTAGTGATTCGAATGGCCTTGCCTTGTTTGGTTTCATCTTGAATTCTCACACAATCACATTTACTTCAAGTGTAAGGTGATTCACAAAAATAAAATAAAATAAAAATAATAAATTGATGTTTGACTACTTTCAAATATAATTAGTTCTGCATTAAGTTAAATCTTAAAAATTTATACTAAATTTTTATTACAAATTTATTTTTAAGATAGAATTTTTAAACATAAATCAAATCATTTTATACATACTTATTTAAGTCAAATCAATTTTACAAAATTAAATCCATTCAAATTCAATTTTTAAACCAAAACAGGAAGGGATGCAATTCTTGTCTTCAAAAATGGAGGAAAAAAATATGATTATAATATACCGCTAAAAAGACACAAAGACGAGACTCATCCAAGGAAGTTATAAAACGTATGCCCAAGTTGATTATAACTTTTTAATAAATAAGTATTTAATAATATAATATGATTTTATATAGTACTATATGATATTGATTTTTTATATATATATTTTTTTAATTCATAAATATTCGATACCTTCGCCCATCCCGCTTCACCTACATTTTTAAATTCAATTATAATTTTTTATGTATAAAAATGTTTAAAAGTTGTAAATTGAACAAATTTAGGAATTCATTTAACCTTAAAAAATAAAGCCAATCAAAATGTGGATTAAATTTTACTAAAGTCATGTTAATCAGTGTCAGTAAGATAATAATTTAAAACTATATTAATAATATATTAAATTTATTAACCAATATATTTAGATTCTGTGACCACACCAATCTTTTAATAGAACCAACACACTATCTTCGACTTCTAGTTCCGAAAGTGTGTTAGGGAACGTGGGTACTATTGCTACATCACAATTCACAATCACATGCAGTGGTTGAACTTCAATTGGATATTTAAAACAAAGAATTGAATTGAAGTTATGCGAGATGGAAAGTCCCCACTCTGTGAACAGTCCAAGAAGAATCCTGAGTCTGTCGAAACAGCGGAGAGCAAGTGTGTCCTTTTTCGATCCCGATGACAGAACCTCTGGCTTCGGATTCTCCGGTGATCAAGGCCCTAAGCCTTCTGAAGTTTATGGTTTTGTTGGTTCTATTACCACCGTTGTTGCCACAGGTTTTGTTCCTTCCACTATTTTAACTCTTTCTGTCGAATCTCTCTGATTTTTGGGCACCCATGATCGAAATGACTTTTTGTTATGTGTGTAAATACTCCCGTTTTACTCCTATAAATTTTGTAACATCAATTCATTACTTTGCGATAATTATTTATTTTAGTTTTTTTTTACTTTGTTTTTTATTGTTATTATGTCCCGAAAAAGATTAAAATGAATTAGGTGTTGTAAAGTTGGCAGTGAAAACGAGGATTTTATAATGTTGAGGACTAAAGTGAAGCATACATCTATTTTCAGGGACTTGAATGGAGTTTACTCCAAGTTATTTATGATGTTCATGTGGAATTTTGTGTGGTTTTTATTATTTTTAATTTGTTTCATTTATTTTGTGAATAGTTATTTTCTTGGTATGGGCATATGTTCCAGAATCATGGCTGCAATCTGTTGGCATCTCTTACTATCCTAGCAGGTTAGACAGCTCAACTCCTGTCCTGTTGTCATTTGAAGCTTTCACTACTATTAGGGTCCTCTACCATATGTAATTGTTTGGGTCAGTGCGCAAAGAATTTTCATTGAGAAAACTCTTAAAAGTGAGAGAAATTCTGGAGTGTTAATTTGAGGTTTACAAATGTAAACTCAGTTAAGGTGAATAAAACAAACATTATGAGCATGTCAATTGAGCTGTTAAGTGAAGGGGATGTTTTTGGGGAGGGGGATGGAGGGAAGTAAACCCAACTTTTTCCATCAGAGTGCTTAATAATAAAATATGTTGAAAAGGGATTATCAACTGTTTATGTAAAAAAAAAAAAAAAAAAAAACTATGTGAAAAATGCCCATGGCCTTTGCTTTTCAGTTATCAAGCTGTAGAACTCAACTCAAATAAAATATACGGAAAAAGATTGTTTATTCAACTGTTTATGACAAAATGTTGGAAAATAATTTTCTTCTCAGATATTGGGCTCTGGCAGTACCAACTTATGTCATGGTGACCATTGTATTGATGCTGGGATTCTACATTGGCCTTAACTTCATTTCAACACCTTCCCCTGCATCTTTAAACACAGTTTTTGGTGAGTTTGATGATGAATTCTTTAATGACGCAGACATGGTTAATTTTGATTGCTACCTTAATTCTATGCTCCTTGCCCACATGAATACGTTTGAGTTACTGTTCATTTTTCTGCACAGAGATCTAGTGACTCAAGTCCTTTTGATATAATATGAGTAAAGTCATTTTGTTAATGGAGAATTTCATTTGGGTTTTTCTTGTCTTAAGGCAGTGCTATCAATAATGATCCAATGCGTTTTTTGGTTGAAGTTTTCCAATAAATGACATGGATATCTCTTTGTTCAGATGAATTCAGTAGGGATCCTTTGAGTCTCGAGAGTTCTCTAGAAGGGGAGGAGAAACCCATCGAGCCCATATCAGATATTGGTATAGACAGAATCAATGATCTTATGTTCAACAATGCATCCTAAAGATCATGCCTGTCTCCAATGTTATGATGGGAAATGCTACCAAACAGGTGCTGCTAACACGGGTTATAGCTATTAGACGTGAAATTGGTTGAGTTCATCTTGTGAAAGAATGATTGGATTCCATTTTTCTGTAGACTAAAAAGATTCCTAATTATTCACTAGTTCGTTTTTTGGTGAGGTTTTATCCTCCACCATGTTTAACTCACTCCCAAAGGTTCTAATACCTTTAATGTTATATAGAGTTAAGAAATAAATCTATAGAGAATTTCTGTAGCTAGTGGTTAGATTGGTAATGTCTTGTTTGGTTTAGACTTTAGAGAGAGTAAAACAGGAAGTAATTATTTGGTCTTTAAAGAGAAGGAAAAACATATTATTAAAATGCACAGCGGAGAATTCTTAGATGATGCTATTTAAAATGTATGCTTAAGTAGATGCTGTTTCCTTTCACATTTCTGCTCACAGCGTGTTATTAAAGGGTGAGCAAAAATCATCTCCTATTTGATAATACATTTAAGTTTTAGACTCTATTTAGTAGTTTATCTGTCATTAAACTAAATTCTCTAAATAAAATAATTGAATTGAATAAAAATCCAGCAGGAACAGCTTTTAATACTCAAAAAGAGAAATTTTACATTGAAGTTCATAGGAGTATTGGTCCTATTACACGAAACTTGAAAGCACACAATGAACTTAATTGAACATATTCAACTTGCTTTTACATATAAGCCAAACGAATAGAACAACAGCAACCACACAGTTCTTTCGAAAATCTAAAGCAGATGTTATCAGAGATCGGTTCGATTAGGATATGAGAGAGATGCCAGCAGCTAGCAAATCATCGGACAAAATCTTGTTTGCAGCCTCTGAGGGATGAAAACCATCCCAGAATACATATTCAGATGCATTGGCACATGTTCCTATGGACTTTTGATTGCACAATATAGATGTCTCTAGCAAGCCTGTTCCACAACAAGCCTTCCTTGCTTCAAAAAATCCTGTGAAAATGTAGTGCATGTCACACAAAGGAAACTTGTTGATTAAAGATCCTTGTTCATGAGCCATACATAATAAGATTAGGATTAGCAGAGTTAGATGATGTACCGTTTTCAGAAGGCTTAGTAACAAGGTCATAGAGAGGTTGGTAGATATCAAGGACAACCAGTTTGAGACCAGAAAGCAATTTTTGCAAGCTCTGAGATGTAGTGTTTAGCTTTTTATTGAAGTTAACAGCATCACTGTTTAGTCTTGCCACGCATTTGTTACTATCAGAGCCAAAGAGAGTGATGGCTGCTGGCAGACAACCCATTGGAGGTAATGATGTCACACCAATCTTCCTTGCTCCAAGTGCATATAAATTCTGTCACATCACATGCATGGTTGAAATTTGCAAATGCAATTCAAAATCAGCAAAGTTCCTTAGCAAAGGAAAATAAATATCCTTTTCCTTTTTGGGCAAATTTTATTATTGACATCTAAGTGAAACACGGTTTGCTAAGGCAATATGTTAAGGTTGAGGAAGACGTGCCTTAATGAAAGTGGCAAAGCGTTGCATGAGAATGTCTGAGAATTGATCAGCAGTGTAAACCTTGTAAAGCAGTGGATTTATGTAATAGTTCTGAATAAAGTCACTGTTTCCAGCACTGATAAGATATATAGCACCAGACACAATTGATGAAGCATTTGACTTCCCTGCTATTCCCACCAATATATTCTGGCACTCTTGGTAATGTTCCAGCTGCTGGCTCAATGGAATTGCATGCTAGACCAATGGGAAACAAAGAAAAGAAAAATCACACACACTTAATCATGAGAAGTATAGAAAAAATGTAGTTTTTGAGTTTTAAACTTCCACGCGTATAATTACATATAGTTTGGCTGTAGGATCATAGTAGCCGGAAGCAGCTGAGGCAAAATTGGCACCATTCAAGAGGTTCTTTCCTTTGGCCTTTAAGTTGAGGTAAGCTGGTGGGTAAGAGGTAAATCCAAGGTTTTCAGCTGCAATGGAAGGAACAAGGATCAAGAATTAAGCCTTTTGTTGAAAAACATGATAATGTGGGTGATAAAGGGGTATTTAATTAAATGGGTATCTTTAGGAATACCAGTGTAATCTGATGCAAGCTTTCCGTTGCAAAACCTCCCTGTTGAAGTGTGATTCTTGAAGTCTCTTCCATAAGGAGGGAAGTTTGCTTTAACAATAGTATATAAGTGGTTATTATTGCCCGCATCAACCACAGAATCCCCAAATATGAACAATGCAGGGACCAAAGGTTGTCCTTTAGCCACGTTTAACACTACAACCAGAAGCAAGGAAGTCAAGATGTAACTTGAATGCCCCATGCTTTTCAATTTCACTTCAGCAATGTGAGCTTCTGCAGAGAAAGAGAGTTGGAGAGTGGGGAGGGGGAGGCTTTGAAAATGGGTAGTAAAAGTATTGGGAACTGGTAATCTGAGTAATGTCTTGTGCTTTGAAGCTGCAACATGCACTGGAGGTGATTTGGCAAGGCTGCAGTTCCGAGAATCTTATAAATGTTTCAACTTAACTGTTAAGATATTAACATGATTTGATCATATTAATGGGTCTTAAAATTAATCATGGTGGGTCCTTGATAAAAAATGTGTTTTTCTTTTTTTAATATAACCGTGTTATGTTAGTTAATAACATGAACGGATTCAAATTTGTTATGATCAGTAGTCAAAAAAGAAAATTTATCAACTAGTATCACGGCAATGTCTAAAACATGATTTGCATGCTTCTAATGTAACTAAAATTGACAAGTAGAGGTGATAGAATTTTTAATTAAAGTAGGTACCATAAACATTCTTAGCTGTAACCATCTTACTGTAACGTGGAAAAATAAAACCAAAGGAAAACATCATCATGTCTTAAGCTACAAGATACTCGTTAAAACATATTCAAAGAGTTACAAGTAGCTAGTAAATGGTACTACGGTTGAATGTAGTTTTCAGCATACAACGAACTGTAATTTTGAGAAGCAAACAATGCCCTTTTCTTAGTCTGCTCTCTAAATTTCCCAAAACCAAAAACCTGACTTAAAATTATATACTAGTAACTATGGACGTTGGTTACAAGTATAGTCTTGCACGTGATGTACTGAGCTGTCACAGCTTCTTCAACAAGCCTAGTTTTTTTACCATACCAAATGTATAACACAACTAAACCCATGACCTGAAAAACTAAAAGAAACAAAAGTAAAAATATTACTAAGAGACGCCGCAGCACTTGGATTTTGGACACACAAAGATGATCATGCTTGAATCCTGAAGTTCTTGAGATTAGATAACTATGCGATTAACTTTGATTTCATATAAAATAAGTATTCATTATTTAACATAAAAACATATCATTTTTTTTTTTCTTTTTGTGATATGATATTTTACTATGATTTAAAGTTTTTTAAAAATATTTTACAAATACTCAAGTTGTTAAGTTTTTTTTATGTATAATTTTTCTTTTACATTAAAATTAAAAATTCTCAAAATTTAATTTCTATAAAAAATATCTTTTTGTATTTTTGTAATCTCAAATCTTAACTATTCATACTACCAATTTTTTTCAAATTTTTAACGTTTTTCTTTCTTTTTTTCTTTCCTTTATCTACTTATATTTTTCTTCTTATATACTTATTAAATTTGAAAAAAGTCTTAAAAAATATTAATAATTTTAAAATTCTTAAAAAATAAATGCTAAACAATGATAAAATTACGTATGATATGAAACACATAATAAAAAAATATACTCACTTTTAAAAAGAGAGAGTCAAGTTTAAAACCTAACATTTGATATAGATTATTTGTTCCCAAGATGAAAGTGAGGCTGACAGATGTACACAGCTCATGGCCACATAATTCACTCACATTTTATTCGAGTTTCGATTGACTAATTTGTTTTGTTCAGTAATGGTGGATATCTTTATTTTGAAAGTAGCAGGTTCTACACGGCATCACCACCTGTGCAAGCTATGCTCTAACTTCTTTGTGTCACTGCGTTACTATTTGCTATTAGGAAAATAATTCACATACACATCTCTTGACCCCATTTATCAACATATGATGCTTTGCCGTGAAAATTATACTATGTATTACAGAAGTTTTCGTGTACTCAGTATGAATGTTATTAAATTAAATCATATAATTATGTGTAATAATTAATTCTATAATATAAGATATGCTGTGGTAGTGGATTATAGAAATGAAGTTTTACGTTTAAATATGTTGGTTAAAAAAATTTTAAATGATACAGAATTATGTGTAATAATTAATTTTATAATCAAAATGATCAATTTATTGTCAATATAAAAACACTGTCAATTGATTATAATATGTTATATTTTTTTAATAATTTAATAATTCTTGTTGAAATAACATTATATGATGGAATGATATTATCATTAAAATTGTATTAAATTTTTAAAAATTTCAAATTTTAGCTTATTAAAATACATTATTTATTTAATTTTGAAATTATGATAAATAAATAGTAATTTTTAAGCTTTTCTTAATAAAAGTATCTTTAAATTTATAAAAATAACTACACCCAAATACACACTTAAAGCAATGTCATGTCTTGTATTCCTTACTTTCTGTGGTGGTTTTCGTTTCGTACATTTTTTTAAAATGACATTTTAACTCGTACCCTTTTTTTTTTCGTGGAATTTTAGACGTTAAGCTAATATTCAGGCAATTGAATTCTTAGAAATTCCATGTCCGTTAAAATTGTCTGATTTTTCTAAGAGAAAATTTGAATATCAATAACTGAAAAAAATGCAAGAAAGAAAAGAACAGTTTAATGTGTAAGGTCTCAATCCGCGTATCGTTGTCGACAAGGAATCGTATCCAGCTGTACATCAGACTAGATTACATGTTAAGTTTTCCACTTTTCCTTAGTTTGTCATAGCATATTTTATTTAATACATAGGGATTTTTATATATTTTAATTTTATTAATTATAGTGTTTATTTTAGACTCATTTTTATAGACTCTTTAATATGTTTTTAAACGCACATTTACATTAATAGCAAAAAAAAAAAAAAAAACACATTCAACAAGCATGAGTTAAACACTCCTTCACACTGCAGGGAGTGTCGAAATCTACGTATCAGAATTTTTTAGTGTCTTAAATAAGAGGCCTGCTTTTCTTACTTACGACTAATTCTTATAGGTGAGGGTCTTAATTATATTTATGATCAGCAAATATATGTCATGCCCAATTAGTTGCCAGGGACATGTCGGTGATGATCTTAATTATATTTGTTTTAGTGTTAATTTTTTTCTTCGATTAATGGATTATTTTGCCCTCGCAGGATATACTTTGTATATCTTGTAAAAATAAGTTCTAAATATATAATGACTTCAATGTTATTAAAGTGCTTTTAAATGCTAATTACTGAATTTGTAAATTTGAAACAATATTGCATATGTACTTTGTAATTTTGTTAATATTTTATAAATCTTATAAATATTTGTATTTTTTAAATAAACTACTAATTTTTACATATATATTTAATATAAAATTAATAGTAATAATTATTTAATGTGACAAGATATATAATATCTTATTAATTCATAAAATACCGTAGAAATCATTATTTTTAAGATATAAAATTCTTAAACTCTGTAACTCTGTAACTCTATTTTTGTGAATAAAAACCGGAATAATAATCACCTTTTATAATTGGGTATGGAGCGTGCCAGAAATCCCATTTCACTTTCAATTGGACGAAAATAGGAGAAAAAAGAATCATGTTTCTAACTATAAAGACTAATGTATCCCTCTGTCAAATTTTCTCCCATCACCACCACTCATGCCCTAACCACATGCTGGTGTAATAATATTAAGATGGTATTATCTCAGCTAATGTTATATCATATTCTAATACATGTGTATGTTACTGAATAATAATAATTTATTACATTATTTTATTTTTTTTCATCCTTTTCTAATTAAACAAATTTTTTATCAATCAACTTCGAAAAACTATACAGTTTTTTTCCTCCTTCCTTTTTTTAATTTTCTTTTCCTGTCAAACACTGTTCTCAGAGTGTGAATTCCTCGCGAGTCGTGACAGCTCACAAATATATAATTAGGAACGAAAGTAATATTTTATTAAATGTCATAAAAATGGAAAGAAAAAAAAGTTGCATTCGCAAATTTGCTTACTCTTCTTCCTTGGAGACAAGACCAGACCCTCTAAAAGGAAACGAATCCCGAATCAGCACCACAAAATCTTTCCAGAAGACGCAAATCATTAAAATCCTAAATCAAACAAAACAAATACCTTGCGTAGAAAACTCTCAACATCCATAACAGTGATAGTAACAACAATCAAAACACAGCGAGAAACCAAAGAGAAGCACGGCAAAGAAGCAAGAAGAGCATTGCAAGACCTCTCTTCTATATTAACTCTTACGAAGTTCTTCTCTGCCACAAACACAAACTCGTTCCCTAGTGATGGCTTCTGGGAGAGTAGATCTGAATGGGAACCCCATAAAGCCAATCACCATTTGCATGATTGGTGCAGGAGGCTTCATTGGGTCTCACCTTTGCGAGAAGCTGATGTCGGAGACACCTCACAAGGTTCTTGCTTTGGATGTCTACAATGACAAGATCAAACACCTCTTGGAACCCGACACGCTTCCTTGGACTGGTCGAATTCAATTCCACCGCCTCAACATCAAGCAAGATTCAAGACTCGAGGGTCTCATCAAGATGGCAGATCTGGTTTCTTTTTCTTTCTCACTTACGCATTTCGTTGTTCCCTTTATTCTCTTTCGGGGTTCCCTCAAAATCGTGCATTTTTCTCTTTTTTGTTGGTTTCTTTTAGACCATTAATCTCGCTGCTATATGCACTCCTGCGGATTACAACACGCGCCCTTTGGACACCATTTACAGCAATTTCATCGACGCGCTTCCGGTGGTGCGTATTCCCCTATCTATCTGTAGAATTTTGAATTAAAGATTGAATCTTGTTGGGTGTTGCCTTTTTGGGGTTGAGGAATTGATTGATGTGGAAGGGTTTGACGATTTCAGGTGAAGTACTGTTCGGAAAACAACAAGCGTTTGATTCATTTTTCGACATGTGAAGTGTATGGGAAAACTATTGGGAGCTTTCTCCCTAAGGATAGCCCTCTTCGTAAGGTAAGCTTTCACTTTCCATGGAGGAAGTTACTTTTGATCTGCGCATGACCAATGATGGGTTCCAATTCGCAATGCATCCGTTACTTTTTGAACCTGTCGGTGGTTGTTCCATCAACGGGTGATGTTTTCCATCAACAGTTTATATCTGTCTTTTTGTGTGTTTGTAAACCTTTTTTGATGTAATGATGCTATTTGTTTTGCTTTTGTATTGGGAATTACGAGTAAGGGAGTGTGCTTTTTTGGTGATGAGCTGGGCTATATTATATTGTTTCCAATGTTGTGTCAGGATCCTGCATACTATGTTCTTAAAGAAGATGAGTCTCCTTGCATTTTTGGTTCAATTGAAAAGCAGAGATGGTCATATGCCTGTGCTAAGCAGTTGATTGAGAGGCTTATATACGGTGAGCTGATTTTATTTAATTTAATTTTTGGGTGTATATATACTGTTTCCATTTTCAAATATTGACTAGTTTCATAATGTGACATTGTTGGCAGCTGAGGGTGCTGAAAACGGTTTGGAGTTCACAATTGTGAGACCTTTTAATTGGATTGGACCACGAATGGATTTCATTCCTGGCATTGATGGACCAAGTGAGGGTGTTCCTAGGGTTCTTGCATGCTTTAGCAATGTCGGTCTACATTTTGATTTAGACTTTGTTGAAGCTTGAATCTATTCTAAATTTTAGACAATTTTTTTGGATATCAGTTCAAAGTTTTTTCTCCATTACTTTTTGCAGAATCTCCTCCGCCGAGAACCCCTCAAGCTTGTGGATGGTGGCCAATCCCAGAGGACTTTTGTGTATATCAAGGATGCTATTGAAGCTGTCTTATTGATGATCGTAGGTTTCCATACACATACTGAGACCTTGTGTTTTTAAACTAGAGATTATCAAATTATAGAAATTCATCTTAAACTACTATTACTCTTATTTCATTGTCTACAAAATGTGAACAATCACCTTTTGACAGGAAAATCCTGCCAGGGCCAATGGGCACATTTTTAATGTGGGAAATCCAAACAATGAGGTTACAGTTAGGCAGCTTGCTGAAATGATGACTCAGGTAAAAGGATTAAGTTTGGTTGTTTGACCCTATTAGAATTTCAACATGGTATTTAAGGGCACTCTATTTATTTAATTTTCAAATCTACAGGTTTATTCAAAGGTAAGTGCAGAACCACCTTTGGAAAAACCTACTATTGATGTAAGCTCCAAAGAATTTTATGGTGAGGGATACGATGATAGTGACAAGAGAATTCCTGACATGACCATAATTAATAGACAACTTGGTATGTTTCCTCGTTCTACTTACCTACCTTTTAACGTTGTAAAAGACTTTACCTGTTGATGGGATTTTGCCTCTCTGTCAGGTTGGAATCCTAAGACCTCACTTTGGGATCTGCTTGAATCCACTCTCACCTATCAGCACAGGACTTACGCTGAAGCCATTAAGAAGGTCATTGCAAAGCCCATGGCAAGTTAAACTTGTATGGTGATGAAGTGCATTGTGAAGAGTGTTGGGCGCATAGGGGCACTTACATATAGTTTAGTGGTTTATGTTACGTACATGATAATTTTCCCCTCTTGTTTTTGGTTTTGGTAGCCAATGTAGCTCATGCCATCTTTGCGGCATGCTTATGAAGAAGTAGGAAATTATCAAGGGCAATCTGTGCTACTGCTGCTTCTGGCTACTAGACATGTTTGGACACCTTTTATACGAGTAAAGAAGCTATTGTGTGCATGGGATGAGGCTGTCATTCCTGTGTTGTCTTTCCAGATTTTGTTGTAACGTTTATAAATTATTGGTCATTAATTTATTTTATGGATTAATTTTGAAGCAATACGTTTACCTCCTAAGTTTTGACATTTTAAAAACCTTTTATAGTATCATTGACTTTAGTCTTTTTTATGTAAACTGACAGTGATAAATAAATTTTAAAAAAATAGTATGAATGTTTTTTTTAGATAATTAAGAATTAAAGGAGTATTTTTTAGTTCTTAAGGATTAAAGTGCCTGACTTGTATAAATCTCAAATTAAGGGTATGCTCATTTGTTTAGTAAAGATTAAATTTGAAGGTCATTGTATTTGGTATGATAAAAAGAAAGACTAATGTAATTGAAAATTTTTAAATAAGGGATTTCATTCTATAATACATTATTATATAACTATCATATGCCTCGAGCCGAACGATGAATTAAACCATCACTGTTGACTCAACAACTTAACAGGTGCCATTTACAGATTTGTTTTGCAACAACCCTTTAATTAAATTTTTTCAAAAAAAAATACAGATAGGGATTAAATAATAAATTGTACAGCAAGCACGCCCGGTGGGACTCGAACCCACAATCGCCTGATTAGAAGTCAGACGCCTTATCCATTAGGCCACGGGCGCTGTTAGTGAAGGAGAGCTAAAATTTACCATCTACCTTCATTGATAATTGTAATTAAAACCTCTTGCGTTGATTTATACCTCGAACAAAGGAAAATAATGCATTTTAAGCTGATTGGAGCCCCATATGGTAAAAACGTAAAAATATTAAGTTGTCTTCTGTGCTAACTACAAATTTACCCTAAATATACTGTTTTGATGAAGGGTCAAAGCTTCTTTTTTTATCTGTTGCAGGTACCACCGAAGTATAGTTGTTGTGATTATGAAACTGTAGGCCATCTAAATGAGAAAGTGTTGAACCCATCCCTCTAAAAACTTTTGAAAATTCCATTCTTTTATGTTTTAAGGTTTGCTTATCTTCGTTTCTCATGTTTACATTTTTATTTTATTTTACTATTGGCTAACGTTCTCTTCTATGATGTTGATGTTCATGGTTAGCTTCAGTTTGATATGAAGCATTGGGTTTTGAAGCGGCCCTTGCGTGATTGTATGTATCTTTAGTTAAAGAGAAAAAGTGTGTGATAGAGTCCTAAGTTATCCTACTCGTTTTATTGGGCATTCTAAAAGTTTTTTCTTTTTTTTATGGACTATTTGAATTTAATTTCATCAATACTATGAGAAATTCAAGAGAACTATGTATGTTATGAAAACAGATTAAAGCTTAAGAATCAAGCTATGTGTGGCAATATGAACTAATTCGCGTATTATGTCTGAAATTGATTTTGTTTACAACCAAGTAGGCATTAAACATGATACATAATCGCAACTGTAAACTTAGATTTTCACTAAATTTTTCGTCTGTCGTTGTGTTCGTTTGTGTACTATGGTTTATCAGTTTTACGTAATTTAGATTTTTTAGGGTATATTTAGTTTCGCATTAAATTCTTATATAATCATGAAGAATTTGTTATAATGTGACTTTACAATAACAAAAAAAAAGGCTACTCTTAAATATGTTTAATTTTGCTTTTAAATTTATATTTGAGTTAAGGGAATTAATTATAACTTGTTTTAAGTTTATAAATATTCACTCAAACACACACTTAATCTTGTTTAACGTTATTTACTGTTGTTTAAAGAGAATACATTTTTTTTTTTAAAGTGTATCGAGATTGAGACTATTTTGGATTGCTATAAACATAATTATCATATTTTTTAAGTTATATTCTTATGCACTGCTTGGTTAAAAAAATGAAAGATTTTAAAAGAGAAAAATAAAGAAAAGGGAATAAAGTGATTTTAATGAAAAGGAAGAGACATATTATGTAGTTTACAATAAAGAAGGAGAGAAAGAAACAAACTAATTTATTATTTAATAGTAAACAGTAAAAAAATTAAGGCAAATTTATCTAATTAGTATAAAAAAAATTCTCCCTTTTAAGTCTTTACAATTTTGAAGGAGAGCTAAAATTTAAGTAAGGAGACAGTTTACTCCCCGTTTCTCTTTTTTCAAAATTTAAACTAAACATAAAAATAATTTAATTTTGATGAAATAAGTACAGTAATTTCTGTGTCGAATCTTCGTTGATATATAATTTAACGAAAGTTTGATTCAGCGCAATTTATTTATTTGCTTTATAAGGTACGCAATGAATTTTGTACAGATTCCAAACATATCATAAACGATAAATGCCACCTATGATCAATGGTGTGGCAGTGGGTCCTTACTCACTAAACGACGGCAACCACAAAATAAATCCCTCACCCACATTGAAATCAAACCACGCGTGTTGCAATTGGACCATGATTCTGGAGTGTGCAAAGTTGTTGTGCACAAACCAAAAACAATGACCCAAAAACAAAATAAAAACAGAGAAGTAGTGGAGAATGAAAATGAGAAGAGAAGGGGGACAAAAAAAAATTTGCACTTCACATCACACGCACTAGCATGTCATTTATTGACCTGTAATGTTCTTCTTAGCCCCTTCATACTCTTTCTTATCTGTCCCCACTTTTGTCCCTTTTATTCATTTTCGTTCACTAACATCATGTTATTGTTATGATTATTATGAGTACATATATTATATACTAGGCTTTTAACGTAAGAAACTGAAGACCCTTTTTTAATTTAAGCTTGCTTTACTTTACCATGACCGATTACGCCGTCGTGATCCTTGCGTCATTTTCTCTTCCACAAATTTCAAGTTTGTTTCTTTTCTTTAATTGATCCATTTCTACTGGTTATGCTCTTCACACCACACTTTGGGTTGTTTTTTCTTTTCATATAAAAGACGCCCTCAGTGGGTACTCTATTTTTTCTTCCTTCCTTCCTTCCTTCTTTGCCTTCTCATTATTCATTCCTGCCTTTTGCTTTTACCCTTTTATTCTTTTTTATTTATTTTTCTTTTGGAATTAAGAAGAAGCAAAAATTTAGGAAAATATGTTGTTGGGTTGGTAGAGTGACGGGGAAAAGGAGGGTCTTTGCTTCCCTCTGCTATGGCTCCAGCTTGCAAGCTTTCTGGGTTTCGTCGAGAAGGAGGTCACTGGTATTCCCTCTCTGGAAATTTCTTATTTTGAAGATTTTTTTAACTACGTTTTGGTTGGTTTCTTTTGCTGTCGAAATCATGAGAAAATGACGTGTTCTGTTCACCTGACTACTGGGTGGAGTCCAAGTCAGACATGCATTTCTGTTGTTTTAAAAAGAGATTTTTGATGTGATTTTTCATCTCTTTTTTTTGTTGTTGTTGTTGTTGTTTTGGTAGGTTCTGCAATGCTGGACTACCTAGTGATATCATTGTTTCCATTGAGGGTGTCAATTTCCATCTTCATAAGGTACACAATTGTTCTCTTCTCTCCACTAGTCTATAGACGGATAGATGAATTAGTTGATGAGTTTATTTATTTTTTTAATGGTTCTGGTTTATCCGACTGCCCCTTACGGTTTTCTTTGAAATTCGATCCAACCCAATTAATGTGATTTATGGCTTATGCTTTTACTTTTAGTTTGTTCTATCTCTAATGTTTATGTACAGCAACTAAGCATCCCTCTTTAAATACAGGGAGTTGGATTAGGCTCACTAGAGATACCACCTGTTGCAAAGATCGCACCTTTCACAATAATTTTTATTTACGTATTGAAATTGCCAGTTTATCTATAAATATTTTTCTATGCTGAAACCCACTTGTATGGTTCTAAAGTTGTGGTGGTGTTTTTTTTTAAGGCTATAATCTTGAAATTTCTTCAGCTTAAGCTAAGACAGGACAGGGACAAGTCTCTCTTAAATTCTTAATGATGGATTGTATTTCAGCTAATTTGGTACTTAAAGATGATGGTTATGAATTTTTTTTTTCTTTTAATTTATTGGATGTAGTTCAGGGTAGCTCCCTTGGTGATGAAACTAAATATCTAGTTTTCAAACATGTTTGATTCACATGATTTGCTGTTTTCAAAGTTATGCTGCTAGATGAGGTCTATCACGTGGTGAACACTTGTTTCTATTTTGTCTATTAGTTTTCTAGGTCTCCCATCAGAATTAAAAGGAAAAAAGTTTAGAATTTGAGATGATTCTGTAAGTCAGTTTGGACTTCATGCATAATATGATGAACTAGGAGCATTTCTGTAAATATAAGGCTTGATTTTATCATATTCATACTGCTATCTCTTTGATGCAAAAAATTACTAGTGTGCTGTTGCATTGAAGTTTGAGTTAGATATGTCATGGAACTGCAGTTCCCTCTTGTATCAAAATGTGGCAAAATTGCTAGAGCAAATGAAGAGTCCAAGAATACATTTAAGAAGACTCTGACAATGGTGCTGGAAGAATTTCCTGGTGGTTCTGATACATTCTTAACTGTGGCCAAATTCTGTTATGGGTTTCGTGTGGAACTGACAGCCAGAAATGTCGTATTGGTCCACTGTGCTGCAGAATTCCTTGAAATGACAGATGAATTTGGAGAAGGTAACTTGTTGTCAAAATCAGAGAGCTTTTTCCATAAAAATATACTGCGCAACTGGAAAGATTGTATTTTGGCTCTTCACAGTTCCGAGCCTGTTCTACCAAACGCTGAAAAGCTTCATTTAGTGGGCAAGTGTTTGAATGCTCTATCTATGATGGTTTGTACGGACCCAAGCTTATTTGGATGGCCCATGATGATGTATGGGAGTTTTCAGAGCCCTGGTGGAAGCATTCTTTGGAATGGTATAAATACTGGTGCCAGAATTCGTAGCTCAGAATCTGATTGGTGGTTCGAAGATATCTCATATCTCAGCGTGAGTTTGTTTGAGAGGCTTATTAAGACAATGCAAGCAAGAGGTATAAGACCTGAAAACCTGGCAGGTGCTATAATGTACTATTCTAGAAAACACTTGCCAGGTCTGGGTCGATGGCAGGGTGGACAAGGTGGCAAGACCAGAACAGTTGCAAGTTTCAGCTTGACGCCTGCCACAGTTGATCAGAGGGTTCTATTGGAAAGCATGGAGAAACTTCTTCCCGAAAAGAAGGGGAAATCTTATTGTCGTTTCCTGCTGGGACTTCTTCGCGTGGCTTTGATATTGAATGTCAGTCAAACTTGCCAGGATTCTTTAGAGAGGAGAATAGGGATGCAATTGGAACTTGCAACTTTGGATAGTCTTCTGATTCCTACATATTCAGATTCTGATGCATTATATAACACTGACTGTATTGAACAGATTGTCCATTATTTTATATCTACAGAATCAACTTTAACTGTCTTTTCTCCTTCATCACATGATATACAAGCATCCCCATCATCTGAATCGTTAAGGAAAGTTGCAAAGTTGATAGATAGCTATATTGCAGAAATTGCTTCAGATGTCAATTTAAAACCGGGAAAGATACGCAGACTTGCAGAGGCGCTTCCGGAGTCATCAAGATTATTGCACGATGGGCTTTACAGGGCACTGGACGTATATTTCAAGGTTTGATTTTTCTGAGCTAAATTTTACATAAAAGGCTTGTTTGGGTCATGGATTTTTAGTTTGACGACTGTTTATGGTATTCTGCAGGCTCATCCTTGGCTCTCCGATAAAGAAAAGGAAGAACTATGCAACATCATTGACTATCAGAAACTCTCAATCCATGCTTGTGCCCATGCATCCCAAAATGACAGGCTACCCCTCAGAGTAGTTCTTCAAGTGCTGTTCTTTGAACAACTGCATTTGAGAACAGCATTAGCCGGGTGTCTCAATGCATTGGATGGCGAAATCGCTCCTGCTGCTCCTGTTCCTATTACCGCCACAGGCGATACAGCAGGCGAAATTGTACAAAGGGATGGATGGGTGACTGTTGTGCGCGAAAATCAGGTTTTAAAGGTGGATATGGATAGGATGAGTTCTAGAGTTGGAGAACTTGAAGAAGAGTTCAGTAAAATAAAGCAAGAAATGAGAAGTGTGAGCAAATCTCACAGTTCCCGTAGTTCTCCTCGCTTGGTTGCCCGGAAAATTGGGTGTAAGCTCGTTCCACGACCTTCAGATGCTCAACCAGAATCCCTTAACCGCACTGGATCAACGCCAAGAGCATCAGTTGAACGGGCACGCCGTTCCCACAAGTCCTGACACACACACAGTTTTCTTGAGTACCAAGAAACCTGAGTTCCTCTTTATTTTATTTATGCAATACATAGCAGTGTTGTGTGTTTTAAAATTTTTTGTACGGGGGAAAGGGAAGGAAAATGTTTCTTAATCCATTATGCTTTTTAATTTCACTAGTCTGCATATCTGAACATTTTCCATTTCTTTCCCTCGTGTAAGGTTGGTTGTACATTCATATAGGCAATTTCACAAATTGTCCTATTGATCTTCGGAAATAGCTTATGTATTTATCCATATAGAATTATTCTTCATTTTAAGATATTGAAAGTAGATTTTACTTAGTTCCCATTTGTGAAGGACATTATTGTCATCAAAGAAAGAATCATGCAAGACCCTCCTACCGAAGATGCAAAGCTGATGCAAGCTTGGAAAGCTCACAAACGAATGTAATTGACAATGAATTTGATACTAGCATTGTTTCTTGTATAGATGTCAAATATTGCGTAGTTGTGACTCTAGTGTAATTTCTTAATAATTGACAAAAACAAATGTAGTATGCTCGTGTTGAAATTTGTACGGCTTTTCCCGCTCTGTCATGATACGTGTATGTTTATTTGACGTAATTTAAATTAAGATAATAAAAAAAATTGAACAATTGAACGCGTATTTAATTGTTATTTGTTTTATTGGAATTAAAGGAAAAGTTACGATGAATACTTCACTAAATACATCATTTCACGTCACCCACTAGAAATTATATATAATATGTTTGAAAGGAACTCATATTTAATATATTTAATTATTTACTTACAACTGTAAGAGGGTTCCTTGAAATCATAAACTGTCCGTAGTTGTTACCAGAAATGGGTTCACATACGATATGCGTGAAGAGTCATATTTATACTGCTACTGCTGCTTATCTTGTCTGTATATGAAAATGAAAGTTAAGAACGCAGACTAATGGTTAGTCTTTAAAACTATAACAATTTCTCAACTTAATCTTTAAATGTTATAAAAAATGTTTTTCTAAAACTTTTATAATTATCAATTATCTACTCATAAATTAGCATCACTAGTCAATTTGGGTTTTGACATTACAAAATCAATAAATTTTAGGCTTCATTGTTATATAATAAAGTTAAATTGATTTTGAAATAATTAGTTTTGGACTATTGAATGTAATTGGAATACAAACCAGCTCTAATTCTTTTCAATTTACTTTCAAAATATCACATCCAAATACAAAAATCAAATCCACCAAAATCAATTCTTCTACATTTTAAACCAAAAGAACTCTAAGTTCCTAATGCTAGAGACTAATTTGACTAGTATACAATAAAGTAAGGGACTAAATTAACTAATATACTATAAATGACAAAATTATAGATTAAATTGACGAATCCTTAACATTTCTAACTAAAGTTACTAATTAAAAGATATTGTAACTTCATACTTTTTATGGCTAAATTTATTATAATTTTAAAGACTAAAAATAATTATAATTTCAAAAACTATATAGGTGATTTACTCTAAAAATGTGAGGATATTTTTTTCATTCCAAGATCAGGTCAATCATTAACTTTAATAAATATTTGAATCCTTATCAATACGGCGTGGAATTATTGACTTCTAAACTAAGAGCTTAAAATAAAGTGCATATAAATCTTTAATAGGAAGAATTGTAGCCAACAACGTCGCTTTGGCCGAGTGGTTAAGGCGTGTGCCTGCTAAGTACATGGGGTTTCCCCGCGAGAGTTCGAATCTCTCAGGCGACGTTTCTTTTTCATTTTTGTTTCAAATTTAATTATTTGGAATTTTTTTGTCACCTTTCATCTTTGACTCCTGAATCTTAGCGCTAAGTTCACGATCTAAGGCCTTTCTGTTTCCAACTTCTCACAGTAACTTTTAACTCACACACACATTTAGGTGCTTTGTTACCTTTGGCGGCACCAACATGCCAAGCTTCAGCATCTCCAACAACGCCGCCACATGGACACCCCCTCAATTCAACAACTTCCACTCTCTCAACACCACACCCTTCATCACTCTCAACTATTCCCTCCCCAAAACGCCCTCTTTCAGGATCCACTGTATCCCCTCTGAACCCCTCGCCCCTTCCGAACAACCCACATGCGATCAACCCGTTTTTGACGGCGGTGGAGGTGACGCCGGCGATGGCAGTGGTGGAGCCGGTGACGGGGACGGAGGAGGAGGAGGAGGAGATGAAGAGTTCGGACCCTTGTTGAAGTTCGAAGCCGTTATGAAAGAAGCAGAAGCTCGTGGTGTCAAGTTGCCTTCGGATATGGTAGAAGCTGCGAAGACCACCGGCATTCGTGAAATGTTTCTTCTTCGTTACTTGGAATTACAAGTGGGTTCTCTCTAAAGTTTAGATTTTTGGGTTCAAAGTTCAATTTTTTTTCCTTCCCTGCTTGTGCTCAATTTTGCTTTTTTTTATTTTAATTTATTTTTATAATTTGATCGCAGGGTTCGGCTTGGCCACTGTCTTTTCTGATGCAGCATTGTTCTATGCTGAGAAACCGAATGCTAGCGGACCCTTCTTTTCTTTTTAAAGTTGGAACTGAGGTTTGTTTGAACTGTTGTATTGGTGTCACAATATGGTTATGGTTGTTATGATGTGAACTTGTTCGAGTGTTGTTTAGGTTCTTGTTGGTTTAGATGTGTTAACATGTTGTTGTGGCACGTGCAGATTGTTATAGATTCTTGTTGCGCGACGTTTGCTGAAGTTCAGAAGAGAGGGAAGGACTTTTGGGCTGAGTTTGAGTTGTATGCTGCTGATCTGCTGGTTGGAGTGGTTGTTGACATTGCTTTGGTCGGTTTGTTAGCACCCTATGCTCGAATTGGAAAGCCTTCTTTGTCAAAAGGTTTGCTTGGACGCATTCAACATGCTTGTGCTGCTCTTCCTAGCAGGTTAGTGTTTGGAAAGAGGTGGAAAGAAATGTTGTGAATTCAATAGTGTTATCCTGATAACTTAGAGTGGGTGGTTTAGCATATAAAAAATGTCTGATGTTTATGATTTTTTAATTTAAAGCATCTAGGCTGAATTCTTTTTATGTTCAATATCACCAATTTTTATTTATATTTGGTGTAGCGAATTGTTTATTCTGTGAAGTTGTATATGGAGGCTGGCGCGAATTAGCAATTCAATTCTTAAATTGAGATTCCTGGTATTATAGTAATTGTGACGAATAGTACTTCAGGGAATCCCTAGGAATAGTTATTTTCCCTTTCTAGAGAAATTTTTTGTTGACTTCAAATTGATTATGAACTGCTCCATACTTTTCAGAGATCTAGCTGAATATGAAATTATTGATATGATAATAAATTACAACTTGAATGCAGTGTTTTTGAAGCTGAAAGGCCAGGATGCAAATTCTCTGTGAAGCAGCGTATTGCCACGTACTTCTACAAGGTAACTTGAAATGATTATTAACTATTTAACTTATGACAGAATATAGGTTGTATATAAAATCCCGTGATTATAGAATCAAACTTTGACTACATGTGATGATGTGCCATCTTGGTTTGATTTTTCAGTTTAACATGGTTTCTGATAGTTTATTCTTGTGAATACTTGACATTCTGTGTTCAGGGTGCGTTGTATGGATCAGTTGGCTTTGGATGTGGTATTATTGGCCAAGGAATTGCAAATATGATCATGAACGCCAAAAGGTATGTCCACCAGGATGGCTTCTGTTGTATAATTTTGTTACAGATGTCTAATTTGTTGGCTGCATTATTTTATCATAAATGCTTGCATTTTTTGTTTTATATAAGTATAGAAAGGAAATATACAAAAGCATTTTCTTCTATCAGGGGTGTCATTTTTGCTCTTGTAAATTCTTAAAGGCATTTTTGTTTATTTATAACAGGAGCATTAGGAAATCTGAAGATGACATACCTGTGCCTCCTCTTCTGCAAAGTGCTGCTCTTTGGGGTACTCTTGTCCCGTTATTCAAAATTTCTATCTCCAGTCTTTTATGCTTTATTTTATTCAGTTTCTTGAGTCAGCTGTGCTGTATTAAGGGACAGAAAATATATATAAGCCAATAATTTTAATTTCAGAAAAAAGACATTTATCTAATGTTGTTTCCACTATCTTTTTTTTTTAATAAAAAAGAGCTGTTTCTATTACTTTCAAAAAAGTATTTATATATTGCTTGGCTTGCTGGCAAGATGGGACATAAGATTTAGCACCATCTTTTGTTATTTACTTAGTAGACCAAAGGAATATAAACCACAGTTCGTTTGAGCTTAATTATTGGCTTGTTGCGTTAACTTCAAATTGGTATGCTAGATTATTTGTGCCAGGATGATGCTATAGGATTATTACCATGTACTTAAATTTACTTTATTGGTTTTCCCTCCTTTTTATCAGGTTTCTTCCTTGCTGTGTCCTCCAACACTCGTTATCAAATTATTAATGGACTTGAACAACTTGTTGAAGCATCTCCTGTGGCAAAGAAGGTCCCACTTGTTGCAATGGCATTCACTGTTGGTGTGCGATTTGGTAACAACATATATGGTGGCATGCAGTTCGTAGACTGGGCCAAATTGAGTGGCGTACAATGAGTGTTTCCCTTGTCTACACTTTCCTATTTCCCCTTTTCTAAAGTTCTATCAAAGTTGGCTAGCTATTTCTTTGTCCTTGTGGAAGGTTCTCAATTCACCCATCATTTTTCATCTTTTGGGCGTTCAGTGGTCATTCTAATAGGACCATACCCCTCCACTCCTTAGTTTGTTCTTAGTTTTGTTAGATATGTTGAAGAGGAAATCTTCATATAACTATAAATGATCTTATAAATTAACAAATTCTTCATATAACGAAGAGAGATGTTAATTGGGCATTCCTTTAAAAATATGTTAATTGCACATTTATATGATATTTATGAATTCGAGAAATATAAATAATATATTTCTTTGATAATTTTTATTATTGAATAAATTTTATGCAGAGTTCATTAAATTACTCCTTTTCAATATGATTCCTTAAAATTCACTTGAATTGTTGAGCTTTTATGATTGAAAATTCACGTAATCAATTTTATTTTATATTATTTAGTTAGTGGGAACTACGTATGTAATGAAAGTCTGTGAATTAGCAGAGGACATGGTAATTTTAAAGATCATAGGTTGCCATGACATGGATTTTTATAAATAAAAAAAATGAGAGAACTGCATCATGGTATGTATCGTATGACACTGCTTTTAGGCAAATGCACTTGTCATTGGTGCTCATTTGTATCCACTTTAATAATATAAATTAAGCAGCAATTGCTCACTGTATACTATTTAAAAACACGTGACGGAAAGAGTAAGAACCTTCGAGGAGCAGCCCCTATATGTTAGCAGAGAAAATTCAATTAACAAAAAAAGACGTAGAAGGGCCAATCTAGCTGTGACAATGCTGTGAAGCTTGACAGCTGGCAGCTGGTAACTAAGAATCCAATAATTAGTACATATTTAAATACACGTTAAAATGTTATATATCACATTCATTTTATTCTAATGTAATTTTGTAAAATAAAAATGTGATATTCAATTATTTTTAAGTTATTTTATCTTTGAACTCATATTTGAAATGAAGTAATAAATTGTAGTTTTTGTATTTAGTTAAAACAATATTAAATTTTATTATAAACATTATTTGTAATTCTAAACATAAATTATATATATATATATATATATATATATATATATTATCTAGACCACATATATATTTTATTAGAGACCTTCTTCCTCTGAGCATGTATCGGAGGACAAATTATCTTTGAATTAAATAAGATTTTTATTGGTTGTGAAAATTTCCTTCTTTTTTAAACATTTAATAAAATTTCATTCATTAAGACTTTAATTTAATATTATAGATTAAGCTGAAATAATTTTTCATGTGTTGATCCATGTGTTTGGTGATTAAAATTTAAACTTATTTTTAAATAAAATTAAATTAATTCAAATTAAAATTTATAAATACTCAGTTAAACATATTTAATTTAGTTTAAAAGAATGTAACATTTAATTCTAATATATGTAAAATTATCATACATATAAGCAAATTAACTTCAATCTTGATAGATGTTTAGGATGAATTGTTTAAAAAATAATAATAAATTTTTCTAACAGTTCTTTTAAAGAAAATAACAGCAAATAAGCAAATTTTTAAAATAAATTAAACTAGTCGTGCACTTAAAATATATGATTTTTTCCGGCTGTAAACCTAAAACCCTCAATTATTGTATTCAAGGTAGTGCTTGGTCCTCAAAAATAATAGAACAAAATATTTTGTTCCTTTTTTCTCTTTGGATCCAATCCTTTTTAGTGGAACTATAATGTACCATTTTATTACTTAATATTCGGATTTGTTCTTTAAGATATACCAAACATAGAATAGAATTCACAGATTTTGTTATGTCTCGTTCAAACACATTTACCAAAATTTTCCCAAGTAAATTTGTAATTTAAGTAAAAAAAAAAAAGAATTTGATTTTATTCCAATGATGTAGTATTATATTATTTAATATTTTCTATATTTCATAAAAATACTAGCACAATAAAAACTCATTAAATAGGGAAAAGTATTAGGTTAAAAGACATAAGTAAAAAGGATTTCATCATGTACTAGCTCGAATAGAGATCCAGTTAGACGACACTCGATGAATGTTGTGGAGCTGTGACATGATACCCTCCCAAATGCACATGGTTCCAAATTCAAACGTAGAGCAGAGAAGGAAGTATATGACTCCGACCCCTCCGACCCCTCCGACAGACCCTTGACTTGAACACCAAAGACAAAAGAGAGAGAAAAGATAAATAATATAGGTGGAATAAAAGGACAACAATGGGCAAAAACTGAAACTGGTTTTTTACCCAACAAAATATTAGTTGGAAATTTAAATTTAAAGTATATTACTATTTTTAAATATTTTTTAACTAATATTCTAATGTTGTTATTAGCATTTGTTATAAAAATATCATAAATACTAATATTATTTCATCATAATATATAATACACTCTTAACATAATTTATAATATAATTGTTTTATTTTTGAATTAATACCTTTCCAGCACTTTTAGTAGGAGCCATTATTTAATCATGAATTTATGTTAAAAGTCCATGGGAAAGAAAAGTCATAGGTGGGGAAAAGAAAAAAAAGAAAAGAAAAGAAAAACTGAAAATGCAGTGTTGGAATTGGTAAATGGAATGGAAAATAAAAGGTAGTTCCAGCAGTGTGCGAGGGCTTTTTCAATTTTGGTCACTCCAACTTCTCTCTCTCTCTCTCTCTCACCTCGCGAACTGTTTCTCGCTCTAGATCAACCGTAGCACAACTGAGTTCCTCTCATTCATTTCCGTTCGATCGTGTTTCTGTAATTCGGAGCTGAAGATCACCAACCATTCGAATTTCGCGTTGGATCCAAATTATCAATTGAGTCGAGTTTGGGGATCTGAAGAGAAGAGAGCGATCTGTGAGCTCTATAAGCGATGGCCATGTCGGGGATGCGAGGACTCTCCGTATTTATAAGCGATATTCGCAATTGCCAGAACAAGGAACAAGAGAGGCTTCGCGTTGACAAGGAACTCGGTAACATACGCACACGCTTCAAAAACGAGAAGGTTCGCTTAGGGTTTCTCTCTGTCACTTCGTGTTTCCCTTACCGATTCTAGTGTTCGAATTTGATTTAAGCTCTGTTGGTTGTTTGTCGTCGAAACCTAGAAAATTGAAATTTATAGATCACGGACCTGTTGATAGTATCGGGATTGATGCCTAAAATTGATATAGGAGAGTTAGGTTTTGAATATTGAAATGAGTAGGACTCGAACGGATTTGTGATATGCAGTGGCTTACTGGTAGGAGAAAAACAAAGGCTCTCATGATAACTTGTATATTGTCGAGCATGTGGAAGACGCAGCAATAAGCTGAAATTCTAGGGGTTATAGAGTGTATTGTGTGGTTAGGTATCCGTTCTTGGTTAGTTTGGCTGCAATATTGAAGTTAACATTAAATGGCAGCAGTTATCAATTGATTTAATAGCTCGTGTGTACATTTTAATATAATTGTTTGTGATTGTTTGACTGTACTAGAAGGCTATTGCTTCTTTGTTTCAACCGATTTAGTAGATTCAATACATTGTAAGTAACATAATTTCTTCTGAATTTGCTTCCAGTGGTCATACTGTTACTGTGGCAAAGAATGCATTGGAAGCTATACCATGATACATAAAAATAATTTCCCCTGGAGAAATATTTCTGACGAAATGAGTTCAAATATATTAAAATTTCTTCAATATTACGTTTTGTGTTCCGATCACAAACATTATGTGTTTTATAACCTCTACATCTGTATATATCTTTCTTTGAGTCAAATTGAGTTTCGTTCTGACCTAGAAGACAGCCTTGCCTTGCATTCAGATGGGTAAAATTTGCAAGTTTACGTAATCAATCAATAAAGTGGAAAAGTCTGGATTTGTTCCCACAAAAGATCATAACCAATTACCAACTAGTCTTAGGCTTAGTTTTATTTGGAAGAAATTTAAATACGAAAGAGCTAGAATGAAAATGCAAAAAGCATCATGATATTAAGTTAGGAAGTAAGCATGCAATAATGAAGACACCAGGGATCCAATTTCATTTGATTTTTCCAATTAGTATTTAATATTCACCATAACTAATATAGGAGATTCCCTAGATTAACTAATATTCAATTCTTTGGTTCATTGGTCCTCTTAAGTTTCTAAAATCTAATTAATTCCTTAACTTTAGTTATAATAATAAAGACATTATTGATTTATACTCTCAATGACTAGGGATGGCATGGGTTATACCCATTAAGTACCTGCAAAAAATACCCGTAATGGGTCGGGTAAATACTCAATAGGTTTGGGTTTGAGTTTTAGTAAATACCGTCAAAATTTGATGGGTATGGGTATTGTCACTATAGTACTTATACACATTTACCCACACTAATATATATAAACTAAATATATATAAACACATTTATCATAGGTATGTGTATATTTAAAACTAAAGTTTTAGATAAATGATATTGTTATAATTTTGTACACATATTTTGATATTCTATTATTATATTTGACTGTTAGGCTTTAACTGATCTCTTTCAAAAGTTCTTTTTTCTTAATCATTTCCTGTTATTGTGGTTTATTAATTTTCCATTTATGCCTGCAAATAGAAAATATTTGCTTGTCTATTACTCATCTTCGATTGCTGCTTACTGTTAATCAAAGCAATTTCAACGCCTTAGGAATGCCTGTATTTAATTTTTTTAAACTTTTGTTCTCTCTTTAGGCTCTGACTCCCTATGAGAAAAAGAAGTATGTTTGGAAAATGCTTTACATATATATGCTTGGCTATGATGTGGATTTTGGACACATGGAAGCTGTTTCTCTTATATCTGCCCCAAAGTATCCAGAAAAACAGGTATTTTCTTTTCCTTTTATGACATCATTTATAATGATTTGTTGCTCTCTCTCTTTTTGTGTGTCTCAATTCTTGTGAAATGTTGTTTCAGTTCATTTACATGTTTACCTCACTGAGAAAGTATCTGAACTATAAAGAAGGAATCTAATATTGCCATAAATGACTGCAGGTTGGGTACATTGTAACATCAAGTTTGCTTAATGAAAATCATGACTTTCTCAGGTTGGCTATAAATACCGTGCGCAATGACATTATTGGTCGCAATGAAACCTTCCAGTGCCTAGCATTGACTATGGTATGGTAATGGGAAAAACTGCCATCTTTACCAGGCTTGCTTTTCATGTTAATCATTTAACAATTATATATATTATTGTCTTTCTCTTCGTATCTTATTGTACTAACAAGATGTCCTAGAAAAAAATTTCTTGTTTGTGGATGATTTGCTCTTTTTATATTTTACTATCCTCTGCTGATGCATGTGCCATGGA